TGGCCAATAGCCAATGGAGGCTTCCAAGCAGCCAGCCTTTGCAGGCTCAATTCCTAATAGCCAATGGAGGCTTCCAAGCAACCAGCCTTTGAAGGCTCAATGAATTCCCATTAGCCCATGGAGGCTTCAAACTCCCCCCTTTTGCTCACTTGCCACCTGCCTTTGGTGCTTCAATCACCTTTCAGCCTATGCTATTTCTTGCTGCAGCTGAGACCAGCTCAGGACAGTGCATGGCACATAATCCCAGAGGATTTTTTTTGAAGTTTGAACAGAAGCATGTTCCATCCACTTTGCGTCCATGTGGTTCGACATGCTAAGCACTTGTGGCAGCTTTAGTTAGATTTGGAAGCCATGGGTGATGGCCAGCCAGATGCAAAGAAGAGAAAGATCAGCGACTTGAGGGCTTCCCTTCCTTTCTGTTCCCAAAGTGCTTTAGCTGCCATTTGCAAGGAGATTGACAAAGGTGGGCTACCTGAAAAACATTCCCGACATGCCATTTGGGAGGAAACCAACAACTTCTTGGAAGACTCAAGCATGTCCATGTATGGGCCTCTTTTTCAGACAGCAGAAGCCACCACAGTGGACAATACAAAGAAACAAGTCCTTTACCTCAACTTTCTGTCTTTGTTGGCTGGTGCTTTCCGCCAAGGAGGTGCGTTCACTGACTTTTTGCTCCACTTGCATGCGAAGGTGCCATCATCTTTCACCAAGCCTTGGAGATGTGTGGCATACGCTGATGAGATGCACCCAGGGAACATGTTGAATTCCTCATCCAGGAAAGCTTGGTGTATTTACATATCATTTTTGGAGCTCAACAGGTTCTTGACGAAGTCTGATTGTTGGTTCTGCATAGCCATTTGCAGAAGTGCAGAAATTTGCAACCTTGCAGCAGGTATGTCACAAATGTTTCGCTTGGTCTTAGAAAGCATCTTTGCAGATGGGTTGCCAGAGACAGGTGTGCTCTTGACATCATCCAAGGGGTCTTTGAGGCTGCATTTCACCCTGAGCATGATTTTGCAAGATGGTGGCGCCCAAAAGTCAGTGTGGTCCAATAGGCAGGACACAGGGAGCAAACCTTGCTTCCTTTGCAAGAATTTGTTCCAGTTGAAGGATGCAGACACTCTGGAAGGAGGCGGAGGCAAGGTGTTCAGCAATTTTTTGAAGTATGATCAGCTGCAGATTGCTACAGATGAAGAGGTGATCAGCAGCTGGCAAAGACTAGCCAGCAAATGCAACAACATGCCAAAGAAAGAGTTTGAGAGATGGCAGCAGGCTGTCGGGATGAGCTATTCTCCACATGCTTTGCTATCTAGCGAGAAATTGCTCACCTGCAATGTGCTGAAGCCTGTGTCTCTGTACTGCTTCGACTACATGCATGGCCTTTGCAGTCATGGGGTGCTCAATGACATCATTTTTTTGGTTTTGGAAAGCATCCACAACTTTGGGTACAAAGTTTGGGGCAATCTCGCAAAGTGGATGGAATTGTGGTCCTTCCCAAAGGCCTACAGAAATTCCAAGATTGGAAAACTATTTGAAGACAAAAATGTCGCCAACAGCAGGAAAGCAGGAACATTCAAATGCGAAGATGCTTCTGACATTTTGGCAGTGTATAAGCCATTGCATTTTTTTTTGCAAGTGATGTATGTCGCCAACAATGTGATGGTTGAGCAATGCACATGCTTTTTGTCTTGGGCACAAGTCCTTGATTATTTGGTCAGTCTCCCTTTTCTGCAAAGCCCTTCCCCTGCAAGATTGTTGGCTTTGGTGGAAGCAGCTTTGGCAGCAACAGTCGAAGCAGGTTTTGAGGGTGGTATGGAACCGAAGCAGCACTGGACCTTGCACTATTCAGATTGTTTCAGGAGATGGCTCCAGCTCCCAGCATGTTGGGCATTGGAAAGGAAACACAAAACACCAAGGAAATTCGGAGGAACCCATTGCAAGTTGAGCACCTACGAGAAAGGCATCATGGCAGCCACTACCATGGAACACATCAGCATATTGGCCACCAATGCAGATTTGTTCAACACAGATTGTCACTTGGTTGATCCCCGCACCCCTTCCAAGAAATTGGAAAACATATTGAAAATGCATCAATGCTTTGTCCCTGGGATGGAATGTGCAAATTCTTGCCTCTTGCAAAATGGCGCAACTTGCTACACTGATGATGCCGTTTTCCTTCAAAAATGTTATGGTGGCCACAATGATTTTTGGAGATGTGGTCGAGCAAAACATTTCTTCAATGCAGCAGGCATGGTGCTTTGCCTGGTGGATGTGTTCCACTTCAATGGGACAAGGGCAGGGACCCAAGCCAGCAAATGGACATCTTCAAGCGACTCACTGCAGCTGATTGAGGTGAAAGACATTTTACAGCCAGTGATTCACACACAAGGAACAAGTGGCCAGATTACTTGCCTGACTCCCGCACCTTTGTCTTGCTTAAAATGAAAAAATGTGCTCGCAGAACCTTCAGCTCTTACAAGCTTGTCCAAATAAAGCTTCTACAAGCTTCCATGCTTATCTGAGCTGCAACTCTTCCAGCCAATGTAGGCTGCAGGTTACATGAAAGTTCTCCTTGAAACCATTTTTTTGGTGGAAGCTTGCAATGGCAATTTTATATTTGGGTGATGGTTAAGATTTTATATGTTGAGTCACCTTGCCAAAAAATCATGTAGAATAACAAAATTATGGCTTTGAGGCTGCAAAGTATACAATGGCAAGCACAACTTCTTTTCCTCCAAGGACATCTTTTTTCCAACATTTTGTACCTTGGATAAAATTTCCATGCTGTCCAAACATTTTCTTTTTTAATTCTGCCGTGTTTTTCTTTGGTGGGGTGCCATTTTGTTTCTTAAATTATCCTGTCAAAACTTTGAAAAAAGCTGTCCTGAACCTTGATTTTTTTCCTTTAGAGAACTACTTCTAATTAGTTAGTAACTAGTTAGCTAACTATGTTAATGCACTTAACACATTAGCAAAACCAGCAGCTTCTAAGCAGGTTAAGGTCCAGCGGTGCGCACTGAGCTGGGAAGGTCCCAGGTTGAGGTCCAGCGGTGCGCACTGAGCTGGGAAGGTCCCAGGTTGAGGTCCAGCGGTGCGCACTGAGCTGGGAAGGTCCTAGGTTGAGGTCCAGCGGTGTGCACTGAGCTGGGAAGGTCCCAGGTTGAGGTCCAGCAGTGCGCACTGAGCTGGGAAGGTCCCAGGTTGAGGTCCAGCAGTGCGCACTGAGCTCGGAAGTTGGCGAAGAGCTTGGCGAAGAGTTGGCAAGGCGGAAGTGGAGGTGGAAGTTGATGCAGACATGGTCGAGGAGAAACTGGAGGAGGAGGCGGAGGAGGAGGAGGAGAAGGAGGAGGACAACAGCTCTGATTAAATCTAAAAACCCTCACCTGGCAGGTGGGGGAAAAAATAGACATATATGTACATATATATATATGGGTGCGAGTCAAAAACCGGGTATGGATCGCTCCGCGGTGATCCGTACTATGGATCGCGAGTGCTTACGTAAGGTGCCTGATCCGTACCCTTTCGTAAGGGCTCATCATAGCATACAAACTGTGCTGATACTCCCCGACTTGCTATTACTTCTCCTCCTGCTACTGTTGCTGCTAAAACTGTTACCACTGCTTGTCGAGGGAGCAGAAAAAAAACAAACAGCACCAGCAGCAGTAGTGGCAATAGAAGGATAAGATGCAGCAGCAGTAGAAATAGCAGTAGCAGTAACAGTAGTACTAGTAAAAGTCAATAGTAATCTAATGGTAGTAGCAGCAGTAGCAGCTGCAGTAGTACTAGGAGTAGTAGGAGTAGGAGTAGGAATAGCAGCAGCAGCAGCAGTAGCAGCAGCAGCAGCAGGAGCAGGAGGAGGAGTAGTAGTAGTAGTAGTAGAAGCAGCAGCAGCAGCAGTAGAAGTAGTACAGTAATAGAATCGGACTTTCATATTGGCATTTGTTGTGGCGTGACTGGGTACGGGTATGGATCGGGTATGGAACGGGTATGGATCGGGGTATGGATCGGGACACGCTATCTGGGCCGGCTTTCACGCTATGGCTGTGAAGGAAGAGAGCGGGGTATTTCAAGTCTAGTCTAGTTCTACACGTGCCAGATAAAGCAGAAACAGAAGGAGTTGTAATCATAGCGCCACTAGAAGTACAAGAGGCACCTAGTGGAACTAGAACCGGTCTTACTAGCCTCCAAGGTGCGCTTGCAATATTGCTAGTAGCTACTCAACTAGTTGCATTTGTCCAAATACCAGAAGCACACGGAGGAAGTGAACCAGCACCAGCAGCGAGAGCAGGACCAGCAGGAGCAGCAGCAGAAGCGACAGCAGCAGCAGCAGCAGCAGCAGCTCCTGGGAGGAAGATGACTAGTAGTGGCGGCAGCAGCAGCAGCAGCAGCAGCAGCACGGAAGCAGCGGAGGCAGCGGAGGCAGCGGAAGCAGCAGTAGCAACGATAGTAGCAACAGTAGTAGCAACGGGAGTAGCAACGGGAGTAGCAACGGGAGTAGCAGTACGAGGACCAGAAGCAGTATTAGGATAAAAAGCAGCATTAGGGCCAGCATCAATCTTTGTTCAATGAGAAAGGGGTATGGATCAGGGGTATGGATCAAGGGTATGGATCATGCAGTACCACAGGGTATGGATCAAGGTTTGGATCGGGGGGTATGGATCGTGTGTGGGTTCGGGGCCTTGATCCATACCTTGTATTTTGACTCGTACCCATATAAACAATAGATGGATGGATGGATGGATGGATAGACAGATAGATAGATAGACAGACAGACAGACAGACAGAGAAACAAACAAATGGACAGACAGACAATGGACAGATAGATAGGTAGATAAGATAGATAGGTAGACAGATAAGATAGACAAGATAAGACAACGTAAGATACGATAAATCGACAAGATAAGTTGAGACAAGACAAATAGATAGACACAGTACATAGATACTTAAAACATCTTAAAACCAAGCTGGTGATTCATCCGCCACTTCTGAGATTCCCAAGCTAAGAGTTTTCAGATGCGACACCATCAGCACTGCAGAGATCAAAAGCACTGCCACAGTCACCTGATTCAAGGTGGGGATCATTGTCCCATTTCTATGGTGGCAGCAACATGTGTATTACGCACGAATGAAATAGCCAGCAACCATAGCGACTTGCGTTTTCTTCTCAAAGATATGTGGAATTATTAGATTGATCATCACTTAATATGACTGCTCGGGCGCTGAAAATGAATAGGTCCCAGATTAAACCAAGGTTTCACTTGGTACTTGACATGAGGAAGGGATTAACACAGCCAATTGAAAACCATTTTCTGGCAGGGATTGTCTCAGCGGACAAGGACAAAAGATGTTCTGAGTGACGTCTGTTCCAGCTATCATCCGAAGACTACTTGCAAGGAAACACATTCAACAACTATATGACTATATGCCCAGAAGAGCCAGAAAACCTAACAAAACATAGCTCAAATTTAAAATCGTTGATGATGTTGATGATCATGAAACAGAACGAAATCTTTCCAGGTTCATCTAGCGGTGATGTTTCAAGTCAGCCAGGTCGGGCCAGACGGATGGCTGGTAGCTGCTTCTATCAGCTGCTGCTGATGTCAATGTTTGGCAAAACAAAAGGTTTGATTTTTGGGTCTCGATATTTCAATCTGTGCCCTAAACACAACAGGCTGAACCACAACTCTGTTGATAGGTGTTCTGATTCAGCCTGTTCACCAAAGAGAACATGGATGAAAACAAGTTATAAACTGCAAAGGCAATACCAACCAACTTATTACATAGTGAAAGGGAAGGTAACAGCACCAACTTTAAGGTTCAACACATAACAGCAAAGCTGTTACCCACCTGGTGAGCCTTCCAACCGAATGGAATCTCGTTGGAATCCAGCTGCCAGAAGAGGGGCAACCTGTCGCTTTGTGACGGTTAGTGGTGAACAGGTCCAGTGACAAGCATGGGTGTGTCTGAAAATGGGGATGTACCATAAAATCAGCCCAAATAACACAGTTGGTTTTAATGGTGAACATGATAACAAACCATGAGTCTGGGTAGCCTATTTTGAGACAACACCATGTATGATACTCATCATCCAATCTTTTAAGGAGAACATGAATCTGAGCGATACAGCAGTGCATGACATCCCGTATCGAACCCTGTGTTTTGTGTGGTTTTGTGAGGTTGTTTTGGAACAATTTCGATACATTGCTAGATTATTTGACCATGCACAGTTCAACGTCTTGTCTGGTTACCGACTTTCGTTAGCGCTCTTGCAAAACATCCGTCAAGTGGAACTGAAACATTTCCTGATTCAAGATGAGAATATAAATCTTTGAAGCCACCAAGCAATCGCTCCGACCGGACACTGGTTGGTGGTTTCCCTGAAAAAAAAAGTGTCGAGATCATCATCCCAGGAAGGATGCAAAACTCTAGAAATATCATGTCATATCACCGTCAACCCATGATCAGTGAAATAAAAATATCCATCATCATTAATATATTGAATATATTAATATCATTATCCATTTACTTATTGATGATATCCAAATCCAAATATTACTTTTCAAAGTAATATCCCTTTATCCACAGGGATACTCTGGTTTCATCAAACACGGCTAGGTGGATGATTTCATCCAGTTCCAAGATTCTCCCAGCGACCGAAAGCTACCCATTTAGTTCAGGTATTTTCCAGCTAGCAATGTTTGACTATAGGAGGGCAACTCCCATTATATGTATATATATAATGTATAATCATCAGATCCCATTAAATCACCAGTAGATCCCCATCATATCATCATTAGTAGATGACTTTACGATCATATCCCCATGAAAAATCCCATTGATATCCATTTATATAATTTTATATATAGATAAATATTCCGATGCCATTCTATCCCCAGTATAGCCCATTAAAATCTTACTGGTGCTAAACGTAGGGAATGGATGGGTTGCTGGGGGTGCTGGGATTACTATTAAAATACTATGAAAATAGTTATTGTGGATCATTCCCGAAAATTCCCTACTAAGCACCAGTAAGAAATTCCCATGTTATCCCCATTTCATCGCTCCGTCTCTGGCCACGCAGGGACCCCATCTGAGAGACCCTGCAGGGCCAACATGGCACCCATCGGCGCTGGGACCTGAAGGATCTTTACCAAACATCGATGACCTAAGATATAGCAATCCTAAAACAATGGTTGCTAAGTGAAAAACAAGTTGAAAACCTGGAACATACTGGAACTATTTTACTATTTTTCTATTCTAGAAAGTTACTACAATTTGAAATGGGAGACCTGTGAAACAACTTGAAATAACCCATTTTCCACGAGCGAAACCGTGAAACTCTCCCGCAATGTCCACCTCAATTACCAGCCAGGTCCGAAATGATAACAACGTGGTGACTCTGTTTGGATGCGCATCCCAGACTAGTACGTGATTCGTAATCATTCTAACTGCAAATCTACATAACTTGGGTGAACACTCGACTTTAAGCGATGTAACTATTCCTTATGGGTGTTTCCTAGAATTAGGGACCCAACATGCGCTAACATTGATCACTGTTTAGTAGGAAAACACCTGGTTCTTGGGGGTGACCCATTTTTTTTGGGTCTCCCCGCCCCTGTAAAGAACTTGGATCTGGCAATAAAGGCGCCTCTCCTCAGCGAGTGGCTTGAGGCAGTGACCAGTCTTTAAACAGTGGATGGCTAAATAACAGTTGAACAAAAGCCAACCAAATGCATGTACCCTCTGGTAAACTAACATAGCTATTGAAAATGGCCATTTATAGTGGATTTACCCATTAAAAATTGTGATTTTCCATAGCTATGTTAAATTACCAGAGGGTATTTCAGAGTTGATCAACAACAAAAACAATAAAACATGTTTTGACCAATGACATCGCCAGAAAAAATCAAATACACATTTCATCCATGGAACAAGGGCGCAACATGGGATTGAGGTATCAAACAAATCAGAGTGGCCTACGATGCTCAACAATGGAACATGTTATTTTTGCATATCTTGGTTATGTTGTGTAAGCATCCACATGTCATGTTGTAGTATCCACATGTAATAGTATGTGGAACAGGTTATGTTTTTTTGTATCCACATGCATCGATCCATATTACCGATAAAGGGCGCTTAAAAATGGTATCAAACATAGAAACTCCAACAAATTGGGTAGAAACTCCAGATCCGAACCTGGCACCGGCCTATTTCAAAGCCGATGATGCCCTCCATTTCCCAAATTCACAGACGGAGCTTCGATGAGGTTTCGGTCAAGGAAGCACTATCAGTGCTGCCATCTGCAGAGCATTGATAGCCAGGAATATTGGTGGATTTACGCATCAAAATATGGGTTTTCATTTTTTAACCACTAAAGATATGGGGATATATTGTTGATAAATGATGATTGGTTGGATGTGCATCGGAATTCTTTTTCTTGGCTATATACTTCTACCATCTTATCACCCATTAATATAACGTGTATATGAATGTGGATATTCCATGTATCTATAATCCAGAAATTTTACCACGTTTCTGGAAATGCAGGAGTTTTCCTATATCGCTGATCATGTGTTGTTCGAATCTATGCACATAGGTGATTCTCAGAAATTTGCAGAAATCCCCAGGGATCCCCATAGCTCTCTGAGGGGGGGTCAAAAAAAGAATAAAAAAACAATTCTTTTTGGAGCTCCCTCCTCTAGACTTTCCTGGAGGCATCTGGGAGGTCCCTGTGGAGGTCTTTGGTGGTCGGAAATCGTGCCGGACCGTGCCGGACCTATAAAATTATTTTTAAGTTCGAGAATACGACGGCATATTGACAGCACTTTGCAAAATTTATATAGTAAGCAACTGACAAGCAGCACAGCGACATGACGTAGAATGAGAAGCTGCGTGACGTAGCATGAGCAGCTGCCCCCCCCAAAAAAATGGTAAGAACATTGTTTTAATTGTCAAAAAAATAGCAAAATGGGAAATAGCAACACACATGCTTTATGTGGAGAGGGTGTGTTCCATTTTTTGAGCAAGTAATAAATTTGCTGCTTATTGTTTGATCTGGTGCATGAAAAAATCATGTAATAGTGCTTAGTGAGGAAATAATTTCAGATATGACAGTATATAGTAATCTTGCTGCAAGTATACAATTATGTCTATATACCATATAGATAGGAGTCTTCAAGTAGATATTGATGTCCCAAGAGCTCCTTCTCATATATATATAGGCAACATGGATGTTGCATATGCCATAGCCATATGCTCTATCAACACACCCAAGGTGCATATGTGTTTAGAATATCACTGTAGCCGTGTTGTGTATATATGCACATATATATATATATACATTGATGGACTTGCATTTTCCTTGTTATTACTAATTTATGCAGCTATGATATGGATGGTACGTAAGTAGCGTATTCCAATACGTACCCACACATTTTCAACATGTACTTTGCATATGTAATGGAATTCTTCCAGGATTGAATGCGATAAAGACTATTTGGTTGCAACTGACTTTGATCATACGAGTTGGCAAATGGCAAGGGCAACTCCAACTTACCTTTTCTCCAAAAACATTGGTTTTTTCCTGCATATTTCACAGTAATTTGCTATACTGCACATCTAATGCAGGTACCCTATTACCATAGTTGTCTGGCTGTGCTTTTATGACAGGATGAGTAAAACCCAAAAAGAGCTAAGACTGATTATAAAACTTGACAGAAAACAGCTCCCAGAATGCCAATCAAATACATCTAATGACTATTTTCATGTCCGTAAAGCAAAAAATAAATCACCAATATGTTTGATCAATAATGGTTTACTAATCCCCAATCATAATTATTGATAATAAACCTATTATTGTTAGTAAATCACCAATAATGGTAAACTTGGGGATGGTTTACTATTGCAACAATTAACTAACATGACTTTTGCTTCACAGGATTCGGAGGGTCAACTGTGGTCTATTCTCAGGTCAACGGTGTCTTCACAAATTTGGTGCGTCTGCCAGACGGGGGGATACCTCAAACTTATTTTGTAACAGAAAATGCAGGAATATCATTGGCTAAATGCAGGAATAAGTGAATTTAGGGCTAGCCAATAGTCACATAACTTATAAATCATTGTCAACTGTAGGAATTTGGGGCTAGCCAAGTGTCAGATGAAAAACGCCGTTTACCTTATTGACAATTCCAATTATATTCACATTCACATCCCACCGAATCCCAAGTCGTCATGGTGAAATCACCGATATTCCTCATATACCGAACATCCAGTCCTTCATATTAGTTGGTTATATAAAAAATATACACATACCCCAGTAATATCCACGAATGATACCCCCCACTATATCCCAACGATATCCCCATTATATCCAACAAACTTGGAAATAGGTGAAAACCCCCACTTATCAGTAAATCAACCTCAAAAGTCTATTACAACTCCATCAAATGCCAAGTTGCTATTTCATAAATTTTATAGTTGGAGTATAGCCCAGTCCATCTATTACTATGTTTTCCGTGAAATGTCTAGTTGGTGTTCTTTTCCCACCATCACTGGAAGGGTGTTTGCTTGCAAAACACCAGTTTTTCGCCTGAGGAGGCTGCGGCCAAGGCCTCGCCTGCAGAAAAAAAACATATGGACATTTGACCATTGAAAATCCCCATAAATGGTTAACAGTTAATTAACATTAACATGGAAACTGTTAAATGGTTTCACCATCCCCAGAATTAACAGTTTGACCCTTAAAACTGCCAATGATTGCAGTAGTGGAAACTAAACTAATTTTCCCCCTCATTTGACAAGGTCTATCTTGATTGGGCGGATGGTATATAAACATATCGAAACAAATGGAAATTTACCATGAAAAAATGAAACTTGCAAAATTCCAGCCACTAGAACGGACCTCAAGGCGATAGAAAACCAAAGCGCGATGCATTTCACGAGTGCAAAAGAGAATTACAAAAAGGCAGCAACAAAATAAATGTGTTTGCTGGTTTGAAGGCAAACCAAAAAAAACTCGAGTGGGATTTATGTTTTGTTCCCATATTTGTCGCTTTCAAAAACCAGTCTCCCATTTTTGGATGTGTTGATCGCTGATGAATGGTAAGTGGTTTCCAACTCATATAGAACCCATATACACGTGAGATATTTTCATACCGTTGGGTTATAAATACTGTGTTTATCAAATGTCAGTTATCAGCCAATATTTGGGTGATACTATGGTGATATACTCTGGTTGTACTATGTTTCGAACTATCACATGTTTACTTATACATGATACTACTGATACTATAGTATGGCGATCATTGGGTCACTTATACTTATGGCTACACTATGGTTATAAAGAAAAACATGTATAAACAAGTTACCAATCGTAAAAAATCAATAGTCAATATAGCATACTATAACTATACATTAATGGTTTACTTATACATATATTTATGAAATAGTTACTTATAGTGCGATGCACATCCTGGCATAGCACTTGCACTCGATGCCCCACCTGGCGGTGGATGATATGCAGGCCCACCAGGAGAACAGTTGAAGCGCGCCAAGCGCAAGGCGCAAGCCTTCGGAAATGGCTCCAAAGAAGGTCGTTGAAGATATCATTCTGCAGGATGAAGTTCCGTAAACAAAGATGTATAAATATACAAAAATAAATAGTTATGAGGAGATGTATATATTATATAAGTATTATATACATACAAATATAGTTACATATGCATATACGCGTGTATATATATAAATATATACATACATACACAGTATACATGCGTATATATTATATATAATAAATACATACGAATATATATATATATATGTATATATGTATAGATGTATATAATGCAATTACATGTATATAGATGCATATATATATATATATGTATGAATGTGCATATATATATATGTATATATGATTATATCTGTATACACATATGTATATGATATATATATATAAATATAAATATATATATACAGGGTTATTAATATAAACGCTATAAATATGTTTATATCGTTGTGTGCACGTGTATGTGTACGTCGATTTAAATTATGTGCTGCATATGATTGTATATGTATGTGTATATGTTTATGTGCGTTTCTGTGTAAATGTACGTTACATGTAGGTGCATGTGTTTGTGCATATGTATGAATATAGGTCTGTGCGTGTATATGTGTTTGTGTATATGTTGTGTAAGTGTTTATTATACAATATATATATATAAACATTTAATTTTATACATATATATATTTATAAATAAGGTTTCTTGAGGCATTGAGGACTTCAAATTATCATCCAAAATTGGTCATTCTGACCAGCGAAAGCAAGGGTGAAATGGGGAACATCTGGAGATTCAACAAAATCCTGATGGCCTCATGGATCCATTTCCTGAAGACCTACGTTGATCCACAATTGCACTGAACATCAGGTAAGTTTGAATATAATACAAACATGAATTGTTTGCTGTACCCCTACTGCCATTTGGTTTGTTCACAAATGGGCGATACCTTCATGTCATGGCCGTGGCCATTGCATGAAGGATTTGTTTCTAGTATTTCCAAGTTCTGGAACATGATTATTGAGACCATGGGGTGTTGCTCCCTTCTGATAGTTTTCAACCAACCGGATGGCGTTGTAACCCCCACCGACCTCAGATGGCTCCTGCCTGGCAAAAAATCACACACGACGCCCACAAGGCCACGTCCCAGGTGCTGTCGACACCGCCTAAAATAGCCGGGAAAAGTGGTGGATACAGCAGGAAAATATCGATGAAATGCGGTTATGGGTCAAAACATGTCAAAACATAAAACCTTGTACGTCTGGTGAACGCCACAATGGCTGGTAGTAGATGATGATGCGTCCCCAACAATTATTTTATGAGGGTTTGATCCACCTCCTTATCACCAAAACATCAGCAATCATGGTTCATCTGAAAGATTTCTTTGCGAGGAAACGTGGCATATTTCCGACTCGAGGCTTAAAATTCAGGCCGTATTTGGAGACCTGATCACCATGTACGGAGAATTACGATGAACAAGTGGGGGACCCACTAGCCACTCACAAACATTCATATCAAACATGGAACGGCAAAAGTCTTGCCCTACATTTGTACATGAAAACCCTTGTTTTTTGTTGTTCAGTTTCAATTGTGTTTGTGCTGCTCGTGACATGTATGTTGACACCTTATGAGCAAAACATTTTTTTGTGTTTTTTTAGTTACGTTGATCTCCCATTCAGCTCAGTGATTGCGCCACTCAGTAAATCCGACGCTGACTTCATAATTCCCCAAAGACACAACATACAACAAAACACCAGTTCCAAACCACACCGCCAGCTAGGACGCAAACCCACTATATCATCGGTTTGTACCCCATGTTTTGCTGGCTATAGCCCCGCTTGCCACCAATATCGGCCTTTTGCAAAAATAGAGGGGTCGGTTTCATATACCATGTATTGTCATGTATACCAAGTGATTGTTAAAGCGGAGACCCCTCTACTCATCAACGAACCAGTGGGAAAAGGACATACATGCTTGCGACTGGCTTCAAAAGACCTAGGTGTAGCAGTTTTAGCCCAACGTGTTTTTGTTCATGAATACATACTGTTCACATTTTTTCACCAACTTGTAGCACATCCGGTCACTAATGAAGTTCTAACACGTGCCTGGATATTTCAAGCTACCCAAACCTGATGGGGGGTTATTTGTGCTGGTTTCCTGCGCGCCAACCACGGGGCGAATCAGAGAAGATATACTCTTACCATCAAAACTCCGGAAAAACATATGCAACCCACAAAGATGCACATATCATCACGCAATGTGCCTAAACCAGACTTTGCGGTCCTTTCTGTTGGAGGGTGCGGTTTCATTTTTTGAGCGCTGGGCCTGTGCTGAAACCTGGCCCGTCAGAAAGTTCAGCTGCGTACAAGTGGAAAGTTGGTATGAAGAAAGGCTGCCTTGACAGTGTTTGGCGCCAGCTTCGCAAGCGTGTAGGTCGGAAACAGCCTGGGGTAATTGAAAGTCTTTTCTGGCTCGGGGTGTGATGGCATTGTTGCTTTTCTTTTTAATGTTCCTGTCCATTTACATTTACATACGGCATTCGAGCGAGGGTTGCGCTTGTCAGTAATTACGATGTTCAATTTTGCAGTGGTAAAAAACTTCGAAAACAAACATCCCCGTGGTTTCTGCTACGAAGCTCAACAATAATAGCGATTGGGACCTTGCCCTTTATGGGTCATCCCCTCTGACCCAACAACCTAAACCAATTCAGGCTACAGCTTTGAAACCCGGCCATACCCCTGGCACTGAACTTGCGGAGTCTAGGTGGGAAACAATGACCTTCAGGGACCGAGTGTGGATCAATGGAACCCCTTCGTAGTTGAAAATGAAGTTATTCAGTGAAATGTGTGGTCAATAATTCGCGAAACAACTTATCATGAAAACAACGACATCATCTGGGGTACATTTAGGTGAATCAAATAACCAACATGACTTTTTCATCAATTTTGGTGATGTGGATAGTAATCCCATTAATACTGTAGCTGTATATTCTGAATTTGATATCTTCGGAGCCTCCACAAATAGGTTTTCTGAATCTTAAGATTTAACTGCTCCTAATTTGAAGGCTGGGTCGCAGGATGGGGTCCAGGGGTGGGGAAGTCCAGGGCTGGCGGCCAAAACCCAGTCATAAAAAGAATCCCCGTTTACTTTTCCCTCATAAGAGAAAAACATGGAAACTAAAAATGAAACTGCCACATGGAGGGTTCAATCGATGATTCGGATTCTTTCCAAGGATTTGAACAAATTATGTTTTTTCCTGGCCAAAGAGGTGATACAGTAGGAACTACTGACAGGCGGGAAGGCCTTTAACAAGGGCAATTGGCTGATGTAAGCAAAAATAGTGAAAATGCAAAGATTTACAAATCAGTCTAAGTGCATTTAAGATAGTAACTGATGTAAGGAGGGGGCCTGGGAGACGCCTTCCTTACATCAGTCGGGAGCGCTCCGGAGTGATGTAAGGAGGGGGTTTCCCAGGGCGTTTGGATCCAAGGCAAGCATCTATAAAAATAGGTGCCAACCTGCCATTGAAATGGATCATGAAAAATCAACGGTAAATAATTAATAAATATTGATATTGTAATATATTATTTGGGTAGTTGGCTGATTTCGTTGACCACCTGCGTAACGACCTTATCCCGATTTCAATAAACCAACGGGTGAACGATTCAATATCGCATCATCTTCAATGGGTCACCCCAATGGGATCATACGTATGGCCACGCAACACCCTTAGCCAAAAAGCGAATGGGTCCATCGTCTAAGGCTAAGAAGTTAACGGAAAATTTGAAAATACAACAAGGTGTCAATGGGTGACTTACCAAGAAAGCATGTGATCCAAAATGCAAATTGTGGAATCTAACAAATACAGTACCCCACTTGGTCCAATGTGGAATCAAATCGTGTCAATTTCCCTGAACGCCAGGGCGCACATTTAAGAGACCCAAAATCACAAACAATGGGATCTGAGATTGAAATGGTGAAAACCACAGAAGAAATATTTGACTATCTTGAATGCAGGACAGTCATTGTGATCATATCAAATTATTACATGTCCTTGTTGTCGTCGACATCATCGTCATCATAGCAACAACAATAATAATTATCGTCATCATCATCATCATGATCATGATGAGTAGTTAGTGTATTCCAATCATCATCAATTAACCATCTACAATTCCAATTCATGGGTAGTATATTCCAATGGTTCATCATCATCATCATCATCATCATCATCATCATCAAATACACGAACAAACATGCGCCAAAACGAGTTGATAATAAGCCCCTCCAAACGCTCCACCTGGTGATGACTGATCTGCCCAGGCAAACATCACCAGCGCCGGCGCCACTCCGAAGTTCACCAGGTCGCCTGGTTCAACGTGGATGAGACCTGGGGGGTACCCGGATGACTTAGAAAATCTCCATAGTAGTCACTAAATTGCCTGAAAAATGAGTTTCCACCCAATTTATGCTGATATATGCTGATTCTACTGGGGAAAATTAAATTTTATAATATCTTTCAAACCATCCAATGTTAGGGGTACCATATCTTGAGACGAACCTACATTTTAGAGGAGGTGGCAAGCAAGCAAACAGGTGGTAGCTAACTAGCCAAAATGTGTATATGTCAGGGAACATCGTAGGGACCATTTGAGCGGCATTTGCGGGAGTCTATGTCAAATGCGTTATTGTTTATGTGGGTCATGTTTGGACCATGGCGATCAGAAGGATGGATTTTGCATGATGTTCAGGTAAATCTGCAAAAAAGTCACCAGCCAAATTCCCCCTTGACACATTGATACACCACGCACCGTGCCTAGGGAGTCTAACTCGCCACCGAAGACAGTCACAGCGTCCAGAAGTCTGGCGGTCTGTGAAGGGTCCATGGATGGGCTGAGGTTCAGTAGCCTGTATCACACAATGAGAATACCATGGGGTAAACCCGTATATGTTCACAACAATAACTATACATACACACATTTATTTATGTACGGATTACTGTAATTCTACAAAACAAGTAAAAAGACGACAGTAAAAAGGTTTAAGCCAAATAACAAAAACAACCATAGTATGATAATAAATATACAATAACAAAAGTGATGAATAATAACAATAATGATCAACATCACATTGCAAATATCAAAACAATAATGCTTCGGCTTATCTGAGATACCCGTAATGCCCTAAAGCTGAGTCTTAAACTGTTCCTGACATGCTGGAGTCGTGGGGCTTGTGCCAGCAGAAATTCGTCTTTCCTGCTGAAATATTGGCCTTCCTCCTCCAACGCGCCCGATCTAATCCTTGCAGAGAAAAAATGCTTTACTGGTTGGTGGTTTCAACCCATCTGAAAAATATTGATCAGTTGGGACTATTATTCCCAATATATGGGAAAACAATGTTCCAAACCACCAACCAGTTTATATCAGAAACACTCAGAAACCTTCCGAAACGGCCTTTTTTTACGTGAGACATAGGCCGAAACGATCGGCGTTGGATGAAGCATTCTGACATTCCCACTGGATCCCAAGAGCTTTCCATCCAGTCATGGGGCCAAATCCCCAAATCATCCAGTCGTCATGAATGACCATGACTTAGTATTGAAACATATTGAAACATATTGAAACATATTGAAACATATTGAAACATATTGAAACATTGAAACCCATGGTGACTTTGGGATCTCCTTTTATGCCTTTGAAAAATACCTTGCCCAGGGCCTTTCCCAGCATCAAACCTCGCCTCGCAACATGCCCATCCAAACCATCGCAAACAGCTGCTGCGATGATCAACCTGCAGCAACTTATGGAGGGATCGAAGATCATCCCACTTTGTAATTGGATGGCCAGAGTAAATCCCAATATCCCAATTCTATAAGGGATAGACATGGATAAAGCCATGAATCCATAACTTACAGATACTTACAGTATGATCCCCATCATCCCATCTCATTCATTCGTGAAAGTCTCTCACTCATTCATCCACTCGCTCGTTCATTCGTTCATTCAATCATGCATTTGTTTCATTGATGGATCTCACGCGAACAACTCCTTCGATGCATTGTGCATGCCTCAGACTTTCCAATAGCCCACTGTATAGCCACTGCATGTAACTGCTCTTTTCCAAGAGTGTCGCCTCGTCCGGGCACTATTGGTATCTCATGATAAACATCACAGCTAGGAAAGGGTTTTACGGTTCTACCCCCACTTGCCGCTAGCCGCTATCTAATGTAAACAAACGTAAGCAGATCATACAGGTGCTGACAATATTTAATCATTGGTTAATCAATATTGAACATAAACATACATAAACATACATAAACATACATAAATATCATATTCGCTAGACATCTTCTAACTGGGTCATGTTCCAGTCCCTTGGCGCGATGAATCCTTTCATTTCGGATGCCACGGAAATCACTGGGAGTCCCAGCCCTGCGGCCGAAGACCACTGCTGTGCGAAAGCCACCCCTAAGGCACCAGCTTGAAACACTCTGGGTGTGTTTGAAAATGGGGTACCATCTGGTTATTTAACATAGCCATGGAAAATGGCCCATTTATAGATGCTTGGTTTCAAAAGGAACATGATGATCAATATTGATTAACCAATAGAACCCTATGGACACACATAGGGGAATGGCATGGATGCATTCTCTACTCATGTGTTGTCCTTTTGATTTCTCTAGGCTCTGCTAAGACAGGATGCTCCATGGTGGACAGTGGCTGGAATTGCTCTCAAAAAACTGGGCCTCTTTCGACTCTTGATGTTGTCCAGGTATCTGCAAACTGCAAACGTGTTTTTCATATCAGTCTAATATAGGAAAAGTATGGGTCAAAGTTGGATAACTGAAAAACACAAAAATCCAATCTTATGCATCCATATCAATACTGACACTTATCATCACTTATCTAACTTTGATCCATGGATCATCATGGATGCATGCGATTCACAGAAACAATTGGGATGGGAGAGATCCACTCCATTCGTGGTCCCAAACAGGTCCAACAAATGTTGACAATAAAATCCCCAAATCTGTCCAGTTACTGTAACATACTGTAACCCCCTAATTTGCACACACCCTGAGAATCAGGGTGGCTTATGATCCAAATTCCAGTTTTCCAAATCATGGAGCTTTCAGAATCATGGAGGTCCCCCAAACCATGGAACTTTCAATCCTCAAAGAGTCGGAGTTTGGAAGTTTTCGGGTACCCTCCGATATTGTCCACAAACTGAACGGCAACGTCCTGGTTTCATCTCGCCAAAACAGCGTCTGGGTGTCCGGTCTCATCGCCGTGAGGCTACAGGCAAGAGCTCCTAACGTTAGAGCCTTGGCGCAAGTTGGACAAGTTGTACAAGTTGGAGCCCTGGAAATCTGAGGTCAATCTCATCAGCATCCTGGAATCACCATCTTGAAATGATTATCCCCACATGGAATCACCAAAAGATAATCATCATGGAATCTCATCATCATCAATCTGATTCTATCTTTTGGGGGATTAAACGGATTACATCATATTAAATCTACTCTATGTTCGCTTACAACTGGAACCCCAGTGGTACCTCAGGACATGTATCAACCTGGATAAATATATGATGAATAGAATAGTTCAAAACCTGTTTCACCCACCATAGCTATAGTTCATCACCCTGAAACGTTTGGCGGTTTGAGAATGATTCCCTCTGCCAACCAACCGCAATGTTGGTGCTTCAGTGACCTTTGGGTTTGGTAGAGGTTCAGGATTGGGAGACTTCTGATGTTGAGGTTACACAAGGATATGTCCAGTGGTTGGAAGGGGGAACTTTGACGCTCTGACTTGCAAAATAAGCAGCATCATTCAAATTCAAACCATCACCAACTTTCATACATAATTCATTCCCGGTTAATTGTTGTCGTTTGTTGCCCATTGGCATCCCATTGGTATGGTGGATCTTGCAGACCTTGTTCTTTTCTACAGCACACGAACGACTCATGATGGGTTGCACCATCATGAACTAAAACACGTGGAAAACCCTCGAAGAGCGGCCAGGAGTTTCCATGACAAAGGTCAGTTGACGTTTATCCACCATTCCCTTCAACAACATGTTCAATAAGACTGCAAACCAACAACCTTGAAAAACATGTGACGCCTTCAGTTTCAACAAATCAAACTCAACCGGACCCAACCCCATCAACCACCCTGAAGACCGTGGAGGATCCTCCCCACTTAGATAGTAACTGCTTCAAAAAACGGCGAAGGTCATCCCAATTCGACAGTAGCTGCTTGGTAAATATGGAAGCTTCCATGAATGATGGTACCCCCAAGCTCGCTGGATGGTTTGTTTATGTTTGTTTCATGGAAAATCCAAAAATCCGAAAAAAACAATCAGATGAGTGAATGATAGCCCCATGACTTCTTGGAACCCCATGGAACCCCCCCCCTTCTTGGTGCTTTAGATGGTTTCAGTCTGCTGAGTTCCCCCATCCAACGGCAACGGTGTTTCGAGGGATCCCTGTGGCTTCCAAGGAGCCGATGGGGCTGCCAAGCAAAGCCATTGCGGCGCACGTGACGACGCCTTCACCTCCTGCCAGTGCTGAATCAGATTCCCCTGGGACAACACGTGGGCCCCCAAAATGATAGCTAAGCTAAGTCACTATGGTTTATGATATTCATAACTTTATATGGTTGTTTTGCAATTTATGAACATACTTATAGCCGGGTATATCAGGGTAAATTATAGTATTATAGAATTATATAACATTATGTAACTAACTAGCCTGAAATAAGATGTTTTTGGGATGTTTCCCTACATCAACCATGATTTCAGGAATCGGTCGTAGTGAGGTCACTACAACTTAGCCAGATGTGTATGGAGCTTTCCGAAGGCATCGGGGTACCCAAAACATCATCCTAATTTTTGACCATATTTAGCATTGAACCCGTGGTGACTTGGGGGTCAAGTCACTGGGCACCCCAATAATTAGATTATATATATATATATACACATACACTTATATATATATATTATAGATTTTAAACATATATTAAATATATAATATTATTATAGTAGAACCTGTGGTATCTTTTTGGGTTTAAAAAATCTGATTCATAGCCATACAACTGGGGAGATCACCATGATATCTAGATATTCTGAAACTAAGGGATGTATTATTATGCATGATGTATGTATATTATTGTATATTATATAATATCATGTATTGTATATTATTGTATATTATCTTTCTTGTTGTCTTATGTGGATTAGGCTTCAATTTTGATGTTTGATGGTTTCGAAAAACAAACGTGTTTGGTGGTTGTACCTCTTCTCAGGTTATTCTCAGAGGTATAGACAACGAAGGAAAGCAAATTCACCACGGCTTTTGGACACAAAGACCTTTACACAGAGCTACGGTCAGAGAGTTGGAAAGCCATAGGATCCATGTATGGTATATATACTAACATTGGGGGTATATTGATGGTAAATGTTACCATGTATACCATACATGGATCCTATGGGAATAGCCGCTGAGAAATAGAAACCTCATGATAATAGTTGGGACGTCCCAAAAGACTGTATGGAAGCTGCCGTGCTGCTGATCAAATTCGGTGGGACGACGAGAATTTCTATATATGGTGTGTGATTGACAGTCTATTTATAGCACATGTTTTACCAAAAATCGACCCATGAACCCGTCAAACCACGGCTAACGGTTAACCCATCAGAGACACCTTTCTCACCATCTGTCAGAGTTGGCAGTTTAGCAGCTACAGTGCTCTTTGTATTTCTTTGTTGCTTCTACTTGGCTGGTCGGTCCAGGTTGGGTCCCTCCCAAATTTTGAGTTGATCAGCCACAAAAAAACCCTCCTCCGGCATTGCGGAGGGTCGCGGAAGCGCTGGCGAAGTGCCACCGTTTAAAAGCTATGGCCGGAAAATGCAGGCGAAGCAGCCCAGTGGCAGTTGCCGTGTTTCAACGGGAAACCAAAACACGAAATGAAACCAACTGGTGAAGCTGCACCAATTCTCAAAGTGATGATTTCGGTCCGGTTTCTGGATCCATACGAGTCAACTATCAAGGTAAGCTGACAGAACTAGTCGACTAGCTTCAAACCGGCATCATACAATCTATGTCTCCGTTCTGCCTCTTTGCAATCCTTTCGAGCCCAATGTGCACAATGCATAGCAAGCCTATCGCCTTGACCTGTGGGCTCACGGTGAAATTTACGTAGAGGGGGAGCTAGCAATGCTGTTGTCGTATGTCCTTATTAATATGGTTCGGAGGCAGTTTCGAAGTGGGATGGTAGTGCAATGTGCCCTGAAAGTGCAGCTTATAATATTGAAATGTACGATATATATATATCTATATATATCTATATCTGTGTCTATATCTATATACACGTATATATAGTGTAAGATATGATATTCATGTGTAAATGTTTGATTGCTCAATATGATGTTTCTTCAACGTATCCCTTTCAGCAACACAGCACATTCTCCTTAGTGCACTTACCCGTAGCAAATCTCTCAATCTTTTTGTTTCCATTCTGGGCTGTCGAATCAGCCGCATCGTGGTTAGAGGAATCTTTGCCTGCCACCGTGACACTGCTATGTCCACCATGAATCAAACAGTCATGGTACTTACCAACAGAAACTTGTCATCTATCAAGTATAAGTCCCAATTGTTGTCTTGCTGGTCACATCCCACTGGTTCATTCACTAAATACGAATTTTAGATTTTAGAGTCCTATCTTTGAGACCCCCAGATGGTATTACCCACTACATTCCCATGATATTCCCATGATAATCCCAATTTTTCATGATAAAATCCTCATTTGTGTCCCATATAAATCCACCATTTTTCCTGCTTCATCCCCACGGCGGACCCCCCGGACCTCCAACCAGCAGAGCGAAGCACCAGCTGAGGCGTCGCAGGACACTGTGCAGCAGCCACGCAGCGGTATAGCACAGGAGCAGCAGAGCGGCACAGCGAGAGAAGAAGTCGATGAGAAGAAAATCTTTGCCGTGCGGCTCCACATAGCCTGGAGCTGTAGTAGTATGATGTAATGTATATAAATGTAAAGATTCATGTGAAGATTAATGACATCTGTATGTGTAGACTGATTTCATTTCATAGAAAGAAATCTGCTAGAGGGAAGATACAAATGCGATTGTTTGTTTTATACACTACACATTTTCTGCAAATACCCGACATTCAGTTTTCTCATATCTCATCCTAAAAGAATGGTGTTAAAAGAATGGCCAATGATTCCTAATACTATGTTTATTGCGTGAATGGTGTTAACCTGATGTGTCGAATTCTTGGGGGTTCAATCTGGTTGAATGGTCGCCAATGAGACAATTTACATCAATTTACAGCCAACCTTAGAAGCATCTCATCATTCTTCTCACTTTTGGATATCTCTAAATGTGTGCTCCAAAATTAGCTCACTTTTGGATACCTCCATGCATGTGTGAACAACTTGTCAAAGAATACCCCATTCACCAATCCCCATTATCCATCCATATGGGGGGTTTCCACAAATGGGGATGCGGGATACCCCAAGCTCGCTGGATGGTTCATGGAAAACCCCATCTATAAATGGATGATAACTAGGGCCTAGGGCTAACCCCAATTTAGGAAACCTCCATCTCCGCAACCGCCGTGGCCGTTGCCTTCCAAGATGAAGAGCGACACCGGCAGCATCGGCAGTGTCAGGTCCGTCAGATCGGGAGCCACGGAGGGATCCAGCGGAAGCACCGCAAGAAGCAGAGGCCACAGGAGGCTCCGCACCTACGAAGGCGGAACAATGGCTGAAGTTGGAGAAAATACGTTTGAGGGAAATGATCAGTGTAAGATTTTTGAAGTGATATTAGGATATTGTGGGATGATATTGTGGGATATTATGTTTATAAACTGTGAGTTCTCTAAACTATTTTTGTTATTCTTTGTTGATAAGCAAGCAACATGACAAACTAAATCGAATCGATACGTGAATGGAAATTAACAAGTGTCATCTATCTACAATGGTTGACATAGCTACACCATAGTGAAATGGTAGTCGCATGAAATTATGTGGTGATGAGCCCAGTCATATTGGGATAGTTTGATGGAAACCGATCTACTAGGCGGCATTATTGTGATAGTGCATCATTAAGATAGATTTGCCGGAGAGCCTGAAATGGCAACAACAAAATATATAATATAAATCCTAAGGACTCAACCTGCAACCTGTCCATGTCTTCTGAAGTCGTCTGATCTACAGGGCATGACATCCCAGGTGGTTTTGCCAGGGTGAGGGTTTAAGCTGGATACATATCATGGTAACCAAGTGATAATTAGACCCTCATTTACCTCATCCTGGATACATATCTATGGTCACCCATTTACCCTCATGAGCTGAATTCTATCGGCCTCTATGGTAATCAAACCTAGTGATAATCCAACTTGCCTATTGAGAAATCAGCTGCAAACGCGGGAAACTGAAACTGGTCCTGGCATCACGGGGCATGAGACCGTGGGCTGTGATGAGCAACAAGAACGGGGCCGTCTCATCCCGTTTCAACAGGATGGGGCCAACTGGATTACTAGAACTAGCCGTATCTGCATTGTTGGAATTGTCCTGGATGATCTTAGATCTGCTATTGGAATTTTCTTGCAACATGTCTTAGCCAGTCCAAATGGCTAAGAACATCTGCTGATGGATGCATATTTGTTTCATATAGATAATATAGATAATATAGATAATATATATATAATAAATAATATATATATAATATAATATATATAATATATATAATATATAGAATATATAATATATATAATATGATATATAATATATATAATATATTATATTAAATTATATATTTTATCTGCAACTGCAAGGCACTTCTGTGGCATAGATGACCGCCAAACCACCAGCCGCAATGCAACATCGTCGTGTCAGGGACGTCGACCTCAATCTCGGAGGTAGACAACCCAGGTGAACCAACCCTTTGTCAAAAGTGATGAGCTTCGATTCGGCTTACCCTCTGGTAAACTAACATAGCTATGGAAAATCACCATTTTTAATGGGTAAATCCACTATAAATGGCCATTTTCAATAGCTATGTTAGTCATTACCAGAGGGTAACCAAATGACCATCATTTCTGCAAGGGACCATCTGACCGAGAGAAGTGCAGAGGAGGTCAACAGCAACGCAGATCGAAGGTCCTTCAGAAGTATCTCCTCGCTCAAAGATGTGGGAAAAGGTCTCATCTGGAGAGTCGTTTCCGTTTCATCTGAGATATGTTGGCCAATTAGTTAGGGATCATCTGTGGCCGGGGCGAACATGGAAAACCGCTTTGAAAACACCCACCAAGTCTTGTATCCGAATCAGCTTTTAGTCTAGAGAAACGCCAGCAACAACCAAGGGAATTCGACAAACTGTTGGGGAATTTGTTCAGGCAATTGTGGTACATCTTTGTATGGCAATGGACATGATTTTCCCGCTCTTGACAATTAGTAAAATCCTTGACATTACGTGTGCACATAAAAGAAACCCGCCATCAGAATCACATGCAAGTGGTACTCACAGTGGTACTCACATGCACTCGGCATCATACACACACCATAAATCCATGCAGAAAACCACCTTCCAAGTCCAACAAGACACAGTCAGCCGTGGTCTCCCACCGATTCCTGGCTAGCTAGCCATCCCGGTAGCGGCCACGACAAAGCCGCAGCGGACACCAATCCCAGCAGTGCTGCAGGAGTGGGAGCAAACGAGGCCTGCAGGTGGCTATTTGGACTGGGTGGTTCTTTTCAGGGAAAAGCTGGAAAAAAAACATGGTTTTTGCATGGTTTGCTTCATCCAAATGGAATGGTTTTCTCGAGATTTTTGTTGGTTTGACCACTTTGCACTCTGGAGGAGTCATTCGATGTGTCTGAAATCTTTCAATATTTTTCACTCGTGCACCTATCAAGGTTTAATGATGTCAATGGGAACATGATGAATAATTGGCTGACGGACATGTACCCCTTTGAATACTCCTCGTCGTGACTATATACAATTGTATGTATGCATGCATGTCACAATCTCTTCTTGATGCCTAGCCCACACCCTTACCAAACTTTCTCAAGATGTATCACCCATCAGAGACAGGCGATTCCAGCCGCGCCAGAAGCAGAAGGGGCACCGAGAAAATCAAGTAGCTCCACTCCAGCCGCAAGCGGCCCAAATGGCGGCAGCCTTGTCGAGAGGGGTGGTTCTTTGTCCCAGACCCATCCCAGAAACTGTCCACGGATAGCTTAATGCTTGCGCTTGTGTGCATAAAGACATCTTGTTGCCAAATCTGTGGTTGATTCCACTTCCATAAATTAGGCTCCGAATCTGTCCGGGAATACACACTGGACGACGTATATGAGCTACCATTTACAGTATACAATAGCAACCCAGAAAAAGATAGAATAGTCTTTAACCATCATCATATAACTATTTTTACCTAGGATTTTACTTTCATCATAGAATATTGGAATATCATAGATATTATATGATATGTTCAATTTTGTATGATTTTATATGATTTTGCTATCTTTTTTTGGTGCTTGAACCCCCAAGGAGATGTGAATCCAGCCCCGGAGCCTGCGCGGAGGTCGGGGCGGAGGGTCAGCAGGGGCTGGTTCACCTCCTGAAAGCAGCTGCGCCAGGGCACATACCTTGGAACCGAGAGGACATCTTGCTGCAGTTTTCATCCAAAACCATAAGAAAAGGATTGATTATTGGAGGATAATATGACATATCCGGGATAATTTGCAATTAAATTCTATTGAAGTGTAATTTCAATTTACCACAAATAGAATCTGAAAGTAGTCAATTTCTACTGGAAACTATTCTTCCAACCCCCAACTTGTGGAGGGTCTAATTCTATGAATTTGGGCGATGACAATTGACACATCCACTTAAATCGTATCTACGCTGATTTTCGTTTGGCACATTCATGCATCTCATACATCTACCAATTTTATATATAGGCAGTGTGAAGGGTCGACGCACTTCTAGATCGGGCCACTGTAACCCCAAGCAACTCTGATTGCCCGACCGTCCCCAAGGGAAATATCTGGCTGCGGTGCCCGGAGTGAAGATGTTTGCCGTCCATTGGGGGCTAAAATGTCACTCCATATCAAAGAGTCGAATTTGCAGCCGCAGCCCGCCCTTCCTCACCATTGACCAGCCAACAGGCTTTGTTTGAGCGAACATCTGCAAGCACCGCTCAGGCACAGTTTCCCCATCTAGCGTGGGATTGTTATGTAAATGTTCTAAACCAGTCCTATGGCGACTTTTCACCCCTCACTTTCAGCTTGTTCCAGTCACCAAGCACCACTGGAGAAGACGTTGACTGTCAGCCTCAGATCATCATTGCAGTCAGACTTTTGGAAGAGGAAACAACTCAACACCAAATTGAAGATCCCCATCTGGTGCACTCCGGAGAGTCCTGTCCTGGGAAAATATCGCGATTAATTTTTGGGGTCCTGGCCTTTTTGAGATTAAAATCCTGGTGCTTGACATTTCTTGCCGGAATTTATAGTCTCAGACGAATAAAACTTGCAGGCGCTAATTTCCTGATGCCTAAGGTTTCCAGAAAGGCATTTCTCCCCGTCTAATATTAATTAAATTCCTGGGTGCCAACCCTTATATAATGCTCAACAAACAACCCCTCAACATATGCTGTTAACCGACTTATTTCCTGGGACCCAAGGTTTACATATGAATGTTTCGAAGCCCATGACAGATTCGAGTGGGGGCTATCTGAAGACGAACCCAAAACTCAATTGTTAATTGTTTATCGCATGAGTCACCACATTCCCAATTACTTGGGAGTATGTAAAGTTAAGAATCAGATGCTTTGGGGCTTACCGCAATTTCACAACCACCCAAATTAAATCACGTGTTAACAAAATCCTGGGCTGCACGGACCACAACTTTAGCAAATAACCCGCGCCCATATTAAATCGTGGATCCGAACGTATGTCATATGTGTTTGCACCCTTTCGCATGGACAAATGTATTTTCAGCAAAAAAATGTGTTTTGCATTTTGGGCGCGCGTTGACACAAAAATTCTTGAATTTGTCGCATCATTTCGTATCTATGGATGGTTGGCCTGGTGATGCGACTTTTTTCCTGTGGGGCCAACCTTTCCCCTGCGCCTCGGCCTCTTCAGGTCACCTTTTTGGTCGGTGAAGCTGAACATATGTGGTTGTAGAACTTTTTCAAGGACACATGTAATTTCAAAAAAAAACCGGTGTTTTGAATTTTGGGCGCGCGTTGACACAAAATTATTGAATTTGTCCCATCATTTCCTATCTATGGATGGTTGGCCTGGTGATGCGACTTTTTTCCTGTGGGGCCAACCTTTGAAGATCATCCGCATGTATTCAGCCAAAAAAGGTCCAGCCCCTTGGAATTTATTTTTGACACCTGCGCCTCGGCCTCTTCAAGTCACCTTTTTGGTTGGTGAAGCTGAACATATGTGGTTGTAGACTTTTTCAAGGACACATGTATTTTCAAAAAAAAACTGTGTTTTGAATTTTGGGTGCGCGTTGACACAAAATTATTGAATTTGTCCCATCATGTCCTATCTATGGATGGTTGGCCTGGTGATGCGACTATTTTCCTGTTGGGCCAACCTTTGAAGATCATCTGCATGTATTCAGCCAAAAAAGGTCCAGCCCCTTGGAATTTATTTTTGACACCTGCGCCTCGGCCTCTTCAGGTCACCTTTTTGGTTGGTGAAGCTGAACATATGTGGTTGTAGCCTTTTGCTAGGACAAATTTATTTTCAGCAAAAAAACATGCGTTTTGCATTTTGAGCGCGCGTTGACAAAATTCTTGAATTTGTCCCATCATTTACTATCTATGGATGGTTGGCCTGGTGATGCGACTTTTCCTCTGTGGGGCCAACCTTTGAAGATCATGCGCATGTATTCAGCCAAAAAAAGGTCAGCCCCTTGGAATTTATTTTTGACACCTGCGCCTCGGCCTCTTCAAGTCACCTTTTTGGTTGGTGAAGCTGAACATATGTGGTTGTAGACTTTTTCAAGGACACATGTATTTTCAAAAAAAAACTGTGTTTTGAATTTTGGGTGCGCGTTGACACAAAATTATTGAATTTGTCCCATCATGTCCTATCTATGGATGGTTGGCCTGGTGATGCGACTTTTTTCCTGTTGGGCCAACCTTTGAAGATCATCCGCATGTATTCAGCCAAAAAAGGTCCAGCCCCTTGGAATTTATTTTTGACACCTGCGCCTCGGCCTCTTCAAGTCACCTTTTTGGTTGGTGAAGCTGAACATATGTGGTTGTAGAACTTTTTCAAGGACACATGTAATTTCAAAAAAAAACCGGTGTTTTGAATTTTGGGCGCGCGTTGACACAAAATTATTGAATTTGTCCCATCATTTCCTATCTATGGATGGTTGGCCTGGTGATGCGACTTTTTTCCTGTGGGGCCAACCTTTGAAGATCATCCGCATGTATTCAGCCAAAAAAGGTCCAGCCCCTTGGAATTTATTTTTGACACCTGCGCCTCGGCCTCTTCAAGTCACCTTGTTTGGTTGGTGAAGCTGAACATATGTGGTTGCAGCCTTTTGCTAGGACAAATGTATTTTCAGCAAAAAAACATTTGTTTTGCAATTTGGGCGCGCGTTCAGGACCAATGTACCCCTTTGCAAGGACAAATGTATCTTTGGAATTTGTTCCTGATGTCTAACCTACGCACATTCAGCATTATAATCATTATAGCACCATTTTCACAGATTTAAATCCTGGTTCCCAACCTTTTAGAATCATGTAAAGAACCATACCCCCTCAAATAATCATGGGGCATTTTTTTCCTGGGGTTTGACGTACATATATGTTCCAGTGAACTCCCCCCCATGAACATTACTTTCCTGTGGCCGGACGTTTGCAAAATAATCTTGAAATATTTTGACATATTTTGAACCAAAATTGTTTTCCTGGGTTCGAAGGGACGCATGGGTTAGCATGTGCAAATCGGTGATTTCAAGATTATTAATTTTGATAGTGGACTCCCAGGAAAATAATTTGCATCACCAGATGGGGATATTGAAGGTTAAATTAATTGCGTGCGAATTAGGACATTATTAGACTTACAACCACCTCAACAAGATGCATTGCTAGGTGCGAAGGCATCATTCGAATTGGTGCGGTGACTTGGAGGTCTCAGTCTAATCATGTGGTTGGAAAGCTCTGATAGCAGCTCCTTGGTGCATTGCGCATGTTTTTTGTACCTGCCAGAAGCTCCGAACCGCTCGAGCCAACGCACAGGACAGACAGGAGTATCAAACCATTTTTCCACAATTTTAGTCACCATAATCATGATTATAATCCATAATCATTATCATTATCATGATTATGGACAAATCACCATAGTCATAATGGTCATTATCATTTTACCATGATCAACATGAGATTTTTAGTCACCCCTGGGTGGATCCTAACCTAAGAGATCATCGGGTAGCCAAAGCCCACTTGGTTGAACCCAACTCTTGACCTCGGCATCCAATGCCCATTCAGTAAGCCTTAAGCCTTAAGCCTCATCTATGGACTGTAGCAGGCCAAATACTTTTCCCAAAAAAACAGTATGGGTTCGCTAAATATGCACAGACTAATACAAGAAATGAACATTCACTGTGTGCGTTCCAGTCTCTTGAACATTAATTGACTTATACACTTCTACCGTCTTATACCCACAAAAAGATGCATACAGCCGCTGCAGCCATTCCAAACCCTGGGTTATCCCATCTAGTATGTACATACAATTTACAATTTACAATTACATATATATGATCTATGGATCACTCTTGGGCTTTGGAAAATGATATTCCTACACTATGATCTATGCACATATGATGCAGATTTCTATGTCAAACACTGTAAAACAGCCATGATCTTCTTTCCAACAAAGCTGCTACGTCCAGTTGCGTCCCAGCAACCCTTCCAGTTGCCGCGTCAGCAGCTGCCAGGCTCCCAGCAACAGCAGTAGCTGAAGGCCTCGGAGCCACAGGACGCCACAGACCTGCAACGGTCAGCGTTTCGGGCGCACGAAATGCCGGAAATCCCCAAGGAGTACGGAAGATCTGAGAGGTTTCTGGCTGAAAACATATGAAATCTATGGATCTATGTCCCATAGGATCCATGTATGATATATATATATATGCTAACATTTGGGGTATATTGATGGTAAATGTCACCATATATAGCATACATGGATCCTATGGATCTAGAATCTATATGGACTTAATTGGATCTTAACTGGGCTTTAAATGGTGATTTTACGATCAACACATGGAGATTTAATGGGATTTAGCCTCAGGATGGCCCATTTAATTCGATGAATGGACCGTTTCTTTTTACATGATGGTTACACTATTCACTATTGTACCTTCCATTGCAAACTCTTAAAAATTACCAGAGGGTTAGATTAGGGATGCTAGAATTTGCGAAGATAGTGTACGAACAGGACTTACATATACTTGATATACTTATATAAGTATGCTTAAGTAAGATTCGATTAAGCTTAATAGTAATCTGATTGATAGTTGAATGGTCACTCTGGGATCATACCATTTCTGATGCTATGTTTCCTAATGGTCGTGATTTCAACAGTTTTCTGTTTATAGCAAAGCTTGGGCTTAGATATTCCTTCATCAGGGGAATACAACACATATCAAATATATAATGTGTTTTTGTTGTCATGTGAGATCTCATATTTCTCCATCAATTTTGCAAACATAATCCCCACATGAAACAACCATGCATCTGGGTCATCTTGTTGGTTCCCAGCTGTACCTGCCCACATGGAGAGCCCGAGGCCGTCCGCGCCAAGCGGAGGAGTTGGAGAGCCAGGTAGGCCTGGACGAAACTGCGACAGGTTGGGAATTCTCTGGGGCTCAAGGCATAGGAAGCTCCGTTTGACCACGAAAGGCTTGTCAATTTTGAGATTTTATCTAATTTTGGGCCATACAACTTCCTCAAATGGCTCAATTCTCTATGGCTCAATCTTTTCTGTATGGCTTCCATCCCAAACTGGTGGTCAAAGATGTTGAGCCATGCAGTACCGATTTGAGTGTGAGACAACGCCCCACCTAGCGAACATCAAAACAGGTGGCAGTTCTGGATGTTCATCCTCGAAAAGTTGGTAGCATAGGTTTTGACCCATCCTCAATTGTGGTTTTCCCAGCACGAAATGGGTGAAGATCCTCCAGACCAAGGTTGGCAACCCTGAGGCTATGGGCCATATTCACCCATTTTCCATAGCTATCTTAAATAACTAGCTGGTTGGTGGTTTGAACCCCTCTGAAAAATATGAGTCAGTTGGGATGATGAAATTCCCAACTGAATGGAAAGTCATAAAATTCCATGGTTCCAAACCACCAAGCAGTTAAATACCCTCTGGTAAACTAACATAGCAATGGAAAATCACCATTTTCAATGGGTAATCCACTATTTCAATGGCCATTTTCAATAGCAAACTGTTAGTCATTACCAGAGGGTAACCAGAGGGTAAACCCACCCACCGGTTGGTCAAACCATCCAACATGTTTTTTGGGACCCCCCAGGCCTCCCAGGCCATGTCTCCCAGTAGCTTGGCTCGGTTGAAGATCGCCAGGTTCCTAACGGCCCCATGGCCACATGGCCAGTGATCTGCCCCCATTCGGAATGGTAAGTGGTTCAAGTGGTTCATGGTGCCGTGGTTGTAACATGTTGTAACCCATTTCAACATAGGATATATAAATCCAGGAAAACAACGAAGACACACAAAACAAAAACTCCAATATGTAGCTTTTAAGGGAAAGAGTTCTATTTTGCCAGCAGCGGCCTGTAGCTCTTCCTCTGTGCCTTCTGGTTGTACAAACACAAAAATAACCTTCAACCACAAAAGTGTTTGCATCCCTCTATCAGTAGGATCTTATTCGCTCAACATGCTAATGATTAATATTTAAACCTGAAGGAAAAAAACATGAAAACACAACATAATTTAAACAACCGCCATAGTCAAAGAATAGACCATGAGATCAAGCCCCAAAACATAGCACTTTTCAATCATAAGAGGTAGGGAATATGGATGCATCCTAGCCCATTCACATGGGATGGGTCCCCTGACCAGTTGCTTGCGGATGCTCCCTGAGCTTAGAGAAACAGAGATTACAAGGGCTGCTTGGACTTGAAGTGTCAAATCGCATGAATCAATATGAATTAATGCTATTCATCTTCAATATTGCTTTGAGGAGCACAAATGGAGATTTGTTGGGTCACTTCATTCCATTGACGTTCTCAGCTTATGGGAGCACAGGCTACTAGTGACATGACATTCAAACCTGCTTGTGAACCCTTTAAAGAACTCCCAGCTCCAAAACAATGTGCTAGCTAAATGCGATCATCATGATCATCTGTAAGAAACTTCAGCTGTTTGAATGACAATTTTGACATATTTTGTGGTCCAAACGGATGTTTTCCACCCTTTCAGAACACACACACGCACACACTTCCACGCTTACACATACAAACACCCTGACTGCTGGCATGCGTCTGTTGGATCCAGTCATACATGTTCCAGCGCGTGTAGAGCATTACCTGATGAGCGTCTACAGTCCCCGGTAAGATGCCTCACCCCATGCAGTGTAGCGCAGATCGGGGTCACTTCACGCTGGTGATATCTATACAGCCCGATTCTCAGATATGATGCGTATATACATATACATATAGATATAGATATACATACCGCGCCCATATGCATAGTATGATTATTCTTTTATTAACACACAATTATTTTCTTAACACACAACAAGTGGACATGAACAATTGGATAATATGCTTGTTATGTATATATATATATATGTATTGCGCTGGCTCCTATTGATATGCCATGAGATTATATTACGTCCTACATTTCTGGTATATTGTTACATATTGGTATATGCACACAATCACGGCCACATATTGGTCCTGTCTATCCCACCTCCTTTCCCGCGATGAGCACCAGCAACAAAGGGCCCAAAAACCACCCGACGCGGGAAAATTTCGGCGCGTCCTGGGCGAAGGAGTGCTTTTTGCCACCCCAGAGGCAGTGAACGCGGAAGATGATGACTTTGAACAGCTATAAACATGGCTGGTTTTAACCGGTAAACATAGGGGGTCCAATATGGTTGAACCATCCTTAAGTATGGAAATAGCGAATCCAATATGACATGATAGCAAAATACAGAAAAAATGATGTGTCAACCTTAAACGGCCCCTTTTTCTTATGAAGGGAGCATTTCATGCTGGGGGGAAGGGATTGGTAAATGCCCTGTTTGGGGGATTTTGAAGATCACTTTCAAGTGTTGGAGAAGATATTTATATCCCCAACAGTTAGGTGATGTCCAATTAGGACATTTGCCAACCCCAGTTTTCTTTCTGCATTTGGGGGTGTCCATAAATGGAAGATCCCCAATAGCTGGATGGTTTATAATGGAAAATCCGAAAATCAAATGGATTTTGGGGCACCATTTTCACCTGTTTCATCAAACAATTCATCCAACTCGCGGCCGGGATTTCTGCCACGGCTCCGAAGGACCAGGGGCTGCCAGAAGCATCAGGAGCACAGCTACGGCAAGTCCTGAAGATTTCTAGATGCTGATGAAAAAAACTGCAGGACTTAATGGTGGTTTAACATTGTTTAACATGGTTTAACATGGTTTAACATGGTTTTAACATGGTTTAACACGGTTTAACATGGTTTAGCATTGATAGTTTAACATGGCTTAACCACTAAACACATCAGGGTCTAATTCGAAAACCGATATCGTAGGACTTTCCGAATCAATGTGCGAAAATGGATGTGTCTGACGGGCTACACCTCTCCCGATCGCAAATTTCATAGGGATAATCGGATAATGATGGACCATCAAGATTTAATCAGATTTGGGGTACCCAATTTTCAGACAGAACTGACAGAACCAGTTCTAATCACAACTCAAGTTGTGTTCTGAACGATTCTGACCTGAACACTAGGAGGCTTACCGATGCCTCGGCTTGTGCGCTCTTGCTTTGACACTACCAAATACTACCAAGTAGATGAAACAAATATAAACATGGTATAAATGGCTACGCTAAATTACCAGAGGGTACCTATGTAGTGCCATCCCCATATTCAATTCAATCAGTATGAATATCAGGACCCTACCATGTCATTGGTGACCTTAGATACGCTGGTCACAAAATAAAGCAACTACCTTGTCAGTCGGATGTTGCATGTTTCTCCACAAGTATGGCAATTCAAGTAGTTGTAGAATTCACCAGGAAATCACCAGTCGGTTCTAGTTGGCTCAACTCATACAATATGCAACACACTGAGTATTACTTGTTTTCGGTCACTGCGTCAACTCCATTACAACATGAACATAACTATACATATATACGTTCATCCCCTAAAATTCATCAAAAGTATCGCAAATACCAACAAAATCAACTGAAGCATAGTTTTTTTTTTGGGGGGGGGGGTACCATATATATATATACATATAGATATAGATATATATTCTGCTTGATTGCTTGGATATCTGGACTTATTGTTGGTTCCCTATCCCAGTTCCGAGTCGTCCTATTTGACCCGCCGTGACATCGCTGAGGTCCGGGAAAGCCAGCTGCTGGTACCTGCCACGTCATTCCGCTGCAGTGTCCATCCTTTAAAACAAAAATGCTACATATCGGAATGGTCTGTATGTATAGATTTATACAGACATGTATTTGTGATTTATATTTGTGTACGCCACTGAATACATGTATCACATCTTACGCACCAAGGTCATGATTCAAATTATCCTCTAGAGCAATCAAACGTGGCTTGCTGGAACATCTACCATTTAGTTCGTCAACAGCCAATTTACCAAGGATTTCTCATTAAAACCATCCATTTATAGCTGATTTTCCATGATTTTCCCAGTAAAAACCTCCATTTTGTTCATGGGGGAAGTCGCCAAGAGGCTGATGAAATCGCACAGCGAACTGCAGACCACTTTCCGAGCCCTCCTCAAAGAATTGCCTTCATGGCCGGAGTTCAAAGGATCCACCAGAATCCACCATCAAATATGCATATCATTAGTATACACAATATGATATCAGGATATGATATTATATCATATATATATGATTATATATGTGTGTGTGTGTCAGTGTATATATATATTTGTATGGGATCAAATGGGGTGCTTGAAATTTGGGACCCCCAAAGCATCTAATCTAGTTACTTTTTGCAAGGAATCCCATGGTTCGCGCATGCATATCTAACTGTAGTCATAAGCCTGACGATTCATGTTGTCGAGTGTGCTGCATATCTAGAAACATAGTGAAGCATATCTGTTGGTAAGGATGTTATATAACACATTTCTCTGAATCAACACACGCCCAAAAATATTGAATCAAAGCATGTGAATGCGTCGTCAAAGAATCATTTTTCGGGGAATTCATCCAAAATGTCCCCAGACAGGTTGCTTGAGTCTTGGTACATGTTAAATCCAGCCTCTGATTCCATGTACCCAACCCAATCCCAATCAACATTCTCAATTCATTTTGACTGTGCTGGGATGTTCAGGGTATTTATCTATCATTCCTCTGCGGCACCTCAAAATGCATAATTTGTGACCCAATCCCAGAAAACTGGTCTGGTCAATTTCACCTCCGAGAACTGTGAACAAAACTCCCCTAGTGGTCCCGTTATGGTTGAAACAAACATGCTGCCATTGTTCCCGGAGTTTTTCATCAGGAGACTTGAAGAGCAGTGGAAAGATCATCCAAGTGATCTCATCTTCTGTGCCTCGAATGCTGGGGGCCAGGGACCTGGCCCAGTGTAGCTGGTGGTTGAGCCAGCCATCAGTTTTTTGTTCAACCATGGTTGCCTAGAATGGTATGAATATAAACCACCAAAACCCGCTAATTTGAGTAGATTTGAGTAGTCTGCCCTTGCCAAAGCTATCAGACGAACGGCTATAAAACTTACATGAATCAAAAATCATCATCTGGAATATAGGGTTGGAATGGAACCTTGAACAAAACAAACCCGTCAACATGTGTTTGTTTTTTTCCGCGTGCATATATATATATATAATAATATAATATATATATATTATATATATAATAATATAATATATATATATTATATATTATATATTATATATTATATATTATATATTATATATATTATATATTATACATTATACATTATACATTATATATTATACATTATACATTATACATTATATATTATATATTATATATAATATATAATATATAATATATAATATATAATATATAATATATTATATTATATTATATTATAATATATAATATTATATTATATTATATATATATTATATTATATTATATTATATATTATATATATAATCATGTATATTGTATATTATATATATAGTATATTATATTATATTATATATATATTATATGTAATATATATAATAACTATACTAATATATAAATATAAAATATATTATATATACGTATACATATATATATATATATATATTAGTCAGTATACATCAAACAAATTGAATCCTGATGTGGTGTTCCTGTCTTAGGGATGGTCAGATCTTTGTGAACTTCCATTTGCTTCAGGATGGTTATGTCAATCATATGGGATTATCAAAGACTTACCACTAGTCACAGGGGCTTCAATATGGATCGCTGAGACATACCTGGACTAGATGTTGAAATAACTTGAACTCGAAAGCTTTCCATTAGTTACCCTAGGGTAAACTAACATTAAAAAAAAACCTATTTATGGATTGATGAATTACCTTTAATCACCTATACCCAGGGCACGTGTTTTCCAGCAATTCCAAAAAGTGTTTCAAACGGATTTTGTATGTGAGCCATCAAGGAGTACCCTTTAGCCTCTCCGACTCGGCTAAAGGCTGGTTTCAACGTGGGCCTCTAACAAACAAATCACCCAAAAAATAGCGTTTCAATGTAAACCGTATGGATACATGGATAGTATACAAAAATGGTGGTTCAATGGTGGTTCAATGGTGGTTCAATGTCAACAAAAAACTGTTTGCTTTTGATTTCCAGTACTCGGTCTACATGGATGGAACCAGTTTGGAGCCCTGACAATCCCAAGAATCCCTGGAAAATATAGGTTGGGGCCGGTGACTGGTTAATCCCATCTATCATCATAGGTTAACCTGCTGTTAAAGGGGTAAACCTTCAAGCCCCTCTATGAATCAACCAACCAATGGGAAAAGGACATCTATGGTTCAATGAAAGGGCGAACAGCTTTTCCATTGCAACCATGGCCCAAAAAAATCCACAGCAAGGAGCAGCTTGCAGGAGCGCAAACACCCAAATCTGAGGTGAACATGTTGGAGATCAGCATGGTGAAGTAGAAATTTCCGCCTCCATCCTTGGTGCACCATGGTGCACGGCACGTGAAGTTGGGAAGGTCGGGTGCTTTGTATTCAAAGGAATAACAATAGTTGGGAATAACAATAGTTGGTTCTGAAGCACTTAGATTCTAGATTGGAAATAACAATCCGCAGGTGGTATTTTTCTTGGTGGTTTGGGAACCTCAGGAGAAAGTAGCAGATATGCATAGCTATGCCTAACAAGAGTTCCTAAGAAAGATGGGAAAAACCCTGTGTCCATCATGGATCACCAGCTTACATCGACAATCTTATGTGATTCATTTTGGCTCTCCCTGTCATCCCTTTCTGGTTGCTATGTCTATATATATATATGTAAATATGTGTGCATACACATGATAGTATCTGTAAAACTGCATCCACATACCATCAGGCAAGATACTATTCATACTATTCATAGTAAATATTGTACTTATCATCCCCAAGCTACATCGTAATACTAATAATATATAATCACCCTGAACTGACTCAGTGGGTGTCTTTGTGGAAACAAGTTTAAATTTTTTTCTGGGTTGGCTTCGCGCGCGCTTTTGGGGTATAAAATAGAGCCCCCCCCAGGCGCCCGAACGCTATCAAAAAGAATACTTAACGTTTGGACACTTGCTAAGTCAGTGAAGTAGATATGGGGATGGGTCAAAACCCTGGTACCTAGTGAACCCCAAGTCATAGCTGGGATTTATGGATGTTCATCCCACTAAAAATGGTATTAATGTATCTATAGGTATTGACCCATACCCATATCTCATTTTGGTGAAGATCATCGACTTCAGGATGACTGTGAATCCCCAAGATCTGTAGATCCAAGGAGCCAGGCAAGCACTGTGAAAGCCCTCCGGCTGGAGTGCCTGTCATTGATGAAGGACATGGTTTAAGCATCAAAAACTAGGGATATGAATATAAAAAATGAGTTTTAACTAGGAAAAATAGGGATATAATTGGGATTTAACTGGTGATTGTAATGAGGATGTAATGGGGAGATGTAAGCAAAACATGCTGTTTTGGTGTGACTGAACCTGTTGGGTACCCAAAGATGGTCCTTGTGATACCGAACATGATAATCATAATTAATATTGATTAATCATCAAATTTGGTTGTACACTGTTTTCAAAGAAACCCATAATTCTGTGCAGAAAGTAAGGGATATGTACTTAAAGCATCTGCAACCCTTGTCTTGTAAGTCTTTTCTTAGCAGACCGAAATTGAAATCAAACCATCAACATATAACATCAACAAGTGGATACAGTGGGTCTAGTCTAGAGTATTTTTTTCGACATTGAACCGCATTCCTAAAACGAATCTGTGGAGAACTTGGATGCAATGTCGCGATTGCTGTAACCTAGCTACCAACCAACAACTAACCACTTTGATGTCAAGATCCCAGTGTTGATATTTGTGATTTTTGTTTCCGGCCAACATTTCTCAGGGGCACAGTGGGCACAATAAGTTCATGATGAAATCAATCTGTTTTGCATTGTCTTGCAATTTCTTCAACGTGGAAATTGTCAAGCGTCTTCAGATCACGATCACCATTTAATTGTTCGATCATGATAATATTGTCATATATAGAACCCAAATACATATGATGGTATATATATAGTGCTCAAGGTTTCCGCTCCCATTTTTCAGCTGCGCTGAGGGGATTTGTTCAAGACATCTCATGTGACGGCAGGACCCACGTGACAGGAAAGGAAAACCAGGACAAGGCATCATAAAGATGACCACCCCCTGACCCAGTTCCCAGAAAGTCACATGAGAACACCACCCTGAGTGAACCATGCAGGAAACACCCAGCCACCCGGGAGGCCCCCCCGCAAGGGTCAATACCCTATGCCTCTGCATCCTTACAACCTCCCAGACACCGCTGTCCCAACCCTTGGTGGAGAAAGGGGTGGTAGGTGGGCCACATAGAAGCCAGACTGCGGAGCGAGTGACACCTTTCACACTATCCAAGGAAGCCAAAGGGTTAGTGCTCAAGGTTTCCGCTCCCATTTTTCAGCTGCGCTGAGGGGATTTGTTCAAGACATCTCATGTGACGGCAGGACCCACGTGACAGGAAAGGAAAACCAGGACAAGGCATCATAAAGATGACCACCCCCTGACCCAGTTCCCAGAAAGTCACATGAGAACACCACCCTGAGTGAACCATGCAGGAAACACCCAGCCACCCGGGAGGTCCCCCCGCAAGGGTCAATACCCTATGCCTCTGCATCCTTACAACCTCCCAGACACCGGTGTCCACCCGACCCCAGCTACAGGAACTGTGAAATGTGGGTAGCCGGTTCAAGTCTGGCTGGTCAGGTGAAGTGGCTGTGCCAGAATGCGGAGTGGGGGGAGGGGTTTAATTATCAAACTGATATCCTGGACGAGCTTGTTGAGCCAGGCGCAAAAGTTTTTGACGAGCAGGGCGGGAGAGACCAATGTCTGTCAGCTGTGCCAAGGCATCAGTGATGTAAATTCGGGCTGTTTTCTCATGGCCCCATCTGCCAACAAGGCAGACCCAGGAGAGATTATTAGATTGCCTATAGGCATGGGTCGCCCCGCCGCGGCGTAGGGAATAAAAGGCAAAGCCTGGGGGAAGGTTAGCTTCCTGTAGTAATTCTTTGAAACGATTCCGCATCAGTTGGGGCGAGGCTTTCCGCAACGTATCTCCTGGGTGAAGGGACTTGCAGTAGTTCTTGAGTGCCACTAACAGCCATTGGTCTTCGATTGTCAAGGATTCCCGGACCCCTGCCCGTTGCCCCGATTTGGTCAGTGGAAGAGACCAGACACCCTTTCGCAGTCGGTGGTCAAAAACAAAGTCACCTGCTTTTGCCTGAAAAAGCTCTCCCGTTCGGGCAAACATGGTAAAGCCCAGTAGGATCACCATGCAAAGATCCTTCCAACCTTTATTAAAAGCCATTTGAGCAAGTCCATAGGCCATCAGTGGAGTAAAGGGCAAAGCACGATCCGGTAACTCAGCACGGCTCCAGGACCCATGCAGACGCCAGCTTCCTACCAGGAACCGTTTACAGGAGGGTATGAAATGTCCCAAGCCACTAATTGTGTCCGAGGCATATGCTTTTGGTTCCCCTTCTTGCCAAAGAGTTTCAATGAATTCACAGACTTTGAGGTCCAATTTAGCAAAACCAGAAGGGTAAGGGTATCCTTGCATTTTTAAAAAATCAAGAAACCGTGAAACTGCCGTTAAATAACGGGTGAAAGTACTCTTTTGCACCACGAGTTGCTGAAGTGTCCCAAGTTCTTTGCGCTCTCTTTTTCGCTCTCCCTTCGACTTTCGTTGCACGAGTTGTGCCCGAGGCATGGTCAAAGCTTTGCCTTCCAACGGCTAGGTCCATCCGCTGGATTCCAGCTGCTTTTGACCCAGCCCAAGTAGAACCGGAGGTCCGCGGCCAACAAGACCACTGTCAATCGTCGAAGTGGAGCTTGAAGAGAGCGAGCAGAACTACGGCCCTTTGCAATGACCGAGAGTGAAACAATGTTGTCGACCAAAAGGATCGATCTCATTCCATGGTGCTTTGGTTCACGGGCCAATTTTCGTGCCAAGTCAAGGATGGCGGTGGCCTCCAACACATTGATATGTTGGCCCCCTTTCTTCCACTGATAGGAGAGGAGGACTTTCCATCGCCAATTTCCTGGGTCGATGGAGTGTCGGCACATAGTGCCATAGGAGAATGGCTGGTTGAGGTCCACCCGGATGTCACAGCCCTTTTGGACCGCCTGCCGCGTCAGCATGTAGGCCAGCAACTCTTCGTCGGTGAGGCGGTTCTGTGGGTCCAATTTGGCCTTGAGCGGAAGATCGGCGGGTGGCAGCACACGACGGCGCATGGCCACCACCCCCTGGCCCGCCCGAGGCCCTTGCCCGAAGCGTGTCCGCCACGGCTGCTGTTCCCGGCCAACTTGGTCCTCGAGGGAACGCCAACTTTCCCAGATGGCCTTTGTCAGATCTACGTCCTTGCCCTGATCGTCATCCAGCGCCAGCCCGGTCAGGAGTCTGGCCACAACAATGGCACTGAAGGAGTTCCCAATCAAATGGCCTTTTTGGTCGTTGGTGAGCTTTGACTTCAAGGTCAGATGTGAGCTGGTGTAGCCCATCATCCTCAGCTGCTCATCGGGCAGCAATCGCCTGGGCCCACTCTTGTCAGTCACCAGGTTGGCATTCTCGTAGGCGTACGGGGGCAGCCTGAAGCTGTCTCCCCGCCATCGTTGGAGCGCCTTCGGCGATGCCCGCTCGAGACCTGCCGGGGAAGGTGGCGGCTCCTTCCGCATGATTGGCCGGGTAAACGTGTAGAATGGCTCGTTCTCCTGGCTCAGCTTCTTGGCCCCCTTGTTGAGGAACCAGTCCAGCGGAGGGATCTCCGTTTTGATCACTCCCTTATCAAGGGCAATCTCAAGATCACGGATCTTTGCCTGCTGCTCGACTTTGAGGTCGCTTCCATTGATCATTTGAATGCCTTTCACCCAGTAGAGTCTAGGTCGACGGCATCTTCCCACATCCGCCGCCTCAACATGCATTGGCAGCCATCCAATCTTCTCACTCTGGACTTCAAGGTCGCTCTTGTCCATCACCACGTTCTCATAGAACTCCAATAAGTCCCATGAGGGCAATCCATGGGCTGCTGATGCCTCTTTTATCCAGCTCCGGATCTTCATCATCTCATCCAACAGTTGACTCGTAGCGCCAGCTGCTCCCTGCCGATTGGCATTCAGGGAGGAGTGATGAATACACGGCCATCCCCCTGCCAACAGGATCTGGCGGGCTCGTGGAAACTGTCTCCTCCATTCAACCACCATTTCTTTGGTGATGGTCTTGACATCATCATACAAAATCCCGTGCCTGCAGTGGGCTCTCGAAAGCTTTTTGCTGGTGGGGTCATTATCGATACTGATAATCCCCTGAGGAACCATACCAATCAGTTCGAGGGCTTGTTTCAGCCCTCCCATGCCAGCAAACATTTCAACCACCAAGAGGTCATCAGCCGCGGATCCCTCCAGTCCATTTTCGGCATAACTCAGGCCATGGCAACGTTGATGGCCCCATTCGCTGAGACCCGTGCTTTGGCACGCTCCTCCTCCTTCTTCTGAAGCATCAGTGGCAAACACTGTTCCCGAAGGCGTATGTCGTTGGTTGATCCAATGTTGCGGCAGCAAACTGCTCAGCAGCAACAGTTCATCACGGGCCAAGTCATTCAAGTTCCTACCACCCCCTGGGTTCGCCACCTCCCGATACAAATGATCGAAGGCGCTAGCCAGCGGGCGGCAGAATTGGACCGTGTGCATGTGCTTTGAGACCAGTGCCTGCAGCTCTTGTGAATCGGTTCGGATCCAAGGCGCCTGAAGCAGGTTGATGGTGGCTCCGAGGATCCCTCTTCGGAACTTTGTGTTCGAGCCAACCAATCCTCGGCCGCCATCCACTTCAGCCCCCAGGGAGGACCAGCTCAGAGTTCCTTCTGCTGCCTTCTTTGGGTCTCTCCCAACATCCCAAAGTTTAAAGACAGCTCTCAACTTCAGCTGGTCATCCGAAGGCTTTCCTTCATATTCCCCCATGTCACTCTTTGCCACGATCTTGAAAGAGTCCCAGTTGTCAACATACCAAGAGTAGTATGTCCTTGGAGTGTCAAGTGGAAGAGCTGGGAGGGCATCTCCCAATCTAACCGCATGCTTGATGCTCATTCCAGCCTGAGTTCCCATCATTTCCAGACCGCTCTGAATGAAGTCCACGACGTTTGACCACCCCATTGGCGCGGTCTTAACTCTTGGGTAGCTGGCCTCCTGGCTGGAGTCTGCAAAAGCCCATCCTGCCGCCTTCTTGCTGAGGACGAAGTAGCCTCTCCACTTCGATCCTGGGCGGTAGATGTGGAAACAATGGCGTTGGTCCTCCCCATAGCTCATCACCACTTCATCCTCAAGGACAACCATCTGTCCCCAGAGCGGACTGTACCCCATTTTCTGGCTAGGGCGCCAAGGGGTCTTTCGTTGGAAACCATTTGAGGGGATGAGGTTGATTATCAGCCGAAGTGTCCGGAAGAGGGACCCATCCTCCCTCTGCTGCCATCCCTTGTGCACACCGAAAGCACCATTCCTGACGGCCTCATCTTTGTAGCGCAGAGTCTCGTGTGGATCCTCACGCTCTAGCATTCCTGCCTTCACGAGGTGAGCGACAACTCTATTCCATTCCTCATCACTGTCAACATGGACTTTGGCAAAGGTCCTCGGGTCGATCAGCTCATCGTCCGGGATGCGCAGGAGTTCAGGATTCAGCACAAAGCTCTTGAGCTCAGGTGCGACCACTTCCGCCAGCTCAATTCGCCCTGCTTCATCTGCCGCAGGGGTAGTGGGTAGGATACCTTCCACCGTCAAGGGATAGGCCTTCTTCACCTCTGGTCCCGTATAGATGCCGTCCAGCGACTGACTGATTTTGTCCCATTCTCCTATTTCAATCTTCCCTTCACCTTTTTCAAGCCATATCTCAGCCAGCTCCCGGGCTCTTGACATCAAAGCCTGTTGGCCGGGAGACCACTCACAGCTGTGGGCCATCTGAGTGCTCAGACATCGGTCAGTGCCTCCGCCCAGGTACAGCGCATTCACACCAAGCACCTGCAACCATGACCAGGCAGCAATGCCAGCTTTCTCACAGGACTTTTCAACTGCGGACCAGTCTTCATCACTGGGGTCATGAGCAGCCCCTGCCGCTTTTACCAAGGCCCCGAAGGCATGCTGCTCCTCCGCGGTGTCGTCAGGCAGGGCCATTGGCAACAGCTCTGCGGGGTGCCCCTGAAAGTTCCTCAGAGCGCAGCATTTGAACAGTCGCGAGAAGTTCCCCAAGCTTCCAGGGCGACTCCGAATCATCAACTTCAGAGCCACCCCGGTGTAACTCAGGGACACCCCATGCCCAAGAAGCCTTTGCCAGGTCTTGAGCCATTCTGCCTGCCAATCAACCCTTCGGGCCTCAGGTCCCCGTGCCAGGTTAAAGTCCTGGACCACCTCGACGGCAAGGTCTTCCTCGCCTTCATCAACATACAGGGGCTTCCCCAGAAGGGCTTCTCGAAAAAGTTCGCGATCCAGGTGGCGTCCAAAATCCTCATGGATGACGCATCCCGGCCGTCCAGGTTTCGATCGTCCCACGAACACACCGCCATCTTGGCCGACCCAAAGCTCCGTTCGGTATCTGATCTCTACACCTCTATACTCGCGCGCCAGAGGCCCCTTCACCGCCTCCGGGGACGGCCCCGAAGGTGGCTGCGGGACCCCCAGCAACTTGAGCAAAGGCTTCGGATCATCTTCTGTCAGACACTTGAAGGTGTTTCGAAGGCTCTCCAGAAGCTTCTCTTCTGGTTCATCCATCATCTCAACCAAGATTTCACTGAACCTGTGTTCCACCTCTTTCCATGTTGTTGGCGCCTGTACCAGGCAGCGTAGCTCATCATAGTACTGCCGCACCTGGGGGTGCTCTAGAAGGTCATAGAGGATTCTTCTCATCCACTGCCCTCTTTCATCTTCAAAAGTTCCATTTTCCATGACCTTTCGGATTTCTTCTCCGGGCACTCTCTCTGTATCGTCAGGTGCCATCACCATGCAAATTTCCCTTTGCGTCCTTTGCCTTTTCCTTTCCCTTTGCGTCCCTTCTGGCCGGGACGATTCGATGGCGGCTTCTCGTCTTTGCCTGCTTCTGCTCCGCCGGGATCCACTGCTTCGGCATGAGGCGCTTGCCGATCCTCCCATCTCGGAGCCCATTGGTTCCTTCGTGGCTGCCAGGGCCCCGCTCTCAGGCGCTGTTCTGTTTTCAGCTCCTGCTGCGTTGCCTTCAGTTCCGGCCGGAAGTACGACCTCGCTTCCCCTTCGCTTGGGATCAGTTCCAGAAGGTTGCCTTGCTCCCACGAGCCCTGGGACATGAACAGTTCGATGCTCTTGAACCGTTGAACTGCCACGTCCAGGCTCCGCATGCTGTCGTTTTGACAGATGCCGTCTATGATCGCCGCCAAGGTGCGCAGCTCGCGGACATTCCGCAGCCCCGCTGCTGCCTCTGGAAACCTCGTCAACAGGATCTGTGTGAGGTAGCCCCGTGCGACCGGTGGCAGGCTCTCTTCTTGCGGGTTCTCGGCCGTTCCCCTGCTCAACCCGACGGTTCTCTCCAAGATCTCCTGAAACTTCAGGAGGGTGAGATTCGCCAGAGTCCCCGGTCTCTCCTCGTGAAGCCGGTGGATCTTCTCTGTGCCTGCGGGCAGGGCGGCCAGTTGAAAAAGCGAGTCAGATCGATCTGAGGACTCGCTGCTGGAGCTTGTCTTCTTTTTGTCCTTGTTCTTTTTCTTCTTTGAGGCCTTCTTCTTCTTCAGCTTCAGTCGCAAGGCCGATGCTCCCACATTAGGCGGGCTCCGCTTTGCAATTTTTTCTTGAAGCCCTTGTCCATAGTCCTCGTCTTTCTCGCGGCCAGCTTTTCTCTTTTTCGTCTTTTTCTCCTTGGGCTCGTTCTCCACTTCTCCAGCGTCCGATTCCCTTTCTCCGCCGGCCAAGGCTGCAGCCAGGCCTCTAATTCCTGGCTCGCCTCCTTCCACTTTGCCCCGGCCCCCAGGCTCTCCAGCACCAGCCCCAGGGACTTGCCCCGAGCCTGGCGGTGGAGGCCCAGAAGCCTTCAGCAATTGTGTGACGAGATTCTTCTGGTCTTCGGAGAGCCAAGGAAGGGAGAGGGCTGAGTCTCCAGGCAGCATCCGGAACACGTCTACGTGTAGAACGTCCCTAAAGGGAGTCCGCACTGAACAGTGGTCTCCACGACGACCACAAAAGTGGATGCCTGCTTCTCCTTGATCATAAGTGGTGGACACCCACCAGGCGAAGTAGTCATCTTGGCAGGCATGGATTTTTCCCAGCCATGATCGTCCTTCATGGGCGGGATCTTCATATTCTCGCAACAGCTCGACCAGGATAGTCCCCTGCGTCTGCCCCTGGTCATTGTAGACCACAATTTCAACCAGCTCTCCTGGGCTTAGTCCAACCCAGTGAGCCTCAGCGGCCTTACGGCCCGTCTTCCTCCAAGCCTCGGGGCTTGCCATGGCTCCGCACGCCCTAGACCTTTCTAGTCCTCTTCTTGCAGGAACCCCTGGACTAACAGCAGTCAGGAGATGAACCCCTGGCCGCCTGCCAGGGACTCCCACAAAAGAGGGGTCCCAATTACCTGTCTTACCTCCACATAGAAGCCAGACTGCGGAGCGAGTGACACCTTTCACACTATCCAAGGAAGCCAAAGGGTTATATATATACACGCCGCCACGCAAAACATAGATGTCAACAGAATCAATTCCTGCATCAAAATGGGCTCAGCAGAGGTCCATTGACCCCTTCCCCGCCTTCCAGCCGCCATTGTGCCAGATCACTCCAGAGTTCGCCTCACAAAGCGGCCAAGGATGGCCACTTTATAAGCACCGAAACAGGACTCCGAAACTGAAACCACTTCAAGCGGAGATGGAATCATCGTGAATCATCTCTGGTAAGAGATAAGCAATCAAAACACACAAGAACAACATAGCTTTCAGAAAAGGAGGCTCCCAACTTCCTTGATGCTTCGGTTGAACTTGTTACGAAAACCCCTTGTAGCTTGCATTGCATCGATTCCTTGGTCATGAGGTGGGTCAAAATTATCAGACAGTGGCCAAAATGTCATATCGGTCCATTGGCATATGATATGTGCATATGCATGTAAGCGCACAACAAGCATTAACAATAATAATCATCACCAACAATATTAAACATAATGTTTCAAGTCTAGCATGACATAGTCGTACCTGTGCCCATCACAGGTAAGCGAGGTCATAGAAAGTTCCCATTGAGTGCACATGCAATGGACGCCTTGTAGAAAATGTGTCCCTTCCACCACTCCGCTTCGCAGTTTGTCGTGGGAGCTTCAGCCATGGGATGCAGCCCAATCAGACTCTTCCCATGATGGACGCAGTTGGTGGACGCAGTTGCTGCTTTCTTTTCCATTGAAAAAATAATGGCCCCCTAAACTATGTGTCTTTTTTCGCCAGGATGTTACAAATATTTACAGATTATCTATTTCGGTGAGCTATGAAAAATGGACCTCTGTCCTTCCTGGGCCATGATTCTTGAGCAATTTTCTACATGGGGGTCATAACTCAGACCCCCAAGGACCAAACTGTGTATCATTTTCATTCATGTTCTATCTAACTGAAGAGTAAGTCCACCATGTCTTTCATACCTATCGTATATAGATGTATATACATGTATCTTAATAAATAAGTCATAAATCCATTCATTTTCTTTTCACATGTCCAGATGTCACATGGATGGACGATTCCTTCACGGCTTGAGAAGCCGTGTCTTCCCTCGTTTTTCCCCAGAAACATCAGCTGTTTGGGGAGTAGCTGCTGTTGAACCGAAACAACACTTAATACAAATTAATTACCCTCTGGTAATTTAACATAGCTATGGAAAATCACCATTTTTAATGGGAAAATCCACTATAAATGGCCATTTTCAATAGCTATGTTAGTTTACCAGAGGGTAAATATATTTTGGTGACATCTTGATGATTGAGACCTCACTTAAAAAAAGATAACCCCACCAAAGAAACAACTTGTTCGAAAAAGCAACTACAACGATGATTGCGTCTGGTTAGAGGTGTGATTCCTGAAACTCACCAGGAATGAAAAGCATTGCGAAGCTAGGAAAGGGAGGCAATACCTGCAATGGTTCGTTCAGATGGCGCATGAATTGGATAACCACCAACATACACCAAGCACACACATACTGGATATTACTGGACCACTGGATTACCATTTTAAAATGAGTGTGGCCAGCAATACAGGTCGGAATTCGTCCCTGGACTTTTCAGCGATACTTCTTTATCATCGGACTTTTTGGGGCACCTACTTGGTTGTATTCCATGCTCATAGCCTTAAAGACACAGCTTTGGGGCTCGTTTAACATCCCGCGATGCCTATGGATCATGCTGATCCAACACCCAATCCTCGAAAACTGAAGCCCGTCTAGACGCCCTTATCCGATTTTTGGGGAATTGGATGAATTGGGATCTGGAAATCTTTCACATCCGAAACACTCCCAAACTCCCCCAAAGCCGGCATTCTTTTTTTGGTCAGCGCCACCAGCTATCTGCCTGATATCGAAGTGTTGTTGGAGACGTGTGACTGGGACCCAGTGGGATGTTTGCAAGGTTCATTGCCAATCTCAGATACCCTGCGAAAGATGCGAAAAGTGTCAGATTCTGAATGTTGCTTCTATGGTCATACTGTTTATAAATATACACATCTACATCATTATATCCCCATGTCGGTCCCCTCGAAAGATGATGACCTACTTAGATGTGCCACTGATCTGCAGGAAGGTGCACCGCAGTTATGTTCTAAGATATATACATCTACCATAAAGCCAAGCGTTAGACAGGTTACAAAGCAACTTCGAAATCTTAAATCAACTCAACATCCCAATTTTGATGATTAACATCCCAATTTTGATGATTAAATCCATTTCCCCAATTTCTTGTGTACAAAACTGCCATTTTTAGTGCTTACCTTCCGGCCCCTTCCATTTTTAGATGCACCCGCACCTGGTACCAGCTGTTTTTGTTGCGCCAATCCCAGTCCCTTAGCCGGGGATCCTTCACAGAGTTTTATATAAATGTATGTGTGATATACACTTATAACTATTATATAGTGTGATATCTATAACTATTTATAGTGTGTATATCACACTTATAACATTTATATATGGTTTTATAACTATTATACCATCTGGTTATTTAACATAGCCATGGTATAGATGACCCATAGAAATAGATGGTTTACCTGGGTTTACCTATCAAAAATGGTGATGTTCCATGGCTATGTTAAATAACCAGATGGTAACTATTATAACACTTATAGACTTATATACACTTATATATGTTGTATAATGTTGTAGAATTGCAACTGTAATTCATAGTACTTGCATGATGTATGATTCAAATTTAAATGTATGTATGATAATCTGATTCTGGGGTATTGTGGTATACATAAGTTTGGCCTGTATTCTTTTATAGTGTGTGTCAAAAGGAGATGAAACACAACTGGATTTGTACGTCCCACGGCCCTATTCCAACCAAGCCGCTTTGTCGGACGAACTATCACCCAGTCTACACATAAACTAATTATCATATTGAATTACAAAACTCCATATTGACTGTCACAATCCTGAAATGAGGCCAGCAAAAATGACATCATTTCCATATCCCAAAGCTATCACCAGCAGTTCCCAAAACACACTGAGACCTGGCAGTACAATCAACAACGTTTCCACAGTGTTAGCAAATCAAATCACCGTTTTGTTAACCCATCTTCTCCTTGTTGATGCCTATGTATGTCTACATATAAATATAAATATGTGTACGTATGCATGTCACTAATTAATCCCTCAGGTGAGCCATCGATGCACTCAATTCCTCGATCGAAAACTTCCAGGTCTGTATGAATGAATTTACAAAATGAAACTATATGAATATTTGTGTGTTGAACTCTAAGTTTCAATATACTTGTTGATACTTTCTCCAATATTGCCATATAATTAGCATTAACTAGCTATGATTTGCCTTCATTTTCTGGCAATTCTTCAGGTCTTTCTAAATCATCCAGACCAGGGGCACCTTAGTGCCTTCCCCCATCCGTGCTGCCCGGGCTCCGGGCCAGTTCCAGGAACTCCAAGACCAGCCATCGTTCCATCCATGCCATTTGCTGTACCACCTCCCAAGCTCAATCTTTCATGAGATCCTCTAGCGAAAACAGTTACCCTCTGGTAAATTAACATAGACCCTGGCAGATAGGGGTTGGAAGACTAGTTTCCATTAAAAATAGGTGATTTTCAGGGTCTATGTTTATTTACCAGAGGGTATAAGATATCTCCAATGCTGGGCTGCAAGAAAATTTGATAAGCATAGATTAGTTGGTAAGTCAGCAAACGGCAAACGGCTTGTGGTAGATACATCCAAGGCTACATGGAGCCTTCCTGAGGAGGCCAACCTATATCATACAATGACGACGCCCTACCGGCTATACAAATTTATATCCAACCATGGATTTTCCCAGGAGTTACGACGGCCAAAAGCAACCAGGATGAAATCACCATCACAACCATATAGTCTAGCTGCTTAAACATAATTAAATCAGCATCTCTGGTGCTCAGTTTTCCAAATGTTGGTTGTTTTAGACCTCATGAAAAGATCGGCAATCTTTGATACCTTCTGGTAGTCATGGCCATGGCTGGAAAATCCCCTATTGAGTTGATTTAGTTCGATCAGTTTCAATGATTTTTACCATATATATACATATATATATATGTATATATATATATACACAGCCAAAATCAAAATTAAATCCTATTGAACCTACATTTCATGATAAGATGTTCCCAGTTACCTTTTTCGACTTTGGGGATTTCCCGGATGCACCTCGGCGAGTCGGACCTCGCGACGCGACTACTTGGAAGTAGAAATTAGGTAAGATCAGATGCTTAACATGCATCTATAGTTACTGTACTTACTGGAAATATAGCTGAAATTAAATAAAAATAATATGTATATATATATATATATTTACATTTTCTGACTGCAGTTAAGTTAATGTTATACAGCTTGGGAAAGGATGCTCTTCAGCATCTTTTTACAGTACAGCACAGAAACCAAGCGTTCACCAGTCCCTTTACCCAATCAGAAAACGCTGCAGGTTAAGGTCGCTAAAAACTCGTGGAAAACCATTGCAGCTATATGGCTATGCCTTCCACAAATGCCTTTCCCCATGACAGACACCCAAATGCAACCTTGGTTTAGAGGATCTATTCCTTTTTCCTGAGGTATATGATTATGTGATATCATCTTGACATATCTTGACTATCCTCAAGGATGGTCAAACCATCTTATAAACACTGGTTGGTGGTATACCTACTCCTCTGAAAAATATGAGTTCGTCAGTTGGGATGATGAATTTCCCAATATATGGGAAGTCATAAAAGCCATGTTCCAAACCACCAACCAGCCATTCATATTCCATTACCAGGGGATTAATCACCATTAAATCACCATTAAATCACCATTAAATCACCATTAATATCCCTATTAAATCACCATTAATATCCCTATTATAGATTCTTAAGCATTATTAACCATTATTCCAAACCAGAACATCATTTCTGCAGCCGTTGATCCCCCAAACCAATCAGCCGTTGATCCGATACCTCTCAGGCCGCTGCGGAAGGCTCGGAAGGCTGTCGCGGCTGTCGCCCGTGAGCTCGGGGTCTTCCAGGGATAGCACCACGGCACCTGGAGCTCGCAATGGGATTCCAGACGTGGAAGCCATGGCCCCAATTATAGATGATTTACTTATGGAGAATATGGAGAATAGTTGATTTACCCGTATTTACCCATTAAAAATGGGCCATGTCTGAATGGAGAATGGTCCATTACTAGCTATTGAACATGGTGATTTATAGTTGATCTACCCATTAAAAATGATGATTTTCCACATAGTATGTTAGTTTGGAAGGTAGCGTTTACGTCACAATTTCCTGAAGCTCATCCCACCCCACTGATTTGAGCTGGTGAAATCCCAACCAAGCCATAGGTTATTTATATAACCCACACAAAACATTACAATGAGGTATGGCTTCTTGGTTGGTTTACATCGGTTTACCACATGTACTCGAATGTTCCCTCGTGAACGTCAAAATACTCCCTATATCTCTATAGCTATGGATTAACTGTTCAAGCGACCATTTTTGTTGATTCATATCAACAAAAACCATGTGTCTGGATCATATTAGCAAACATATACATATATATATATAATATATATATATAATCATATACATGTATATATATATACACATAAACAAACATATTTTTGAGAACACTTGTATGATATCAAAAAACATTTTTTTTATAACAGAGCACAACCCTTCAACAGGAACTGATAGAAAACCCCTGCCACTTTCACCATCGGATCCCCTCCGAGTCCGCTCCTTTCTGCCGCTCTTCGTCCCAGTCGACGCGCTCCACACGCATGCCTCGAGCCGTGAGGACGACTGGGACTGGGAAGGATTTTTAGAATATGATTCTGATATGATTCTGATATGAGTAAAGTAGAAATATAAGATATTGTATGGTTGACATACATGATCTGAATATATCATCTGAGCAAATTCTAATATTTCACTAGTCTGAATTAAGGATAATTAAGGCCATTTAAGGGGGTGATTTACCTTACTAACCATGATTCCAGTGAGGGAAAACAGTGCGGTGGTTACAATTTACCCAGATATCATTGAAATACTATCCATCTATGTGTATGTGTATATGATGTATAATCATCCTGAAGTAGATAGAATATGGTTCAAACATATTTCCATTTTAGAAACATTTTAGTGAGGTGTTTTTGAATTTTCAATATTTTATCTACTCCAGGAAGACCATATACAGATGTATATTATACACATCCAGGTGCATCGAGCAAGCGAAAACCTGCAGCTTTATAGCTCTGAATACTTACACACATTCAAAAAAGATCAACATCAATTCAGTTTGGCATATAAAACAGTTGATGTTTTAGCATATAAAACAGTTCATGTTCAATAAAGATCAAACCTTCGTATACCTCTGACATCTTGACATCTTTCAGTTTGGCACTGGTTGAATCTACCATCTGCCTGGAGCTGGAGCAACCCACGATGTACATGGAATCGCCAGAAGTTTTTCAACCCATAGGGGCACCCCCAATTCCTCCAAGTCATCAGATCATTTTAGCATTGAAACAACCGTGGTGACTTGGGGATCCCCCATGACACACAAAAAAAAAAACACAGATTCCAGTAAATCCAAATATATAAGTGAGCATTTAAGTGATGATATATTAATCTTCTCATCAATTCTATTAGCATTCAACACATGTTGGTTCACCGCAACACATTATTAAATCACCACTAAAGCCTCGTCAATTCCATTAAATCACCATTAAATCCCACTAAACTCCCTTCAATTCCATTAAATCACCATTAAATCCCATTAAATCACCACTAACCCCCCTTCAAATCCACATGTTTTTCTTCACCACGACAAAAACGATTCATGTTGGAGACCGCGAGATTCGCCTTGTAAAATCCCGCCTTGAATCTCATCCTCTCGCTGCAACTGAGCGCGGATGGAAGGAGCCACAGCCTGTGCTTCGAAGTTGGAAAAAATGGATGATACGCTGGCTGGATTGAGAATGGTTGGATAACGATTATAGCAATGACTGGATAATGATTATTAATTATTGTAGGAAACAAGCTGGGATTGGTTGGAGACTCGTTGGAGGATGGTTGGAGAATGGTTGGATATGGTTGGATAATCAAGAAACATAAGAAACCATTCAAGTTTTATGAGCAAGTGTTGGATTGTGGTTGGACAATGGTTATAACAACTCATTTCTTTTAGAATTGTCTATATATCTATTTGGGGGACTTTTGGGGTGGCTATAGATATCTATAGATATGTACTGGTGGGAGAATGGTTCGATAATAATTTGGCCACTTTGCTTGATGAACCTTACCCACTGGTTAGGAGATGCTGATGTAAGCATTGCCTAAACCAAGGACCACGTAATCTTTACAAGTACCGACTTGATGAGGTGAAACTCTTCTCAATTGATTCCATCTGCAAAAAATCCCAATGAATGTCACAGCACTTGTGATGTGTGGCACCCAGACCTGGTCAGTGGTTTATAGTCCATGACCCAACTATAAGTATATAATAGGGCCCCCAATTCGTAACCGTCGACACGACAACCAGTCACCCATCAATCTAGTTGTCCATTCACAAAAGATAAAATCAACGCATTAATACAACCATACGTCATGTACCCTCCCATTCATTAACATAGATTCAGACCTTTCCTTAAATAGCGCGAATAGAATCGAATAGATGCAAACAGTGCCTTGGAAGCTTTGTTTTCACTGAACATTCCTGAATTTTAAGGGTCCAAGTGTTGAAAACTGGGGCGTCCGGACCAAAGCAGCCAGGTGCCCAAGACCGATGTCCACCATCACCTGACGTTGTTTTCAACCCTCGGAAGCTTAGGTCATTTGTGGTGCTGATGAGTTCGTGGATAATCTATACAATTCTAGAGGTAGTATGAGGTAGTTATAAACTAAGATACATCTAAATCGAATATTCTTGCACATATGTGCAGTTGTCTCGATCTCGATATGATTCCCATGTATCACATGAGGATTTCTTATTACAGTGTAAGATGATACTCAGGGGGCAGTATTATCATGGAACTCAGTTGTGGACAGTGGTGACCCTTCTGTTCATCGAATTGTGTGTGTGTTGTCTTGCTACACATGGGCTTGTCTAAACATAGGGTACCACATTTTGTTTAAACCAATAATAAAACATGTTTAGTTTTATGATGTTCTATCAAAATGTTCCTCAGTGTAAAATGGCTGTTTGAGGGTATCCCATAAGTTCAGACTGACAAACCCACATATCATAATATTGTTGGCAGTACTGTGTATCATATATCCATATTATATCTTCATATATCTTCATTATATATATATAATCAATGATAGTGTCATTTTCCGTAGATCAATACGATACATACCAGATATTACCAGATCATGTTCAAATGACTTCCTGGGTTTATTGGGAAAACACCAGCAGTGTGTGTCCCTCTGGGGACCCCCAGAGGGACCCGCTTGGAGCCGTGCCACGCTGGATGACGCGTCCACAACGATGCCGTCCACGAAGTGTCCCACGCGCAAAGGAGTCCTCAGGGATGCTCGGGACCAATCTTGTCTGGCCGACCAAAAAAAAGGGGTGACTAGTTGGTTGTTACAAAAACTCAAAACACGCTACGGTTTTGGAAACTTTGGCCTGATTCCTGAAGATCTCATCATGAAATATTCCTCCACTGATTGGATTACATATGCTCCCCAAGTGCTACAATGATAGGAATGACATCACAAATAGTTGGAACTGGCCTCCCCATGGTGTTCTTCGTTTTTGGAAACGCACTTCCATGGCGATTCCAGCCGGCTGACATCTGTGGAAAACCTGTACTTTTAATGGTGATTTAATGGTGATTTAATAGGGATATCAATGGTGATTAACCCTCTGGTAATGGAATATGAATGGCTGATTTACACTCACATATAATCAAACGTACCTTTTTTCCGTCCAATCAGGTCGATTGCTACGTCAATATTTCACTTTATTTCCGATTTTACGTCCTAGGTTCCTCGGGAATCGGTTTCTGCGCTTTGACTACCAGAGAGTGTATCAATTGCATCTTTTTTCATATCTATCTCCACAATCATTTGAAATTCAGAGGCTCAACCTCAGCCCCTTCCAAGCCCTCTCTGTGGTACCCTCACGCTGAGGTGTCTCCCCGAGCCCTTTCGAGCGGCTCTGGCAATTTCCAGTCACCCTGAAGCACCAATGAAAAGCCAATGGAAAGGGGGCAAATGGGAACAATAATCAGAAGATAGGTAGAGCTATGTACTATTTCCAACATAATGTTTAGCATTGATACAACTTGACAAACCTTAAAAAACACATATATATATATATATTTATACATTGTTACATAATTATAAAGAAATTATAGACAATAGAGAGGTCAACTCCTCAAAAATCCTCAAATTCAGCTCTCCCTCGCCACCAGCCCGCCTCCCTCGCCAGTGCCTTTGGCACCCCCGGTCGCGGCTCAAACGCTGGCGCCGGCGCCCGTTCCGCCCGTTCCGCCCGTTCCGGCGGCACGGACTGGCTGCGTGCAGCGCTGCCACGCAGCGGTGCAGTAGCGCTGGGAACCTCACTGAAATCATCTTTCTTGGGATTTCATGGGATATTCATAGGGATATAAGGGGAGTAAGAATAGACATCAGGATTTTCATGAAAGTTGGCTGTGCCAAAGTGAGCAAAACCACATTTGAGTATTTGTTTGATGATAATTACCAGATGTTACAGTATTACATGAGCCACCATCAAAATTCCATGTCATTTCGTGTACAGTGCTTGGTTCACTTTCATGCACTTTCTAGACATAAAAAGCAGTCCCTACTAAAGTGGTCCACCCGAAAGTTGACCGTACCTCATGCGGTCTTTGGATGTAGTGATTATAACATATAATAATAATAATAATTACAGTATTATTATAATTATAAAATATTATAAATAATGATAAGTAATACATCCTTTCTAGTAAATTCAAATCATATCTAATCAATCGAATCCATGACAAATGATAATACCAATGTGACATAGACTTGACTTAGTACCTTAACCATGTTTGAAGTCGTACATTCCGACCTTGAGATGGTTTGAGGTGCAAAATAACTCAAGGCCACCCCAATCTCCAAAATGCTCGCTATCATTCTTAGATTCTTAATATTCTTAGGTGTTCCCTGTCACTGTTTCTTTATCCTCATGGATTGGAGATGCCGCTGATGGTCAAGGAACTGCAAAATGTAGTATCTATTACAACACTGACAACCCTTAGATGGCCATCAAACAAGTTCATTTTGAAGGGATATGACATTCATTCAAATATGGTAACATATGGTAACCCTCAACAAGATAGAAAAGTCATTCATTTATGTACTTCAGTAACTACTTTAGTAGGACTTGACTTGTCTTCTGGATTTTTCTGGTGGTTGCTATAAATGGCTAAAACTCAAGCTGCAGCAGTGAAACCCCCAAGAGTTGCACCATAAACCCATCTCCTCGGGGTCCAAACGCCTCTGTCTTGACATTTGCCAATGGAGCCCCTATATTTTTTGGTGGTCAAATCTGAATAAAGCATAATGAAGCCATGCTCTTTGGTGATTGAAAGTTGGAGAATCCACATTTTTGGAGAGTACGTCAACATACTTCACTGGACTCCCTGGACATAAATCCTTCGAGGCACCGAAGGCTCCGCAGCTGTCTTGCTCCCACGGAGCAAATCGCTGATCTCAGCGACAGTCGGCCACAGATGTTGGGAATCATCCACAGTTATGGCCATTTATTAGTTATAACTGGTTATAAATGGGATTATACAATCTATAAATGGGGCTATAAGTACTTATAACTGGTAAAGGGCCATAACTGCAAGCTGTCAACTCACATCTGCAATAAATTCTCAATCATATTGACCCCAAAGAGATAGACAGTACACCACCATGCCCCTGATCCAATACTAAATCAGACGTTCGTTTGGGGGGTATGCGGCTATCTGGGGCTATTTGGGGCTATTTGACATGAGGGGGAGGCGATTGCGGAACAGAACAAGTTGAAAAGAAAATTGGCATGGATGGGTACCAGAGATTTTGAATTTTTGATGTATTCATTTACCATTCATTTTGGGGCACCCCAACGACTTGACCAATACCCCTTTTTCGCAGCTCCCTGAGCTGTCACACCATCACCGTCTCCCGCAACAAGACCTGGCGCCATCAAAACTGGTCAACAGTTCCCCCGAGAAACCAAGGATGTGTGGCAGTCTTTCCGAAAAAAAAAAACATAAACAAATCAACGGTTGCGGCGTCTACCTCATTTCTATTTGGTTTTTGCTGCTTATGTCCCTCTTTTTGTTGGGCTTCCCGTGAGAACCATCCCCTGCACACAGCTTCAAAGGATTTGGGTCTTGCTGGCTCCCTTCAACCAGGTTTTCATCTAGAATCGTCACTCACCACAGTTTCACCAAGGTACCTCCGGGTCATTCAAGGTCAAGCCCAGCTTCGTCTGCTTCAGGTCGAGTCCTTGGTCGATGTTCGTTACAATTAGAGAGGTTTTGAACGTAATTATATACATATACTCTATCCCATAGGATCTATGTATGGTATATATGCTAACATTGGGGGTATATTGATGGTAAATGTTATCATATATAGCATACATGGATCCTATGGGTATACAGAAATTATACATAGTATATGTAAATATGATTAAATATATAGGTGTAGATAGATAGGATAGGCTGGGCTAGGATAGGCTAGGATAGATAGTCATAGTGACCCTCACAAAGGTGAAAACGGTTTAATTTCAAACTATGTGTGAAGGATTACGAAGGTTTACCTTGAGATTCATTGCCACTTGGGGACTTACCGAATGACACAAATCCAGGCTTCCCACATGAGTTGTGGCTGCTGAGAAAATGGCGCATTTCATAGATATTCGGTGCAATAACAGATTCATCCCGAAAATAATGCATGTTTTGGAGAATGTTCCACAAAAGCATCCCAACAGTCTGATAATCTGCAAACTCAAAACAAGCTCCTTTTGAGTTTTTTTTAAGAAACAAAATCCCACGCTGTTCGCAGTTGTGATCATCTTCCACCAATAGAACGGAAAGCACAGACTGTCTAAAACGGCCAAACCCCGAGGACATGGTCTTCCCAGGGCCCGGGCTTTGGATGACGATGTCACGGATGCATTGACCAGCCACGAGGTGATTGGTATACCTTCCCCGGCAAAATCTGCGGTATTCGCCGCATCTTTTGGATGGTCGAACCACTTTTTGCGGATCAGAAATGGTGGTGTTTATCCCATGGTTGTCCATTCATTCTTAGTAAAGCCACCAAAAATACACACCCATCATAGCACATGATATTCCAACGATTGTCCATGTAATCCCCATCGAAATACTATATAGGTATGACTTGATCATTATCATGGTATTACCGTATTACTCCGTATTACCCATGGAGGATTACCAATATTTACCTATATGTAGTACCATGGGACTATAATACCCAATGGTAAATGCAAGAAACAATGGATATCATTTTATCATGGCATTCCAATTTTACTTGATATAAAATGATATTCCAATGGCAAATCCCCATGAAAAATGCCATGATCTGCCCATTGGAATGCCGTTAGTTACAGCCCAAAAACTCCCGACCTTCGCGCGACGTTCAGCCGTCCGATGACCTCTGCACCCACATTGACCTCAGGACGTAGCGAAAAAACGTGCGAACATCGGAAACCTTTATCCGAATAGATATGATATGATATGATACTATCAAATAAAGGTATCATATATATATATGATATCTATTCGTAGATATAATGAATAAATATCTATTATATTTGAATAGATATGATACTGTCTGGGCAAATAGATACCATCAATAAAGCCATTTGGAGATGATTCCCCTTACCAATCAGATTCCAGTGAGGTCACAGTGAGCTCACTATAATTTGCCCAGATGGTATGAAGGTGAGAAGGTAAGGATTTGATGGTAAAAAAAACATTGATAAGAATGTGATGACATTATATTTCTACCGTAGCAAATCCACATATCAAATATCAAGGTAAGAAATTGTAAAATCTGATGAGGAACATTGTTAGAGAAGAAAACCATTTGGTCAATGATGCCACAACTCCTTGTGACATTTACCCAGATTGAGGAACATGGTTTTACACTTTACACATCATCGGAAGGTAAGAATAGCAAATGCTAATCTTCATGGAATTCTATCGATGCGTACGCTGGATGTCTACACTCACATTGGCAACTACATGCAAAGATTGGGTGGGTCATGGTTCGTAATTCCTGTATGCCCTTTAAAGGCTTAACGCTTCAGTCGATCCAAGTGTTACTTCAATATTCTACTGGTTGGTGGTTTCAATACCTCTGAAAAATATTAGTCAATGGGAAGGATTATCCCATATATGAAATGGAAAAATAATCCAAATTCATGTTCCAAACCACCAACCAGTCATCACTATCATGGTGGAGTTGACACCAAAGGCATAGAACCCACTCACCAACATCCCAAATTTCCCTTGGCTGTGATCTCACGAGCCGAGCGACCCAAATGCCATAGGGATTCGTGTGATCAATGATGCCATCCACCTGAAGGCTTGCTGCGATATCTGAAGCTTCTTCTGGATCCATAGCTACAATAAATACCTGTAAACCGCAACAACTGGGTTCCAAACCTTCTGACTTTTATTTGTCGGAACACAAAAAGATCATTCACCATCACTTCAGTTTTTCAACATCCCAGCAGATTTGTTTTTTGTTTGTTTGATCAACAATCCTTTTCCATGCATTTCCTGGGGAAAACATGATCGACGCAGAAAAAATCCGGGACACTTCGAGGACATTGAAGCGATTGAAATGGTTGACTGCGCCTACCACCTGGACTTAAGAGTACAAACATGATCAAACCATATCAAACCTATGAAATAAAATCCTGTGGAAAGATATGGAAAGAACATGGATTTTCCATTGCCGGCTTCAGCTGAGTGGCCAAATCACCCTCTGCCAGCTCCTGGTGATGAACAAATCAGAAATATTACTGGATTGGTTGGGATTTAATGGATTCAATAAGGAAAAATGGGGATTTAACATGATTTCACCAACAAATATGAGATTCAATGGATGAGTTTAGAATCTTGGCCGGAAACCTGGTCTTTCTCATCAATGATGCGGGGTTTTAACTGTAGATTGTTTCCCTTAAATCATTCCAGTGAAAATACCATCTGGTAAGTTAACTTAGCTATGGAAAATGGCCAATCTATATATAGATGATTTACCTATTAGATATGGTGGTTGTCCATCGCTATGTTAAATTATCAGAGGGTAAGTTCTATTGTGATCTCAACTGGAAGCTTGAAATGATCCCTATAAATACTATTGGGATTACTTCAGAAACCATAGACACAGTGCATGGGATACATCCAGTATATCCTGTAAATTAAGATGAAGACAGTGGGATCTTTCAGCCACAGCTAGTGCATTGTATTACATCCATTGATATGCTCAATATACACCAGGTTGGACAAAGTTTCCCATCAAAATTTGGCGGGCAGATGTTGATTGAAGGTGGTGGGTCTTGGATCCCTACTTGGCAGTGCATTCCATTTAGTAAGCTGTTTATAATCCATATTTCGCCCATCTATATATATATAATATAATTGCGGATGCCCACCAAGTACTAGGTGTATGCCCATTCACAAACTGGGATGCCCACCAAGTATTATCATAGGTATATGCAAAAGTACGCCTGCGAACCAGTTGCACTCCGTGCGCGCTGCAGGTCTGTCAAGCTATGCCAACCCCATTCAGTTCTAGACTTCCACATCAAACGTGAGTGCTGGAGGTAGTGTGAAACGTTCAATCTCTGGATTTGTTGAATCAGCCCAGGCGGAGGGAGAACGTTAAGCATTGACTTGCATCACGGATGGATGTATGGCACTGGCTCAAAATGCTTGGCCGCAAAACTAGATCTTCATGACTTAAAGCAACCACAGTTTGTAGTCCCTATGGGCCACGAACTACCAGCCATATGCATACGACATCAGTTTTCTTTGCAAGTTGGCGTTCTTCCCCACATTGAAGCATTGCATGATCGGAAGAATTTACAATGAAAAAACATGGTTTCCTGTAGATGTTCCTTTAATCCATTGTTTATCCATAATCTGTCGGTGAAATCTTACATACATCCCCATATTTCCCTGCTTAAATCCATATTTTTTATCCATTGAAAGGGCGTCAGTGCCATCTCCTCCAGCGGTATCCGGTTCTCCGCAAGCTCGAGGTCAGCCTACAGGCTGGGGAAGCCCATGTATCATCCCTGCGTGGGTGATATGGACATAACTATGATACCCTCTGGTAAACTAAGATAGGTATTGAACATGCTGATTTATAGTTGATGTAGCTATTAATATATTAGAAATTGTGATCTTCCATAATTATGTAACTATGACAAATCCACCCATTTCATAGCTGGGTAAATCAACTAATCAACTATTTCTATGGGCCATGGCTTCCATAGCTATGTAACAAATTGCCAGAGGGTACTGTGGATGGAAGAGATCCTGCACCACCAAACGGATGGTTGAAGCCCTATAGATAATGAGATAAACCACCTATCAACTGGTGAAGGATTTCTTCCATCCACCGTATTACTATGGTAACAAGATGGGTAGGATTAGTGATATCACTAGTGATATATTTCGTATGGGTAGTACCACTGGGTACATTGCTACTGGGTTATTACTATTATTGCTACGTATTATACTACGTGGGATACATACGACAGACATAAGTAATCCAGTTGTGTGTGAAATATCCCCACATATATATATATGTGGTTGTTGATCAAAATTCCTTTATCCGCAAGCGGCCATTCTGCGCGAATAAACATGTTACTTTCGCGAATCTTTCGCGAACTCCACGTTTATCTTTCGCAATCAAAACTCTTTACAAGGACCTTTAGATCGATTACCATGTATTATATACACATATCATATGGTTTGTCGGTTTCTATCATCTGTGTATGTATATATATATATGTGGATACATACATATATATATAATTATATATATAATGATACATGGGTTGTATGCAATAACACAGTGATGATGATGAGATATACCTAACCACAAGAAAACAATCCCTGGGTGTCGCACTCGCAAGTAGGATTCACATTGTTCCCCGGCACAGATCCAAATACGGCCGATGAATATACCCTGCTAAGATCATTACAGCCCTTCCATATCTCATTTGAAATTAATGGGTTTTTGCTGAAAGATGGCAATTACCTGAACCACGGCAACCCTACAATGAGGGGCCCCCAAACGATAGCTAAGTTGGTTTATACTCTCATAATACCTATAACTATAGTTAGTGGGGTTTATAAACCAACTATAACAATCTATAACATATATAACCACATTGTAGATGTGCTGTAACAAGCTCTTGGAACATCTGAAAACATCTTGGCGTGGCTCTGCCCCAAGTGACGTCCAGCAAGGTGACGCAAAAGCGTCGCTTCTCAAAGTCCACCTCCTTGACCACCTCATGCGACTCATGGGACCCGATGGAAAACAGCACCGACCATCTGGATTTCTTTGAGGGAATATCTATCCACCCTTTGCTGATTTACCAGTTCGCGAAATGGAACATGAGCATTTTTAGTAGGCAAATCATCATCATACACCATTTATCATCTGGTTGTGACTAACACTTCGCCATGGTATAGATGGCCCATAGAAATAGATGGTTTACCGTTCTTAAACATGGTGAGAAAATAACAAATATACCATCTGGTTATGACTAACATAGCGAACTGGAAAATCCCAACCGTAAATGGAGGTTTCTAGCTGGGAAAATCATCTATTTCTATGGGCTATTTTCCATGGCTATGAGAGTATTAAAAAAACAAAAAAAACTGCTCGTTGAATTCTATATTTGATTTGATCACATATGATATCGTCATATAATTATACTCATGTAAAAATATAATATTATGACATATTATAGGTCATTATAATTATATACACCTATTCGATGACATAATTCCAATATCGGTCAGTGTATTCCATCTTGGCTTTCATCTAAACTTTCACGTAGCACCTTACAACCTGTCAAAACACCACAAAACCGATCACTTGTTGCGCCAGTTGTCTCCACACTGGTCGGACTCAACTTTCGCTTTGGCACCAGCGACGAGTCTCATCTGTGTATGGTGATCTTTCTGATGGTTCAGCGATGGCCGGGGCCGCAACTATGGACGGCACCGGCTCTTCCGAGTTTCGATCTGAAAGTCTGGTCGATGGATTCGTCTGAATGAAGTCAACAACTGTCCATCCGGCAAGACCACTCCGACACTGTGAAGGTTTTCATCCAACCTCTGGGCAATTTGCCTGTGAGTGTCCACCGTAAGGTCCGACCCACTTGCTGCAAAACACAGGACCTCATGCCCTGCCAAACTCGAGCGGGTCAGCACAAATGCACCATCTTGACAAACAAAGTCCAATTGCGAAACACGGACAGGGTAGCTGACGTGACGAATGTAGCGGCCGCTGCCAGACGATTCCAGAGATGAAATGTTGCAATGTCCATGTCGATTGTCTCCGCATGCGACAGCTCTACCATCATTTCGGAGAAGCAGTGTGCGACACACGTCTGCAGAAACCTGCGTGTATGACATGCCTTCATCCAAAGTTGGGATGTTGCACTGGCCCCATTCATTGTACCCGCAAGCTACAGCAGTCCCATTACTTGTCAGAAGCCATGGCCATGACTCAATGATAGAGCTTGGTCCGAAAATCAAGCTCTTGTGCAAGTTCTTCCAAATTGTTCAACGGTTTCTTTTGGAAGTGAGGAAACATAATAGTGTTTCATGTTTCTAGATGGGGGTTCGGGGTGGTGGATTGGGGAGGGATAGGTTGTTTTGGGTTTCATAGTCCCCGTGGATCTTGAATCTGGATGATATCGCCACAAATGCTGTTTCTATCTTCGAAAAAAAACAAAGGAAAGCAGAAAGTCTTGCCGTGTGAGGGTAGTTACTTGGATGCATCACGGCGTTACAGGCAGCATCGGGGGTGCGTTACGATGTGATATTTTCAGTGCTATGGCTGAAAGACGAGGAGGATCCGCACTAGATCCCATTCAATCCCATCAGATAAGCCTGGGTCCTAAGTCCTGAATTCGTAACATCTCACTGGGAAAAAGCAAGCAGACTGGGAATTCTCCCAGCTGTCGGACAGTAGAACATCAGTATATAACATTATATAACCATCCATCTTATCAAGGAATATTATAATCATTCACTAAGCTGAAGGCCTTCTCCTACTAACTAATATCTATTTGGAGGGAGAATTCCCCTCGCCAGCCATCGTTCCAGGCTTCGAGAGAACAGGAGAACCATCCGCCGGTGCAGGGTTCCAACAATCGTGACTTTTTTTGTGGGAATGGATCGGGCATAGCCCAAAAACATAGTGTGTACATTACATTAAATATATGTATATGTATATATATATATATAATGATTCTCTCACATATATATAATTATATATATAAACATATTTCATGATTCTCACATATATATATATATAATCATGATTATCATGTATATATATATATATCATATACTGTATATGCGTATATATATATAGCAAATTATATTGATATTGCCAGCGTGGAGCAAGCTCAAATCATTCAAAGTCGCCTGTGGTCACCTAGTTTGTTGAGCCTCCACACACAATCCAGGCGGTCGCCAATCTGTAGCTGGACACAACCGGAGATTAATTGGAATTGTGACACAACGACCAGGATTTGTGATCACCATCAGGCTGGAAATGGGGCGAATTCCAAGGGTTTGATCCTACTGTTCACCCACTACATCATAGACCACAATATATCAGTATCATACCTGGTCTACTAGTACTAGTACTACCTAGTACTACTATTAGTACTACTTATCACTATAAATCACAACTACTAGTACTACTTAGTACTTATAATATCTAAGTATCATGTAAATCACAAGATATCATACTTAGTACTACTGCCACCCGTGCTGAAAAAAAAGAACCAAAACGGGATCATGATCCATCCCGGCGTCAATCCTGGCTGGTTGAGAACGGGATTTTCCCCCATTGGATAAAAAAAAACTATATATAAAGGGTATACCATCTGGTTATGACTAACAGGGCTAGCCATGGAAAATCCACCCATTTTTAATGGGTAAACCATCGAACTAAATGGGCCATCTATACCATGGCGAACTGTTAGTCATAACCAGAGGGTAGTAGAATCCCCAAACCAATCATCAACCCTGCCAGGGGTTTTGAACATAGGACACCCGCCGGAAACCAACTTGAAATAACTATCTATGGTGAACATCACTTCAATGACAAAGGTTTATGATACCACTGGATAAACTGGATATTTAGATACCTTATAATTATGGTTTATGATACCTGTTAACTATGGTTTATGATACCTATAACTTCCAGTTTATATTTAGATGGGATAAACCAACTTATAACTGGAAGGCCGCCGGAAACCCACCTGGAAGCGTCGTTGCAGTCTTTGCTCCACGATCAGCTTGGCATTGCGTTCGGCACCCACCTGGCGAAGTCGCGTTGCGTCGCGTTGCGAAGTCGCGAAGAAGACCTGGGTCCCTGAAATCCACTGGTTTGATGGTTTTCCAGATTCCAGCTGAAAACAAACAATGTATTCATTCTATCTATCTATCTATCTATTTATCTATCTATCTATCTATCTATCTATTTATCTATCTATCTATCTATCTATCTATTTATCTATCTATCTATCTATCTATTTATCTATCTATCTATCTATTTATCTATCTATCTATCTATTTATCTATCTATCTATCTATCTATTTATCTATCTATTTATCTATCTATTTATCTATCTATCTATCTATTTATCTATCTATCTATCTATCTATTTATCTATCTATCTATCTATCTAATCTAATCTAATCTAATCCAATCTAATCTATCTATTATCATTATATCCAATCTATATAATCTAACCTAATCTAATCTAATCTATAAAATCTAACCTAACCTAATCTAATCTAATCTATCTATTATATATATATATATATTCAATCATCATGATCATGTGGCAACCAACCATCAATTCTATACCAAGCAAGCTGTGAAATACGGACCCTTGGGCGGGGGGTGAGCACACACACATATATATATATATATATACATATATATAATATATACAACTTATATAACTGTCTCAACATGGTAGAAAAGTAATGGTTTCACCAAATCGACTTATTGCAGAAATAGGATGAACTATATGCCATATGGGTCTATTTGCAAAATCAACGGGTCTATCCAATTGGGGTTCCTGGGATTTGCTGCGGCCAAGAAAATGAGTCGTTGTCTAAAAAATATGGTGCCCATCCCATCAGACCATCACACCAAATGATTGAGAAACCGTTTTCCATATATTATATTAAACAGCAACTGTGGAGAATACCACATATTCAGTGGTGATATCGTGGGGATAGACTTTGGATAGACTTGTGTCAACGTTTAAGACGTCTGTGGACCCACACGGGCCGGTTGTGTTTAGTATCAACTGTCCCAAACTTGGTCCTGAATTCTGACCCACACATGCTGGGATGGAACCAGCATGGGAGCAAGCCTGTGTGTAATTGGTAATGGGAGTAATGAGATGTACCCTCTGGTAAACTAACATAGCTATGAAAATGGCCATTTATAGTGAGTTTTCCCATTAAGAATGGTGATTTTCCATAGCTATGTTAAATTACCAGAGAGTAACAAAATGTAACAAAGGATTTTAGTCACCTATATGTTCGGCTATGTTCCGATTTGGTACGTCAGTGTGGACAGGTGCATGTGACAATGCCTTTCAATCTTCCAGTGAATTCTTGTGAGTTCCGGGGTGTTCAACAAATTACCTTCGTCACAAGTTGATTCTTAAGATTGTTGGTTAACATCCCATTTCTTGATGGTTAGTACCAGCACTTTTTAGGGATCTATGATGATTTATGGGACCTTATATTGCCAACCATTTTCCCAAGCTATTCCATGCTATTCCATGCTATTCCTGTCGCTGGCGCACGTCCACAAAGGCACCATAGGGGGCTGCATTGGTGACCTTGGGCGGTTGGTGCTTGAAACCGCCAAAGAAACGGTAGCAATTTAAAGAGTTCCGATGGAGATAGAACTGAATATATCAACGACAAGCAGCTAGCATGTTCTTTTATCTTCCAATGGTAGGTCTGATATTGGGATGTGATAAAAACTTATATCACAAATACGTGTCCTGAAAAGGTGGAAGATTGGGTAGCTATTAAATGATGTTGTCATGTTGTCTGGTTCAGTGAATACAATTCTGCGCTTAGTGAGCAACCACCATTGGTCACGTTTTATGGAACACATCCACATCGAGGCGAGCATTTGCTGGCCGAGTCATCTCAACCGTCTCACCTGGATATACCCAAAGCTGTCCAGTTGTTCCAAGGGGTGAACTAAGTCAACATCTCACAATAGTGAATTCATCAGTTCAAACACCAGTTTGGCGAAGTATATGGACACTTATTTCCCAACATGTTGGATAATTTTGCTGGGTGAGCATCAAATCTTCTTCTAAATCGTGTTTTTTTTCCACGAGTTACGTGGGGATGGGCCATGTCACCATGTCCCCCTCCGTTCGGAACAGTAGTTCTGGATGAAAAAAATCTTCAGTTGATGGTAATCAGTAATGTAAATGTAGATAGGGCATGATAGGGCCATACTACATGGTGGATTATGGTGCCTTGATGTGGGGACTATGAACTCATCAAAAAAGTTCCTTAACAATGGTGTCAAAATCAACGATACCACAATCACATGGTGGGATGAACATCCATAAGACTAGCTCTAGCGAGTGTTGTTCCAAAAAAAGGGCCAGGCTTTCGACCTACACCAAAATGTGTTTCTCCGAAAACGGGATATCCGGGTATCCCAAAATCCAATGGTTTAGAAAATCATGTTTCCATATGTTTCCTCATGTTTCCCTATCAGAATGACCATCTCAGGTACGCCCCATCTTTCTGCAAAGGCTGACGGAAATCCATGTTCAAGTCACTTTCCAAATGTTTCATACTAAAAGATACTAACACCATCTAACACCATCATGTTTCTAATGGTTCTCCTGTGTTTCTCCCGAGTTTCTCCTCTGGACCCCTCTGGGTCAACTGGCAAAATCGCCCGAGTTTCCCCACGATGCCCGGCATCCGGTCGCCCGGGCGGATGGAATCGATGGGCACCTGCGAGATGTTCACCAAGATTTAGCAACAATCATGGAGGATTTCAGCATGAAATATCGACGTTTTGTAGGGCTTTAACCATCAACCGAATGGATTAATATTATATTCATTAGTTATCATTAGTTGATCTTGAAGGATTTATGATTTAACAATCAAATGGTGGATAATGGCAATACAATAAACTGGTTATGATTCATAGTGATATGGTGGATAAGAGTTACAGTTTTTGTGGTTACCATCAAGTGATTGATATGAACATTCCAATTTTTGGGGGTTCACCACTAAAGATATGGGAATAATGACTAGTGGATAAGTTGATAAACAATGGTTGGTTGAACGCGCATCCCAGTCAGTGGATAATAAACTACCAGTACTGGTACGTGTCATTTGTAGGTGGAACATATAAAAACTTATAACAACTCTTGCACACAGTAATCAATTCATACCGACTGCGATGTACATCGAAGTAGTGAATCAATCATTGGCCCTATGCATCCAGGTAGTGGAAGAAGGCGTTTCAATGCATCCTGTGAATATATCAGGTATTTTTTTGGCATAGCAATGTCTTGCTGGGCTTGGTGGGAGAATAAAGCACGGGTCCCATAAACGTTCCTTGCGACTCACCCAAAACTACACCATTCCTGGTGCATTTTCAGCCATCCCCAATTGGAGCTTGATTAGGTCAATCCACATTACAATCATTACAACTGTATACAAATGTACCATCTCTATTACCTGTTTCCCAAGTTTGGTGGGGAAATCGCTACCGTGTTGGCTCTATGAATGGCCCTATGATCCACAGTGTTTCTGGTTTCATGATCATGCATTCTCTTCTTCGTTAAAAAAAAAAAAACATCTACTGTTGATTTTCCACGCAACTTTGTCCCAAAAAAGGTACCCCCCAAAATCTGGTGGTTTAGAGTCATAAAAAATCCAAATTCAAAATGTCAAGGAGCCACCAATTTCTGGATAAACCAAAAATCATCATTGTTCCCAGTCCCTACAGTTATGGCCATTTATTAGTTATAACTGGTTATTTATATGGGATTATACAATCTATAAATGGGGTTTTGTTAGTACTTATAACTGGTAAAGGGCCATAACTGTAGATCGTCCGTCCTTTGCCCCAAACTGACTGTGTCACCACACTCCTTCGCTGTGCCATCCACCGGCGCTGGCGCCACCTGAGACGCCAACGATTGATGGACGGACATTTCACCGGCACTGGATTGATTTTCGACATGCAATGGTGATTTAATGGGATTTAACCACTATTCTTCGTTAAAAAAAAAAAAACATCTACTGTTGATTTTCCACGCAACTTTGTCCCAAAAAAGGTACCCCCCAAAATCTGGTGGTTTAGAGTCATAAAAAATCCAAATTCAAAATGTCAAGGAGCCACCAATTTCTGGATAAACCAAAAATCATCATTGTTCCCAGTCCCTACAGTTATGGCCATTTATTAGTTATAACTGGTTATTTATATGGGATTATACAATCTATAAATGGGGTTTTGTTAGTACTTATAACTGGTAAAGGGCCATAACTGTAGATCGTCCGTCCTTTGCCCCAAACTGACTGTGTCACCACACTCCTTCGCTGTGCCATCCACCGGCGCTGGCGCCACCTGAGACGCCAACGATTGATGGACGGACATTTCACCGGCACTGGATTGATTTTCGACATGCAATGGTGATTTAATGGGATTTAACCACTATAAATGGTGATTGATGGTGAATTTCCCAACCTGGTTATGAGTAACAGTTCGCCATGGTTTTTCGATGGCCCTAATCGAAATAGATGGTTTACCTATTAATAGCATGGTGATTTTCCATGGCGAAATGTTAGTCATAACCAGATGGTATAGGGAAACTCCCCCAAAAGCATCATCGAAAAACACGCGGCAAATCTTCGCCGATTTTTATCACTGCATCGGCAACTTCAGCGGCCAGATTGCATCAGTTTGTCACAAATTGGCAAACCCAATATGTTTTTCTGTCTTGAAACAGTAAGACACATGATGAAAAACCAAGCCACTGAGTTTTGTGGTACCATATTTTTGTTCAAGCCCACGTGAACTGCCTAGCTCTGGGCAAGCTGTAGCACTACACACTTGTTCTATTCATCATATCATCCAATTGCTTGTTGCTTGCTTTGTTGGCGGGTCATATACCCTGAAGTAGTCATGGTTCATGGTTCGCTGTCAAATACCCTTTATCAGTGAGAAATCATATTCCTCCATGAATCCAATGATAGCAGAACAAAGAAACCATCAACCAATCTCAACCATCAATCAACACTTCAGCAAGGCTTCCTGCCACTCTCGAACCAGGGCAACTTTTACCAGCTTCCAATCTTAGGTTCCAATATTTTTTCGGATTGGTTCCTTTACTAGCCATTGTTTACGGTGAGGTTGGCCAGTGCGCTTCCTTTAAGTTACCCAGACTAGTAGACTAGTGATATCTCTAAAATATGACTGTTGAATCATCATATTTTTCTCAAATGTGTAGCTAGAATGTGTTAAAAACCACATATATATATATTATTATATATATATCATTATATATATAACATTATATATATATATATCATTTTATAATATTATATATACATATACACATTTACATTTGTCTGATAGTACCATACCCAGAACCCGGTCTATCCAAGGCACCGCTCACGGTCGTGCCATGCCTCGCGGGAGCGGGGACCCTGACGGACCCTGAATGGAACATCTTATATCTTACTATATATTTTATCATATCATTGAATATTCAAACCTCAACAGATACGGGATCAACATGGATCAACAAGTTTTTATTCACCAGTCTTTCTGAAACGTTGACACGTTTTGGTGTCTACGTCTTGGCGTTTTGGAGCTGGGCTCCAAAGAGATGTCGTAAAAACTACCGCCGGGCCTCGCCACTTAAGAAACTAGCACCAGGCCCACCATCAAGTCACCATCATCCTCACCCATAAAAAGGATACATATCATATAATGATAATACTACTAAGAATCATCATTGTCAGAAACATAATCCTCATCATCATCGCTATCATCATCATCATCATCATCAGCAGCAGCAGCAGCACCACCAGCAGAATCAATAACAGCATCCAACTATCCATGTGTTCTCTATTCATTGTGGATCGCCAACACCACACCATGCCCACCATCAGGATCACCAATGAGTCAAGATACAGGTACAATATACACTATATGAATCAAATGTATTGTCTCGAAAAAGGGGCATACCCCAAATATGACCATATATGTGACCATTTAATATGGAACAATAGGGAATATGATGATGAACTACTGGACTTTGGGCTTACCCCATTTCTGCAAATGTATCGAAAGTTCCTGCGAACAATCTATATAGTACGCGGATTCGGATGCAACCAACCCGGCTGGCACCCACTTCAACCTAGAGTAACTGGTATAGCTGGATCTTCGTCCGCTGGTCCCTCAGTTGCTGAGCCATCTCTAAATAATCTATAATATTGTTGTTGGTTTTAATCTCAAATTCTGTTTGCTAAGACTCCACCATGGACCATTCATCCCCCTTGAAATTCGCCCCGAGAGGATGGGCGCACCAAAGTGTAGGGTGCCCAGCCTACCCCCCTACAAAATGGTATGGGGACACCTACAAAATGGTAGCACCCATGGGGGTTGCTGCCTACAAAATGGTGGCCCCAGGGTACCCCACCTGCCCACCAACATCAAGTATTTTGGGTTAACATAGTGTCCAAAAAACTGTGAAAAATTGGAGAACCATTTTGTAAGACACAAAGCAACCCTGTGGTCGCACCCTGGTCTTTTTTGGGCGACCAATTTGTAGACAGTTTACTCTGAATGAAATTTTTTCTTAAAATCTCTCAAGCAATCCTTGCATATCTCACATTTTTGCATCTTGTGCATCTGGCAATCGGGTTTCATAAAATATCGTCCAACAGAAGTAGTCAGATAGACTGGACCGAAGTAGTGGTCATCGCTTTTTTTTCTGGACCGGGGCTGGTTTCAAAATTTTGGAGGCTTTGAAAACTTTGCGATCATCTCCACCACAAAATCCACACGGTCGGTTGATATTTTTTTGTGTTCAAATATATTTACATTTGTGGATGTATGTATCAACTCCCCCTACCCATCTACAAAATGGTATTCCAAATCTTCTACAAAATGGAGGTGCCTGACACTGGCATATGATCTTGTTCTCATGTAAAGTGATGTTGGGTGTGTATAAACAGGTCTCTTTCTACAAAATGGAGTGCCCCGACGGCAAAAAAAAACACATAGAATCTGATTTATAGGGGGCCCAAGGCCTACCATTTTGAATGGGATGGGCCTGGCCAGCCTACCCCCCTACAAAATGGTATGGGGACACCTACAAAATGGTAGCACCCATGGGGGTTGCTGCCTACAAAATGGTGGCCCCAGGGTACCCCACCTGCCCACCAACATCAAGTATTTTGGGTTAACATAGTGTCCAAAAAACTGTGAAAAATTGGAGAACCATTTTGTAAGACACAAAGCAACCCTGTGGTCGCACCCTGGTCTTTTTTGGGCGACCAATTTGTAGACAGTTTACTCTGAATGAAATTTCTTCTTAAAATCTCTCAAGCAATCCTTGCATATCTCAAATTTTTGCATCTTGTGCATCTGGCGAACGGGTTTCATAAAGTATCGTCCAACAGAAGTAGTCAGATAGACTGGACCGAAGTAGTGGTCATCGCTTTTTTTTTCTGGACCGGGGCTGGTTTCAAAATTTTGGAGGCTTTGAAAACTTTGCGATCATCTCCACCACAAAATCCACATGGTCGGTTGATATTTTTTGGGGTCCAAATATATTTGCATTTGTGGATGTATTTATCAACTCCCCTTACCCATCTACAAAATGGTATTCCAAATCTTCTACAAAATGGAGGTGCCTGACACTGGCATATGATCTTGTTCTCATGTAAAGTGATGTTGGGTGTGTATAAACAGGTCTCTTTCTACAAAATGGAGTGCCCCGACGGCAAAAAAAAAACATAAAATCTGATTTATAGGGGGCCCAAGGCCTACCATTTTGAATGGGAAATGTCAACGGGGATGACCATTCTTAATATATAATAATACTGTATTGCAATTATACCTATTGACTTTGGACTCATCTGCAAACCTCTGTTTTCTCGGGTAAAGTACCTGGCTAAGAGAGAGCATACTACCTTAATGTAGGATACAGATTAGTGTGGGGAGGCCCCCCCCCCCAAAACAAATTTTGGATACAGAATAGTGTGGAAAAAACAAGGTACCGGGTACAGAATAGTGTAAAATAAAAAATGATAGATTTAAATTGATTTCAATTTATTTTCAATTGATTTCAATTTATTTTGAATTGATTTGAAGTTACTTTGAATTGATTTCAATTTATTTTGAATTGTGTATCCTGACACAATGACACAATTGTGTATCCTGACACAATTTTAAAAAACAATAAAACAATAATATAAAAATTATTATAAATAAAAATAAAAATAAAAATAATTAAATTAAAAATTATTATAATTAAAAATAAAAAATAAAAAATAAATTATTATAAAATAAACAATAATTAAATTAAAAATTATTATAATTAAAAATCAAAATATAAAATAATTTAAAATAAAATAAAAAATAATTAAATTAAAAATTATTATAATTAAAAATAAAAGTAAAAAATAACTTAAATAAAATAAAAAATAATTAAATTAAAAATTATTATAATTAAAAATAAAAATAAAAAATAATTTAAAATAAAATAAACAATAATTAAATTAAAAATAACAATTATTATAATTTTAAATCAAAATAAAAAACAATTAAAAACTAAAGAAACAAAAAAATGAAAAAAAAACTTACACCAAAATCCTGTGGACACAAAACTGTACCCCTCAATCATTTCCAAAGATACAAAATAATTTTGGAGTCTGTGGACACAATTCTGTATCCCCACACTAATCTGTATCCAACATTACATGTGTGAAATAGGTAGTGAGAACCCACCTGAGGACCTGGTTGCTGTACCATCATCTTACACCTCTGGATCTCATAGGTTTGTGTGTTTGCAGTACCGCAGTACCTGTGGGTGTGAAATGATTGAAATGTGCTGTCCCAGTGCATGGTGAATCTTAGACACCTGCCAAACAATCTAAGTTAGCTGGTTAGTACACTTACTGGTTGGTGGTTTCAACCCCTCTAACAACAAATATTAGTCGATGGGAAGGATTGTACCATATATTATGGAAAATAAAAAATGTTCCAAATCACCAACCAGCTTAGTACAGTTTACCATTGATAGCAACATATTAAAGTATTCATGAACATTGTCTTGAAACAAACCACGTCCAAAACCAGAGTTTACCTCATTTACACTCGCTCTGACAAATCCAACTGTCGCAAGACCACTAAAGTCACTAAAGTATTTAAGCACTAGTGATTGTAGCATTGCACTTATCCAAATTGTTGACTATCAGTATTAGAGGATCACCATTAGCTAAAGCATTGTGGATCACCATTATATAGTCATTAATATCTAACTGGTTGGTGGCTTCAACCCCTCTGAAAAATATGAGTTCGTCAGTTGGGATTATTATTCCCATATTTTTGAAATTGATTTTACAGCCATGTTTCAAACCACCAACCAGTTACCCTCTGGTAAACTAACATAACTATGGAAAATCACCATTTTTAATGGGAAAACTCACTAAAAATTGCCATTTTCAATAGCTATGTTAAATTACCAGAGGGTAAGCATTGTTGGGTTTACCCAAATTGTAGCAGCCCCACAGATTTCACCACGTCACCTCGGTGTGGTTGTCCTGGAATCAGCGCGGTCGCTCCGGCGTTCCGACTCTGCACGCCTCCGAGGTCGTGGCAAGGGCAAGGCACCGAATGTCGGATCCAATGCCAGATTTGCTTGGGTTAACCTTTGTGTTTTTTTTTTGTTGTATATACAGTAATTGTATATATATATATATATCTATAAATATATAATTATATAATTGTATATATATATATATAAATGTATAATTATATAATTATATATATATATTGAGATTTTTATGTTTCATGATGGTTTATTTTATCATTCTGTGAATTACACCCTGAACCTCGATTGAAAGCCACAGAAAATTGCACTTTATCCATGAAGACCTTGGCAATTTTACTTGTTTTGATGAGGTACTTTGAGGATGCATCTTTAAACGTGTCTCCAGTTGAAATCTGCCGCGAATGGAATGTTGTTGCTGTCAAGAATTGGGTGAACAACTGAACATCATGAATCTGATGCTGTTCGCACCTGGAATATCACCAAACACATCAATCAATATGGGAACCGGAAAACCGCTGGGAACACATCATCGAACCACCATTCCTGGAAAGACATTTCGCCCTCTTTTTGGGGACTATGTGGGATTATTGTGATATATTGTAATCATGTGAATTATCCCATAATAACCCCATAATAACCCCATTGTACTTGCATCTTTGTTGGTTAAGTCACCATTTTTCATAGTTAAATCACCATCAAATCCTGATACATCCCATCCAGGGATCGACCTGAGCTGGATGGAACGACCTCGCCTCCGTGCTGTGCCTCTGAAATCGCCAGACTCCTTGGGGCGGCGCCAGTTGCATTAGCTTTGGATCCTGGAAGATGAACAAATTATGTTTGGTTTACAGTACCAAGGATACCCTGCATTTCGGGTTTCATATTTGGGGCTGGGTCAAAACCCTGGCACCTAGTGAACATCAAAATTGCTGGTAAATGAATGTTCATCCCCTAACAAATTGTATCTATAGGTATTGGTCCATAGCCATTTCAATTCCCTAGAATGCGGGCACCGGCAAAATATAAATAGAACAATGTTTCTGGATCTTACAATCACGGTTTGTGGAAATGCATGAACAGTAGTTGTTTTGTATGTTTTACGTTTCCATCAATTTTAGGGTTTAGCAGAACGCCAGTAATGACATCATATTCCTAGCATCATAAAATCCCAACATCCCAATATGATCCCATCCTCTTTATCAGGGAAGAAATATCCTAATTTCTCCCATCACCCGACTAAAAAAGGGATATGTGATTTCCCAACAGAAATCTTTTCAAGTTGCTGGGAGATTTACCAACATTTAGTTCATGGTTGCTGTAAATCCCCCATGATGACTTCGCAAAAAATGACCCGACAACTACAAGGGCTGATGACTCACAAATTTCACTTTCACAACGAAAACCAACACGGATATACTAACCATATATTAACCATATATTAAAGTATATTTCTCACCAGTATTCGATGTTATAAACTATTCTCCCATTCTATCAACATTAAATCTTGTATTGGAAAAATACTATGGATTTAAGTTGATATTATATAATATTGTCATGCATGATCCCATTGTCATTAAATCCAAAGAAATCCCTGCAATGATAATCCCAAGAATACCAATCAACAAAACACTATATAATGATAATATGGTAGTACCAAATAGTCCTTAGTATCATATATTAATAATACTGATTATACTATCCACAGCTGATACCTATACTTAAAAGCCCATGACAATATATTAATATACTATTATATGATATTTTTAAATATATTACTATATGGATTATTCCATGGATCATGGTATGAGTGATGGATTATAAATTACTATATGGTCTAGATTACTATAGTATTACTACGTATATGCATATATACCTATATATATAGATATGGATTATATTACTAATCCCTTCCCCCTATTACAAAACCTCCCCTAAATAACAAAAACTACCCCAGATTATTTGTTTTGGGAAATTCAGATTGGTCAACTTGACTTTTAATTGATCCCCTTTAGAAAACAATTTAAAAATCAAGGTCCATTTGAAGGTTCTACCCCCTTAATAATAAAAACTAGTTAGCCCCGGAGTGTTTTTTGTTAGGGTCCGTTTGTTAAAATCAAAAAGTTCAGTTCTTTTTTTACTTAAGTTCTAAATTTGATATTAGGGGAAAGCTTCGAAATCCAATGTTTGGCAAAATTTAACTAGATTTAAAAGGGAATTTACAGTAATCGATTTTGAAATCGAACATTTTTTTTTTAAATATGGTTTTAATTTAATATTAGGAGCCAGCTTCTCCCCCGAATATTAAATACACCCTAATAATAAAAACTACCCATAGGTACTATTATTTGGGGGGGACGTTTAGTATTAGGGTGAAGGGATTATAATACACTTTAATAATTACTATCGGGTGGGTGGTTTTAACCATCTTGAAAAATATTCGTCAGTTGGGAGTATTATTCCCATACATTATGGAAAATAAAAGTCATGTTTGAAACCACCAACCAGCAATAATATTATAATAATCAACAACAAGTAATTATTAGTATAATATTAGTATACCATATCATGAAATATTATTATATGGCAACCAGATATAATATTGGTATAATATAATAGTGATATTAGTGATTAATATGAAAATTATTAATATTAGTGATCTAATATTAATAGTGATCACTATTATCACTAATATCACTATTAATATCACTAATATGAGTGATTATTGCCATAGGGCAGTGTGTCAAAACCTTGTACCCCTGGTGAACATCAAAATAGCTGGTAAATGGATGTTCATTCCCCTAAAAATGGTATTAATAGGTATTGACCCATAGTGATCTAATCCCAACCGCTTCAAGGTTTTCCATCTCCCGTCCGTTCCGTCGCCTTGGTCGCCTTGGAGCTCTGTGTTCGATCAGCCATGGAGCCATGGACGCCGGGCCGGGTCATGGTTGTAGGCGCTGTCGGCGCGGCTGGTTGTGGTTACATGGATGATATGCATGTGTATATATATATATTACATACATACATAGTATGTATGTATGTAACCAGATATATTCGATTAAGTTATTGTAATACACATTTGTATCAATATGTAATATACAAAATATTCACATATTCACACACACATACAGTATGTATATAATTGTATATATATATATATACATACTCCTGCAATCCAGGTGCCTGCTAACAAAAAAACAACAACAATGGCACGTTGTTTACAGAACTGCCATCATTTCCATAGGAAATGATTTGGCAATAGACTTGTTGATGGGTTTTCCTAGGCTTGGTAGGTTGAAGGCTAGGCATTGCCAGTCGATCTGTAGGCCTAGAGGGTGGCATCACTTTCAACCCATTGCAATATTTGCATATATTTGCTACATTCTAGACCCCTCATTCCACATGACTTGACATAGAAGCTGTTGCTCCCATCCTGTAAAGTTGCTCCTATAGTCAGAAAACTGTCGTCCTCATGATGCCTTGTTCCATCGTTTTTCCACAACCCCAAGGTTCGTTTATCTCGCTGGGTTAACCCATCAACCGGCAGGTCAACATAGAATCAATTTTTGCTGACCATCCTCAAGGGGGTTTCCTGTTTTCAGGTTCTCCAAAGGAATAGACCTGGTCATGGGCAAAATGCTCTTGATCTGCAAAGCTTCAGATGGCAGAACCTGCATTCTGGAAATGCTTAAAAAACAGGCCATCGCAGTCCCACATATCTTCACTGACCAGGTCATCTGAACAGCAAAACCATGCAGGATTCCATATTGATCCACGGGTTACATCTCTTAGCAAAGTGTTGCCAATCATCGCATCGGCAGAAAAGCAAAGTCAGGCGTCCCTGCATCCATTTTTGTTCAACTCTTTGCAAGCAAATCCGAGATCGCCTTTGCGTAGCCTCTCGCAAGTGAGATTTCATTCCCCCTGGGGGCATCTCTGACTGTTTGGGTAGATTGAATGGATGTCAAAATGCTTAAACATAACTAAACAACACACATGCATTGTATGTGTGTATGTAAGAGAAAGGGGACAACAAAAAAAGCCAGGATATGTCACATGTGGAAAACATATACACATATATTTATTTATGCTTGTATATAAGAATATCTAAAATTAAATATACATACGATATATATATATACACGGTAACTATTACATTTAAATATACGGATTTTTTAATATACGAAAAGGTGTTTTAGACTACCTCCGGAAAGGTTTTCCTTGGCCCGCCCAGCCATTTAAACATACGGAATCCGATTCATTTAGACATACAGTACTGCAACTACATTTAAACATACGAACTGGTATTTCATTGTCATACTACCTCCAGGGCCTCGCGGTCTGGCCCACCCTCCACATATTTAAATGTCGTTACCGTATATTCATTCATTACAGTATGTACTGCATGTTTGAAAAAACTGCGGAGCAAAGTGCAGCCATGGGGGTGTTCGAATGCTTCTTGACTCGGGGAAAAATGCTATGATGACATTTGCCTTCCTTTCCAGTGGTGCATTCATCGTGGCATCGGGAAGTTTCCTTTCCAGTGGTACATTCCACCATGGATGGTAGGTCGTACATAGCTAAAGGATGCTAGAGGGTATTTTACCACAAACATCTTTGAAAGAACAACTTTGGAGAAATTTGGTATATCCAACATCTCAGACCTAATTTTACGCATGTTCATGGGGCTCAAGCCAAACTTCAGTACCCTCTGGTAATTTAACATAGCTATGGAAAATCACAATTTTTTAATAGGAAAATCCACTATTTCTATGGCCATTTTCAATAGCTACGTTAGTCATTACCAGAGGGTACATTCATATTGATTCACTATTAGCCATTAATAACCCCCATTAATCACCATTAATCACCATTTATAATGGTTAAATCCCATTAAATCACCATTAAATCACCATTAAATGGTCGTTATTTCTCTGTGTCTCTGACACGCCACATCCGTCCAACCTCCACAACCCTGACATCACCTTCGGGGCACCTTCGCTGGAGAGCAGCTCCCCGCCGTCCAAGTGCTGGAGGTCTTTGTCCTGCGAGATGTTGGGCAAAAAATGTAAAGAAACATGTGGGGATGGGTCAAAACCCTGGTACCGTGCCGTGAACCCCAAAATAGATAGCTGGGATTTATGGATGTGAATAACCCACTAAAAATGCTATGTATAGGTATTGATCCATAGCCATGTGGGTCATTAGGATCCAGTCCTCAACTTTGAAATCATGGAATCCAGATGAACATCAGTGAACCATTAGTGAAGAGGCGTGGATCATGGCTAGCGGTAGACGGTGGATCTGCTTGGATACCTGTCGTTCCATCCCCAAGGCCATCCAAGTACGGTAAAGAATCTCTCCCAAAATCATCAATCCACATCTCGGCAAATGTGCCACGAACCTAGGCCTAGTCAATGAGACTTCCAGGATCCTAACATGAAGGTACTGTACCATATAAGGCCATATTTTGCGGATATATCGCCTTAGATAGCCCTTACATAGGCCTTATATCTGGTTGGTACCTCCAATTTGGGTTCCGGCTTGATGGGCTACGATCTCCCTGGTGCCGGTCCACTGCATGAATGATGGCGGCATCTGCTGCGCTGCAGGCCTGGAAATCCCACTGGATGCGGCAACGGACCGCAAAACATGTTCTGTTGGTTGAGCTGCCCCATGGCTAACCTCTAAAATGTTGGTTTCCCCTGGTCAACCGGCCGCTTGTAAGAGGGTACCGTATATAGTATACAGATGTATATACGTACAGTATCTCAATGTTTGCTGGCAGTTGTCCTCATGTTTTGGTGGGTAAAACTTGATTTCGGCAGATTCATCCCAACCATTCACCTGCCTCTGCTTACCCAATGCAATAATTAATAATTGTCGGTCTCATTTTCTATCTCAATTTTTCTTTGCTTGCATCTTACATTGTCTTACATCCCTTTCTTTTTCGTGGAGAAAGAAACCTGCACCGTTCACCTAAATCAGTCTACTCAGCTGCGTGGTTTTCTGAGACCCCCCAGCCGTCCATCCACGGCCCAGCATGTAGCGCCTGAGTGCTGGGACAGTCCAACTGAAATCACTACGCGTGCAAACACTGTGTTATTCATTGTTATTCATATACATCACCGTGTGATTCAAACCTGAAGGGAACCAATTCACTGGTCACCAGGTCTATGATAGCACACCGAGCTGCGAGCCGCCAAGGGACATGTAATCACACCGTGCTAAGGTATACTGTGCCAGGAAGGTGCTCAACGGGAAATCCTAGGCGATGGAGGAACTTGCACAGTCGCTGACTCCGTGAACTTGACGTTTTCAAGTGTTGGCCATTTGGGAGGTGCCCTTTGGTGATCTTTTATTAAAGGGCTGATGTGGTTCCTAACCTGTTGTGCGAGAAATTACAAGTTCCGATAGCTTTTCAAACCTGATAGCTTTTCAAAAATACATTTTTTTTTGGTTTGTAAGTTTGGGTCTTGGGAATCTAGCATGCTGGATCAGCTGAGTTTACCCAAAAAGGAATAGCCGATCAGGGTGCTATATATATTTCCCCAAACCTCCACGGTTTACTGGTGTATAATGCCCTTTTCATCAGAGTCTACCACGACTGCATCTTTGCCCGAGCCAAGTAAAATCAGTGTAACTCTCTTTGGTATTCTCCATGTTATCATATTGTACCCATATTCATACTATTCAGTGGGGTGCTTACAGGTAACAGCTGTCGGCCAATATGTCAATGTGACATCCTGTGCTATACTCTTGCTTGGGAGAAGTACCAGTTTCTCGAAATTATCAGATGTTCATCTCTTCAATGCACCTTGACCCCGGAAGAAAAGACAACATACTGTCGTAGGCAAAGTGCTTGACGTCAGGGTAATGTTGGAAGGCAATGCTTGAATCATATGGAGGTTTCCTAGGATGGGGACACCCCAAATCATCCAGTCATCAGAGCATTTTAGTATTGAAACCCATTGTTTTGAGGATCCCCCATTTAAGAAACCCCCATATGCTTGATAGATGCACGACCCTCGGCCCCACTTGGCTTTCCGGGCGCTTCCCGTTCCGAACTCATCCAAAGCTTTCAGCAGCTCAGCCTCAGCAGGAAGAAGAATAGAAACGATAAATTGGGATTCAAATTGCCAACAACAAAATGGATCTGGATTTAACCGGAAAAAATATGAAAAAAATGGGAAGAACCTGGCGAAACAACCATCGGACCTTGAAAGAAATAATGTTTACCCTCTGGTGAACTAACATAGCAATTGAAAATGGCCATAGAAATAGTGGATTTTCCCATTGAAAATGGGTGGATTTTCCATTGCTATGTAAACGTTCACCAGAGGGTAATATGCTTTGATTCGCTATGGCGAATAGACCAAACATGGTGGTTGAACTCGCTGCCAGGATTGGTTTGATGGCTTTCCCTGATGAATCCCATCTTACCACACACCCCATTAAGACATCGACCCAAGTGGCATGGTAAAACTCCAGTAGCTCTCCTTCCATTGGCAAAAGATTCATCTTCAGGTCAGGGAATAAGAAGTTGGCCAGATCCACCTCAAGGTGCAGCATGGCGCAAACGGCTTGCTGGCACCATGTGGTTTAGATGAATTTCTCATCATGGATGACTCCCGAGAAAAATAGACACATTCCAAGATCAACTGATCAACCCAAAAATATATTGGAAACAACATGTGACCGGTGAAACTGTTTGTCACACAATGTCGGCAACTAAGTTGCAGCCATGTTGAATCTCTCTCCACCTCTCCCTCGGTCTGTCTGCACCTTCCCTTTTGCAAAAAAACACATTACTATTGTTGCCCATACCCGTAACTCCAAAACGATTAAGAGATCATGGTGTTCAATGGTTCGACTTTGATTGGCCACCAAAAAAAACTAGCATGAACACCGCACAACCGAGGACTTTGGCAGGCTTTGCGTTGTATACCGTATACATAGTTTAAGAAATACGAACGTAACCAGTTAGGCCTTGCTTCTTGGTTAGTCTTATCTTCCTTTTTGTTGGGGTACGAACCTCCCCGTTCTTGGAAATTACACTAACGTAAAACAAGGTAAACACGGTAAAACAACGAAACTGTCAGCCCTTCGACTAGGGCCAGGCCACGGCCACCAAGCCCGGCCCAGCAAATTCAAAGTCCACCACGGCAGCCTCCACCACACCCTGAGCATCGCAAAGCAGCGGGGTGGAACGAAAGTTGCTGGTTTTTTGGGTCACCAAAAACATGAACTATCTAAGTTTTTTGAGCTCATCTAATGTCTATCTACAGTAAGTTTAAGTTCATCTTATGTCTTAGATCTTCCATAATGCATAGTTTGAGGAGCAATTCGTGCACCATGACATGAATGACAAATGGTTCTACCAAGCTCAGGGGGGCGAAGTATTGGCCTGCTATCCGCTGTCACCATTTTATTAGTTTTCAGAGCTGCACCTCTGGTCGGTCATCCTCGGCGTATTTTGGACAGGGATCGTCTGAAAACTTGCATGTCCATGGCAGGCGTCCGAAGAGCACACAGATCAGTGCAGGTCCAAGCATGCGAAGCTTTGCTATCCGAGCTGGACCAATGAGCATTAGCAACAGAATTAAGGGCATAAGGCAAAAGGGCTGGTCAAAGCATCTGTCACAACCTACATCTGGACATCAGATGATGGCTGCAATAGACTCATTTTCTCGAGATAAAACCCAACTTGCCAACTGATTGGTTGTTAAATGAAGCGATACTCCAGGATAGGTCACTGCTCAAATCCCTATCGCGCCTCGACGTCCCGCAGGAACAAGTTCGCAGTCTTGAAATCGCCGTGAAGCCTATTGCCGCGGCACGACCAGAGCTGAGTGTCGCAGCGGATCCTCTCCGTAAGTGAAGTGCTGACCAGCCTATGGCAATTTACATCAGTAGAAATTGACCCAAGTTGTCACCATGGCACACATGGACAATGCATGGCAATGCCAAGTAAACTTACCATAGTCATCTCAACAGATTCCTAGATAATTACAGAGATGCCATTGGAAAATCAACTGGAAATGGACAATCCCGCATCCCCCAAAGACGAGGCTGACCATAGGTCTGTGATGGTCTGTGGATACGCCATGGTAAACGTCCCTGACCATCCCTGATTCCTTGGGCTAATCATCTAATCCCTTCTTCCGAATATGAAACGCTCTTTTAGAACCAGCCTGTACTTTGTATGGCACTCTCTTAGAACCATCATGTATTTAGCTGGTTGGTGGTTTCAATACCCCTATGAAAAATATGAGTTCGTCAGTTGGGATGATGAAATTCCCAATATGATGGGAAAAATGACATTCATATTCCAAACCACCAACCAGTTATGTATTTTATGTATTTTTGTATTGCAGGGATGGGATTGCCAAACACTCTGGTTCCGTCGTCCATTTTCGCCCAGTCGCAAGGTCCGATGTCTCACAAAGCCCTTGGTCCGTCGCAACCTGAGAGGAACCAGGTCTTCTCAAGCCAGGTCACGGGGTGCCAAATGTTGAACACATCTGGAAGTAAGGCTACTTGGTAGACCATGCATCATTTTACATTCTTTTTGGGTGGTATAAACTTTAAAACCATCAAACATGGATGGTTTGTTATTGTATTACTATAACATATTAAAATGATTATCGTCTGGTAGTCAAACATGGCTAGCTGGAAAATCCACCATTTATAGATTATTTTCCCATTGAAACCCAATTTCCTATTGCCAGCCATGATTACCGAAGGGTAGGATGAATAGAAATCCAAAGACTTTCAGACCACCATCTGGTTTGAAACAAGAATCCCAACAAAAAATTCTGGGCTTGGTCCATATACTTGTGCTTGGGTTCCATCCAAAGTCATCACCACGGGTCTATTTTTGGGCAAACCTCCCAACTTTTCTCAACAAATATGATCCATTTGTGGTGCAACACTGCTTCCATAAGAGGCTATTTAAGTGTGATTATCGAATATAGATGTTCTCCTCGAAGACTCGAAGACTCTACTGTTAACGCTTGAATGTGGTTTCACCTCATCCTTGAGGATCATCAGCCAGAGATTTTTCTCTGTTCTCCCCCAATGGAGAGTAGAATAGGTTATCCCATGTGTATCCATGGCTAAATCGATGATAATCCATGGGTTCTCCATTATCTTCGAAAATGGTGTTTCAATGATCATCAATATGTTTTTTTAGCATATTTTTATAATGATCATATAGATAGCTTGTTGTTTCCTGTTTTTAGTATATGTTTTATGTTATTTTAGTATTGTTTCAGTAATCCCCATGTGGTTAGACCATGCATTTTCCTAAGGACACCGCCAGGACCGCGGTGCCAAGCTACACCGCATCCAGCGGCCGCGCGGCAGCTGCCAAGCGGGGCCTGAGATGCTGATGGCCAACAAAAAGACAGCAGTTCTGGTGAACATCAAAGAGCCCAGGAAGCAATGGGAATTATATAGGGACATATATGGGGAAATATATATGGGGAAACATATATGGGGAAATATATAGGGGGGAAATCCTGTTAAAATACTCATATATTACTTACTTGTGCTGCACGTAGGGCAATAAAGTATAGGACATAATGGGTATGTATTGGGGGAATGGGATGATTGTGAATAACTGTTAATAGTCAAGTAATAGTCATGGATTGGGTCATTCCTCCATTCCCTACGTTTAGCACCAGTAAGATTACAAGGTGTACTATGTCTACTGGGATATATCCAGCAAACATGGTGATATAGCTGGGATATAATGGGGTACAGAACAAACCAAAGAAACGACTGCAAACATGGTTGAACAAGTCTTTAATGTGGCCCCCCCAAGTTCTAAGTTGGTTTGTAAATCCATCTAAATAAAACTAGCTCTATCAATGTATGAATAACCTATAATTGCCACACGGCCTAGTCAAATTAGTTATAAACAAAGCTCCATATTACCCAAGTAATTGGCCCAGCAATTTCCAACACACGACCTGGGCATATCATTCGGAACAATTCCAATGTAAAGCCCTTGGGCCCAGAACTGCCGAAGCTTCACAAAAAATCATACTGCGTGTAGATATCAACTGATAGCTGATTGGACATACCACATTTATTTTAGTATATGTCAGCGTACTATATCGTACTATAGTATACTGATTTTATGCAAGATTTAAAGACGCCGGTTTTGCTGAAAAATGCTTCGTTGTTCTGCCCTTGGGGAGTCCCCTCAAACGATCCAGTTTGGGGGGTCAATGATTATAAGAAAATATGAGAAAGATAGACCGCATCGAATTAATCTACTTTTGAGATTGCATCCCAAGTCAGGCATGTGGATTTGCTGCAGCAAAATCAATTCCCTGCTGCTGGGATTTTCGCCAAAGTTTGCAGACAAATTCAGGGTATTGAACGATATTGAGGTATTGACCAGTAAACGTCAGTTCAAAGCTGGTCAGCATTCAACGCTTGCAAAATCATCACGGGATTCACAGCATCACAGTGCCCTTGTGGCATCTTGATTGCGGTGAACTTGGAAAATGTACCCGCTGTGAACAAAATTGGACCAAAATCTGCACCTTTGGTGCAAGAAGCACCGTGCAAACGCAGAAATCCAGGCCCTGCTGAGTTTCAACGCCATTCGGCCAATTGGGCCAGTGCGCAAAACAACGACGACGACGACGACAACGACAACAACAACAACAACAACAAAAACAACAACAACAGAAAATTTACCCCCTGGTAAACCAACATAGCTATGGAACATCATCATGTTTAATGGGTAAAGCAACTAACTATAAATGGGCCATTTTCAATAGCTATGTTAAATTACCACAGGGTATAACCTCCAGTAGCTGGCCAGAGGTTAAGGAAATCAAAAAGTGACAAGATGTTTTTTGGGAATATTCATTGGATTCCATCCACAACCGCTATTGTTTCAACATGATTCCAATAATTCATGTTCATTATTATTATCGAACTTCGGTAATTTATGATCCTTATGTAATATCATCGGTACTCTTTATTATGATGATTAATTTGGATTGAGAAAATATCTTATGTAATATCTTGGCATGAGGATATCTAGAACTCACAATAATAAGATCAGAGGTGCTAAGGGGTTTACTCAAGATGATTTTATGATTGAGAAAATAAACGGCTGATTGTTCCTTAGGAATTCCATAGGGCTATATTATAGGCTATAGTTATAAGAATAACTTGTTAATATCAGGAAAATGAACCGTTCATTTTCTCTACATAGCCCATTAGGGTAAATTAATGAATGCCCTGGCAAATTCATGAATAAATTAATGAGCACAACCAATTGTGGAATCACCCCATAAATTTTAAACCTATTATAGTATAATTGAAAAATAAGTATGGGAAATAATATAACCCCCGACTGCCACCGCCGCTGGCTGCCGCTGCTGTGGCGCCCGGCGGCTTCTGGAGCCACCGCCGGGGCCTCAGCGGTTGCAGCGATCCTCCTCCTTCTCCTCCTTCTCCTCCTTGTCCTCCTCCTCCTTCTTCTCCTTCTCCTCCTTCTCCTCCTTCTCCTCCTTCTCCTCCTTCACCTCCTCCTCCTCATCATCATCATCGTCATCATCATCAACGTCATCATTATCATCATCATCACCATCGTCATCACCATCATCATCATCATCACCATCATCAACACCATCATCATCACCATCATCAGGATCATCATCCCCCTCATCATCATCCCCCTCATCATCATCATCATCACCACCATCATCATCAACATCATCATCATCATCCATCATCATCACCATCACCATCACCATCATCATCACCATCATCATCACCATCCTCATCATTATCCTTTTCCTCCTCCTCCTCATCATCATCATCATCAGTTTCCCCTTCATCTTGCCCTGGCTAGAAGAGTCCCTTAGGCCAAGCCAATGGCATATCTTTTTGTTAGATTTATTTCTATTTGGTTTCGATGGATTGGATGACTAGCAATTTTAATTGAATTTACGTAATCTCAAATTAGTCAACTACTATGGCCAGACCTTAGTGCCTTGCGATGCCTTTGTAGGGATTGTCATTGTGACACCCTGGGCTCCGATACTGTTATGCTCGATCAATGGGAATCAAACTGACAATTTGTTTGGCCCAGTAAAGAATCCTGGTCCTAATTGAATGGAGTGGCATTAGACACTTGGTTCGACTACATGACTTTGGGGGCTTGCTGATAGAAAACCGCGTTGGGATTGGGGGTTGGAATTATTCAACCAACTTACCTGGCACCCATGAAATCCCTAATCACAATGGTTGAATACTTTTAGACTTGTCTCTTGCCAGATAAACCATTGCTTTTTTACTGCCCCCAATGGGCCTCCAGTCAGGATAACCCCATTTTGGACACCCCATAATCAGTGTAATTTGAATATAGCATGGGTTAAACAGCTCCTCAATTAAAATATTCCCATAACAATATATTCCAAGTATCACACCACGGGTGAGCCCATGGGATTCCACACATCATTGCCTGCTCTCTGGACCTGCTCGCTGGGTTGAATGGATTGGGAATTGAACAGGATTTCTTCAGGGTCCCCTAGATATGAATTGAATTCAAATCCCACGAGTTATGGTTATAATTGGGGTGGGATTTGGATCAGCAGTAGCCTCTGCCATACCTCTGCCAGGACCGCACAGAAATACACAAAAATTAAAAAACCAGGAAAGTCTGACAGGCGCTGATAAGGAAATCAGTGCATAACGGATAGGGTCTGGCAGGCCCTATCCCCTGTGCGTTCGGTAGCGCTCTGGAGTGCACCCAGCCTATCACCACCATTGTACGAACCATGGATTTTGGAGTGCATAGGCTCTATACGTAATTTTTGCCCTATGATGTTAAGGAAGTGCAGGAGAGGCTGGGCACTCTCGGTAGCGCTCTGGAGTGCACAGGGGATAGGGCCTGCCAGACCCTATCCGTCATGCACTGATTTCCTTATCAGCGCCTGTCGGACTTTCCTGGTTTTTTAATTTTTGTGTATTTCTGTGCGGTCCTGGCAGAGGTATGGCAGAGGCTACTGCTGATCCAAATCCCACCCCAATTGCAACCATAACTTGTGGGATTTGAATTCAATTCATATCTAGGGGACCCTGAAGAAATCCTGTTCAATTCCCAATCCATTCAACCCAGCGAGCAGGTCCAGAGAGCAGGCAATGATGTGTGGAATCCCATGGGCTCACCCGTGGTGTGATACTTGGAATATATTGTTATGGGAATATTTCAATTGAGGAGCTGTTTAACCCATGCTATATTCAAATTACACTGATTATGGGGTGTCCAAAATGGGGTTATCCTGACTGGAGGCCCATTGGCGGCAGTAAAAAAGCAATGGTTTATCGGGCAAGAGGCAAGTCTAAAGTATTCAACCATTGTGATTAGGGATTTCATGGGTGCCAGGTAAGTTGGTTGAATAATCCCAACCCCAATCCCAAGGCAGTTTTCTATCAGCAAGCCCCCACATGTGGTCGAACCAAGTGTCCAATGCCACTCCAATAAATTAGCACCAGGACTCTTTACTGGGCCAAAAAATTGTCAGGTGCCTTTAAGCTCCATTTCCTCGCCATCTGATTCCCATTGATCGAGCATAACAGTATCGGAGCCCAGGGTGTCACAATGACAATCCCCACAAAGGCATCGCAAGGCACTAAGGTCTGGCCATAGTAGTTGACTAATTTGAGATTACGTAAATTCAATTAAAATTGCTAGTCATCCAATCCATCGAAACCAAATAGAAATAAATCTATCAAAAAGATATGCCATTGGCTTGGCCTAAGGGACTCTTCTAGCCAGGGCAAGATGAAGGGGAAACTGATGATGATGAGGAGGAGGCAGATGATGATGGTGATGATCATGATGATGATGGTGATGGTGATGATGACGATGACGGTGATGATCATGATGGTGATGATGGTCATGATGATGGTGATGATGATGATGATGGTGATGATGATGAGGAGGATGATGATGAGGATGCTGATGATGATGGTGATGATGATGGTGATGGTCATCATGATGATGATGATGGTGGTCATGATGATGATGATGATGATGATGATGACTATGATGATGATGCTGATGATGGTGATGATGATGACTATGATGATGATGCTGATGATAATGGTGATGATGATGATCATGATGATGATGATGATGGTGATGGCGATGGTGATGATGATGATAATGATGACGTTGATGATGATGACGATGATGATGATGAGGAGGAGGAGGTGAAGGAGGAGGATCGCTGCAACCGCTGAGGCCCCGGCGGTGGCTCCAGAAGCCGCCGGGTGCCACAGCAGCGGCAGCCAGCGGCGGTGGCAGTCGGGGGTTATATTATTTCCCATACTTATTTTTCAATTATACTATAATAGGTTTAAAATTTATGGGGTGATTCCACAATTGGTTGTGCTCATTAATTTATTAATGAATTTGCCAGGGCATTCATTAATTTACCCTAATGGGCTATGTAGAGACAATGAACGGTTCATTTTCCTGATATTAAAACGTTATTCTTATAAAATTATAGCCTATAATATAGCCCTATGGAATTGCTAAGGGAAAATGAACCGTTTATTTTCCCATTCATAAAATCATCTTGAGTAAACTCATTAGGACCTCTGATCCTATTATTCTGAATTCTAAATGTCCACATGCCAAGATATTACAAAAGATATTTTCTCAATCCAGATTAATCACCAAGACAAAGAGTACCGATGATATTACATAAGGATAAAATAAAGGTTACCGATTTCATGCCTATGTTTTTTTTCAAATAATGACATTGCACTTTTTGCCTTCACTAACCTCACCCCAGGTAGCCGTTTATTTATTACCTAACTCCACAAAAGCAGTGCATGACATCACTGGACCATCACGGGGTGAAGTGGAACTCAGCAGCACTACAGTTCAGACACTGAAAACTTGGGCGGCTCAGCCCGCGGAAAGCGATCCTTAGCCGTAGCCACCAAGGACCAGATATTCCAGGGCTGCTTCATTCCAACCCACCAAGCCAATATCCCACTTATATAATCTTATATATATATATGTGGTGGGTGGACACCCAAACATCTACCTGGATGGGTGTTCTCGGGGTTCCCTCAACCATTGATGGTCATGTCCGTGATGTCTCCATTTTTACCCGGGCGTCACTGATCAAGGCTGCATGATTCCGGGCGCCTTCATAGGGCAACCTGCGGACCCAATGGAATGAATTGAACAGCGGGTAATATTCGGCGCATTTTGTATCATCTTGTTAGTAACATGCAGTATGTCAGTTGGATATCTGCAAGCTTGATTGGTTTCATCCCCACTTCTGGTGGGTAAAACCATTGTATTTTGGCGTACCTGGCGTACCCGACTTTGACCCATACCATGACATACCCGTCTTGCATCAGACCACTGTGTTTAAGTTGTGTTTCCTTTCAAGCTGCTTTCCCGGATTGTGTTTAATCTGCTCCAACCAATTGTTATAGATGGGATGGACACAGAAAACATCAGAAAACAAGTTGAAACCTTGGGTCCCTGTGTGAAAAAAACACATCTGTCCGGTCTTGATTGGGTCAAGCCTCCAGCACCCCCTTGGCATTTCAGATTCCAGAACTCCGATCTTCATAGTTATGGGATGTTATGATGTGTTAAAACCCTAGTGGTTACCATCAAAATAGCTGGTCAATGGATGTTCATATCCCCAAAATACGATCTGATATGATAGGTTTTGACTCATCCCCATATCTTCATGGCATTTCTTGGTGCTCCCTGACACTTGGCGATAACGGGCCGCGCCTGCCATGTGCGAAGCGCCAGTTGTCAATGACGATTACCTGACAGTGGTAGATCCGTCAGATCTACTGTTGTCTGCAACCCCAATTTAAGTGGTGGTTAAGTACTTCTTATATATATATATATATCATGTTATATATGTTATATATATATATGATAAGTGGTGGTTAAGTACTTTACCAATTATATTATCAAAAAAAATATCTACTTGGAACACAATTTGTCTAATCTACTACATGGTAACCCTTTGCTGTGTGTTTTCTTGTTTAAAGCATTTGTGAATATGAACATCCTAGGTTTTAATAGTGTTGATACATTTCAAGTACTACTTACAACCCACCATGTTGCCACCGAGGAGGTGGCCGAGCCGTGTCTGTCTGCTGATTTTGCATGGTTTATCTTCGAATTTCGGACACCGCTCAATCGTAAACTAAATTACCCTCTGGTAATTTAACGTAGCTATTGAAAATGACCATTAATAGTGGATTTTCCCATTAAAAATGGTGATTTTCAATAGCTATGTTAAATTACCAGAGGGTAACTTTTTTTACGGATCTGAATCGCCACAAGTTCGGGGATTCATGATTTTGAGGCATGACCAAACATCCGTATCTCTGCGTTGAAAGCTTTGGCTGTGCTGCTCCGGCTTGCCATTACAACACATCTGAGGTGGTTCATTTTGACTATCAATGTACTCATGTGCCGTATAGACATGTCCCCCCTACCTGGATTTGGATACCAATTCGTAAATGGCATGTAACAATAGGTTATACAAACGATAAACTCGATATTGCATACAATCTCACTATAATATTATATATAAAATGTGATGCATAATACGACATTTCATTTTCATTCCACTCGGTCAGAGTCTCTGTGACGCCTGCTTGCACGACACGTTCCCAAAAGCCGCTTTGGCGGAACATGTGGAAAAAAGGGATGGGGTGACACACCGAAAATGGCTCAACAGTCTTCGCTTCACCAGAAATCGAACCTGGTGGCTAGTGACTGGAGCAATGGAATTAGATGCCGTTGACAGCACGTCCCCAATAATCTGCTCCCATGACGGCACCCTTGTTGTCCATGCTGTAGGGATCAAAAGGTTGAGCCAACGCTTGCAGGGCTTCGCGCAACCCCTCAGGTTCAGGCTCCTCATGATCACATGTGATGGTCTCTGCAAAATGAAGATGCGCTTCCACCACAGCCTTACACAGCAAGGGAGGGTAGGCTTTCGCCTTCGCGGTCTTCCACTGCTTGCTGTCTTTTTCTCTCCCTCCCAATCTGTCAGTTGGCCTCCAGTTGGGCTGGTAGTGATCGAACAGCAGCGTGGCAAACTTTTCCAATCTGCCTGTAAGCATCGAAGTAGGCTTCGGAAAGGGCTGGCCCAAAGGGCCCTGAAGGAAATCCACCCTCCGTACTTCCGCACACAACAAAAGTTGTTGGATAAAAGCAGAGTCCCAGATGGACCACTTGCCATCTTTTCCACCCTGGCCTTTGGGGTGCTCCAGTGAAAAGCTGCCACCATGTAAAAACACCAGTAGCAGCAAGTAGATCGCTTGAAGCATGAGGATGGTACCAATGAAGACCTGTTCGACCTCCTTGATGGTGAGCTCATCTTTTCCCCAAGGTTCTGAAGTGGTCCGCAATGGCCTTGGCCCACCTCCTTCAACTTCAATCCAACGGGCAAAGGTATAAGTCTCGCAGGGGGGACCTGCGTGAGCACCTGCAACTTTCCTTGCTCGGATGAGTTGGAGCCAAAGTGTATCCCGCAGGATATTGCCGTGCCAAGGATCCACGGCTAAATCCACGCAGATCGGTATGATGTTGCTTTTCCAAGACAACTGCTGAGCAATGTCGGCAAACCGACGATGACCGCTAAAAAGCACCAAAAAATATCTGGTTCCGCAAGATAGCGGTCTTGGCACCCATGAAAAGTCTGGCGACCAACGTCCCACATCCTTTAACACGGTATTTTCCAACATTGCAATATCTCTGTTGACATTGAACATGTGCATCTCAGTGGCCCTTCGGGAAGTCTTCATTCGTCCACCTCTTCCTGGCGGCAACATCCCAAATTGGCTCCACTGCTTCAATTCGCTTTCTGTCACTTGTTCTGAGCTTTCCACCGCATCATCCCTGCACTGCAAACGGTCCATGAGCTCCATTTCGGTGCAAGGCCGCCACATTTTGTCTGCTTCAACATCCGCAAACCCTTTCTGATGCATGGCCACTCCTTTCTTTCGATCTTCATTGTCTTTTTCTTCTGCTTCTTCCACAGTCATTGGGATGTATCGTCTGCAATGCCAAACCCAGCACTCCGTATTGCCCACATGCAAATGTCGGAGCAGGCGGGAGCGTGTGTGGTACCATCTTCCACAGGCACGACAGCAGCTGTCAATTGCAAACCTGCGCATTGCAATTCTCAGACCATGACGTTTTTGCTGGTGCACAGCCAATGCTGCTGGAGTATCAAACACATCATCACAAACCTCGCAGCGATGTGCCTCTTCTTCACCCAATTCAGCATTGGGTGCATCAAATGTCCAGCCCATATCGGACAAAATTTCATTCTGTCTGATTGAATGGTCTTTGACAGCGCACAATGCTCTGATTTTGTAAAGATGTGCCTTTTGAACCTTCTTTAGGTACTGCTGCAACTTCTTGGCATGAGGTGCAAACAGATCCCATGTAGCCACATCTTGCAGCTCATCCAGCTCCTCCGGCACCACAAAGTTGCCCACCTGGCTACGCATCCATTTGATGCTTTTCATAGCACCATACAACCATGAGCATTGGTCGTCCACTTCATGATTTTCCAGGATGCCATTGATCATGAACCGATCCTGCACTCCCATGACATGAAAAAGCAACTTCAATCTCTGAATGTACAGCAGCTCCATTGGCATGGGTAAACCAGCCTCACTAGCTAGCTTGTAAAACTGAGTATGAGGCACTTGTCCATCTTCCTGTCTCGGTTGAATCATTTGGTATGTTCGAAAAACTCCTGCTTGCCATGCCGCAAACTCTGACTGGGTCAAATTGAACCAGGTCCCTGAATGCAAAGTGAGCACGGAAACCCCCATGCTCTGCAAAATGAGGCGTTTCTTTTCAATTGCTAACACAGGACTCTTCAAGAGTTTGCGCAAGGGTTTCAACTTCGCCATGGTGGCAGCAGCTCTGATACGGATCTCCTGGAACTTGCTGCCTGATTTGGTGATGAAACCTCCCAGATGTTTGTAATGCGTCACAATGGGCACTTGGACAGCCCCTTGGTGCTCAGTAAGAATGGTCAAATGATCACCTTGCTTGCCCTCAAAACTTTGCCGAGCCTTGTGCGCTCCTTTGCCATGAAAAGTGATCATGGCTGCACATATATATATATAACTATATCCATTCACTCATTGGGATGCACATCCAAGTAGCAACTTTTCGAAGTCCTTATTGCATGAACACATCACCAACAAACCTGCCCTCTGGCTCACATCAGCAGCAAATATTCGGAATTCCTACAAATACGGGTTCTTCATTTCTTCCATTACCTGGCTATCATGTTTTTTAGATAAACCTAGGAACCTACAAACTGACTTGAATCATTTTCAACTTGACTGTTCAAATTGAAAGTCATATTCCAAAAATTTTCCCCACATGTTTTGGCCCCTTGGTGCCTGTCCACTCCGCAGCAGTACTTCAACCTGCCGAGCTCGAGAGCCCAGTAATGATCTGAAGACAGGGCAATTTTCACCCAGGATTCAGACACACTATCGTAAACCCAGCCGTTTGAAAATATCACATTGTTGGATATGTGTAAATAACATATCACACGTATAACAATCACACTACATCCAAGAATATTATATCATATGATTCATACACGCTGTTCAATTGTTGTCATTCTTGGACTTCCCAATCAATCCAATCACACGTATATGTGTAAATTGAACATTGCATATTCATCTGCTTATTAGTGTGTACAGAATCATAATATATAATATTCATTATAACAAAAATAATGATGCAAATAACACATATGATATTATCATGCAGTATGTACATACATATAATATGTATGCACATAAAGATCTGTAATATAATACCTATAAATATATATATATATACACAACAATAATAATAATAAATAATAATAATAATAAATAATAATAATAATAAATATATATATATAGATATTTAATAAAGAAAAAATGGACCAAAACTTCCAGCCTCCAGGCTCTGCGTTGTGGCCTCTTGCAGCCGTTGCAGTTCCTCCTGGACCAACTCGCTGCCGTCGCCCCAGGTGGAGTGAAGCGCCGCGGTGGCCGCGCTGCTGTCAGCGGCGGCCGCGTAGTTGCGGGAGCGGTGGTTGTCCTTGGGGAGGTCAGAAAGGATGGAAAATCCATGGAAGAATTGCTGGAAGATTTTTTTTGGTGTAGGTATACATGGAATGATCAGTATATAACCAATAGTTGCTCCAATAATTATAAGCTAATTCATGGAATATGGTTAGCTTTTAGGCTCATATCATTTATCAAGTAGTAGGATGGAACATGATAGTTAAATATAAATGGAACATGTTATATCATTTTATGTTTTGATGGTCGATATAATTTCGGCAATCATGATAATCATGGAAAGAAATGGAATTAGGAATAATTAGGATCGTATTTGCAAAAATCATCCAAACTGAGTATTATTGTCATCTACCCAGTTTCCGAGGCGGTCGAGCTTGACCATGCTTGACCCAATGCCACATGGGTTTGCTGGAAAAACCATTTTCGACAGCAATTTGGATCTCCAAATGGCGTGTTTTTTTCGAAAGCATTTTTCTGAGACGTGTGGTTGGTATTTGATGGTATTTGTGTACCCCAAATATCACATGATATATTATATGATATTGACTTGACAAATTACTCGGATAAACCACCTAGTTCTTCCGGCAAGGACTTGGGCGCCAACAAGGTTGAATCAGCCCCAAGTAGCATGCATTCCATGTCTGAAAATTGTATCAGTCATCCAGAAAATTGAAACAAAACAGTTGGAAGACGTTGCAGGTTTCCACACATATCCCCGAACATGTATAATCCAGTATGATTCATTCGACTAGGTCAATCATACCAAATAGGGATGGACTAAGCATGACAAGTAATTATACTACATTGAATATCCCTGACCAGCAGAGAACAATTAGACACTAGAAACTTGCACAGTGTACACCCCCGTTGAGTTCAACGTGGATCTCGGAAAATGGAGCCCCGTTGCTGATTTTCCCCGTGCAAATTGCAGTATATAGTGGAACCCAAACACCAATGCAAGCAAGCATCCAGAATAGATTGCAACACCGCCCTGTCACAGTTTTTTTGAAAGTGGGAAGCTCCTAAATCCCATCACACCAAACACAAGGGGGAATGGGTGGACAAAGAGGTAAAGTACCAAATTCCTTCCTTGTGGCTATCATTACCTACAATGGATTGGGGCAACCTTTGTTCTTGGTGGCTTCTGCCATTGGCAAAAGAAATTGGCTCAAACTGATTAACTCTCCCAGCCAAAAAAAGCATTGTTTCAGGAATTTCAGGTCGTTGAAATATGTGAACACATATGGGTCAGTCGTTGGTTGGTACTAAAGGTTTCACTATAACTCTGGGGAGTCACATAATGGATCACTTCATCCAAAGCATATCCCATTGGATCAATGACAAACGCAGGACAGAACATCTAAAATTGAGTTTGTCTGAAAATCGGGTACCCCAAAAAATACGTCCCCTTAAAATTGCCCAAAATGGTGTTAATTCATTTTAATACCACATTTTCAAGCAAACCCCAAATAGAGGTGTCCATCCAGTCATGGGGGTAGCCCCAAATCATCCAAGTCATTAGAACATGACTTAGTATTAAAACAAGCGTGGTGACGACTGGGGGTCCCAGATGGTCCCAGTTTCCAGCCAAAACCAAGGCTTCCATGGCACCTTGAGACTTCCGTTGAGCTGTTCACGAAGGTGACAGCTGGCACCGTCCAATTCCTAGGCCCCGATGCGCGGAGCCGCTGTGTAGCCACCGGCTAAAGGGGGTTAAAATCCATCCATCCGTATCCATCCATAGAGTCTGATGGGTAGATTCCTGGCGGCCATCCCTCACATCTGGCCATCAAATTTGTCTGGTGTCGTGAACCATGGCAAGCTTGGAAATGTTCGAACTAATGGAAGTTTCTGGGAAAATCATTGAACAACATGATGGATGTTCCAGCTAGCCATGCCTGACTACTGGAGTAACTCTTGTAACTGTTGGATCTGTTGGCAAGTTTCATGACCACCAATCCTTGCTCATATTCTCGAAGTTCCGCTCCTGGCTGTTGAGTGCTGCGCCCAATCGCAATTTGGCATTAAAACCAGGTCTGGGGACAGCTATGGGCGGCAATTTGAGACGGCAATTGCATGGCGACTCGCAGATCCCTGGAAATCGCAACCCCTGCACGTTGGCAAATTGCACATGGGGTCACAATCATATGACATATCATTGCGCAGTTTCAACTGAAAATCTGCTCGTCGTCAGAAATCAGGTTGAACCACCTAAAACATATGAAACGACCAAGCAGAACACATTTTGCCAATGTTTGCAACAGCTTTTCTGCTTTTGCTTGGCATTTGCTGTATGTTGTGACCTCTGCCAGCTCCAACAAATGAGGACATATTTTCTTGAGTCCTCGATATATATATATATTTCTACACAAGGGCAAAGTGGTTTCTATGCCAATCATATCATCCTACGAATTCCTACGAAGATCAAAACACCCAAACAATGGATACACGTGCGCCCCAAAAAAATAAAGGCTTGATCTGATTCTCACCACCTCCGTAGGCCAGATTCTCGGAGGCTTTCCTCGGTTTCTCGGACACGGTGCCGGGCAAAAAAGGGGATGTAGCCAGAAGAACTGCAGCTGTACCCAACATGTTGCTATTTTGAAGCTCTGAAAATTGGGTACTCTGAGGGTAGTACGTCATACTCAATCTTTATCGATGTTTTTGATGGTGCCCACGCTTGGCGGACAAGAATGCGTAGCATTTTAAGGATCCATTTGGCCACGACATGAAACAAACCCATGCGGGATTTGTTAGGACTCAAAACTCAAATTGAAATAGAAGGAAATTCAACCTGTCAAGGATGATGACAATTTGAATTTCGAACCACAAACTTTCCCTCAGCGATAGCTGGGCCATGGCTCATGACTCCAGAAGAAATGAGTTATGATGAGATGACCCACGATGTTGCCAACAGCCAGACCATGAACCAACATGGAAAAGTTTAGCTGCGCCAAAGGATCTTCTTTGCAAGGAGCCAATCGTCCGTTTGAAAGCGATCTTGCCACATTCCAGTAGGATAGGACCAGTTCCTCGGTTGCCAAACGTCATAATTACTTTACTTCGTGTGATCCCCACCATGACATTTATACATTTTGTTACTGGCAAATCTTCTGGCATTCTATCTGACATATTTTCTGGCATTCGATCTGGCATTCTATCTGGCATATCTTCTGGCATTCTACCTGGCATATCTTCTGGCAGATGTTCTGGCATATCTTCTGGCATATGTTCTGGCATATCTTCTGGCATTCCATCTGGCATTCTATCCGGCATATCTTCTGGCATATTATCTGGCAAATCTTCTGGCATTCCATCTGGCATTCTATCTAGCATATCTTCTGGCATATTATCTGGCAAATCTGCTGGCATTCTATCTGGCAAACATTCTGGCACTTTATCTGGCATATCTTCTGGCATTCTAGCTGACATTCTATCTGGCATTCTATCTGGCATACCTTCTGGCATTCTATCTGCATATCTTCTAACATTCTATCTGGCATATCTTCTGGCACTCTATGTGGCATATCTTTTGGCGTGGATACTCGCGGTTGAGGTCCGGCAGGGAACACTGGGCGTGGATGGTCGTGGTTGAGGTCCGGCAGGAACACTGGGCAACTCGCGGTTGAGGTCCGGCAGGGAACACTGGGCGTGGATGGTCGTGGTTGAGGTCCGGCAGGGAACACTGGGCGTGGATGGTCGTGGTTGAGGTCCGGCAGGGAACACTGGGCGTGGATGGTCATGGTTGAGGTCCGGCAGGGCACACTGACGTGGATGGTCGTGGTTGAGGTCCGGCAGGGAACACTGAGCATGGATGGTCGTGGTTGGGGTCCGACAGAGAACACTGTGGATCGCGGGTCGCAGTTGGACGAGGAGGACGAGGAGGACGAGGAGGAGGACGACGAGGAGGAGGAGGAGGAGAGGAGGAGGAGATGAGGAGGAGATGAGGAAGAGAGGAGAGGAGCAGGCAACTGACATAAAATCTAGCAACCCTCACCTGGCAGGTGGGGAAAAAAAGTAATCAAACGTGGCTGTGACATCCCTGCACTAACTTCCAAATCAACTACAAATGGTAGATGTTATATTGCCATATTTGATTACCAGAAGGTACGCCAAATTTTCTGGCAGGCCCTCCCAATTTTTTTTGGAACTGCGAAACAAACACTCACTGCAGCCAAAATGGGTTCTCCTGGTTGCCAACAGACTCACACAATAGTACTGTCCATCATCTTCCTCAGGCCTGTACATTTAAAATGGAAGCTTGCAAGGTGATGCCCCCTAACTATTAGTTGGTTTATAAGCCCATCTAGTGTTATATAACTATCATAGTTACAATCGCCACACACCCAAACTTTTTCACGAACATTGCTGACAAAATTCAACTATATATACTAGTAAGATCTAGTAACTATGGATACATTATTTTTTCTGGTAATACCACCGTTTTAAATGCATAAATACCAACCAGATTACGAGCTGACAAAAACAGCTCCGTCAACGCCGAGGTGCGCGGAGCGCAGCTTGTCCCCCATCACCCGGTAGTAGGTGATGCCCAGGCGACTGAATTTCTCCATGAGCCTTGACTCATCTTGACTCCATGGAGATGGAGATAGGCTCACGAGAATTTCAGTATATCATGTTTGTATAGAAAGATCAATTGCTACAATCATTATTGCTATTAATTATATATCAATGTGTTGATTGCTATTAGTAGTACTAAACAAAACAACCTCTTCCTACATTACAGTGAACCTATTCAAGACTAATATTCCAGTATTTTTCAACCCTAATGGGTTTCTCATATGATATACTGGTTGGCTTATGGGGGTTCCATGTATTTGGTTGGTCCACAATCCCCACGAAATCAATACTGGATCATGCTGAGTCCATGTGAAATACTTTAAGCCTAGGATGTCAATCTCTAGTTTAGTTTCTAATAGGTTTCTATTCATGTTCATTCATTTTCCGTATTCCCCAAAGATAAAATAGTTTCCTTCGGCGTGTATATCCAACCCATTTTCTCCTCCATCACTTTCAAGAACTTTTGGGAATGGGCACCCGAATCTTCTGTGGATCATCATGGTTATGTCGTTTTAGTTTCATCATTACAATTCCCGGGATCTGCACCCAAGAATTCCCATGGTTTTACCGTAAAGGGACTTTCCCGAATGAATTCCGCAGGAATCCGCAGGATTCTGTTATCTATCCTCAGGTTTGTGATGTATTATATATATATTATATATATATAGCTTCCATGAGTATCTCATGATATCCACATTTTTCTCTTCCAACTTTTGGAATCGATCCACGACGGATGTTTGCCCAGTAACTTGCCCAGTCGACGACCCAGCTGCACGTTGTCGAAGAGTTGGAGCTCTCCGCCCTTCTCCTTGGCCCATGGGGAGACCGTGGGGCCCAAACGTGGCTGGCTGGGAAAAGCCGAACGAACTAAGGGCCATTGAAGATATTGAAATGGGAAAATCATGGAAAATCTGAACATCAACTCTAGCTAGGCATTGAAGTGGGAACATCTTCATGAAAAAATAAACTTTATCACTAGGCCATGGTTGATTACGAAAACAATTGTGAAGGGGATGATGTACTTGTGGCTGCACCCCCAGTAAGAAAGTTAGGTAATGACCATATATTATACAACAGCAATATGGACAGTAGAATATGTTCAATTAATTTCAAGTGTACATATATATATATATTAAACGACTATTTGCTAATTTGAATGCACGTCCAAGCAATAGGATAATATCGATGGGGATGATCTGTTGGACAATATTAAATGGGACATCATTGGTATAACATGGTAAAACTAACAAATAGGAAGATTAAGCAACACAAATTGACAATGTACGGATATTAAGCAACAAACATGAGGGGCTAATGTACGAAACCAACCACCATTTTCTGCTGAGGGTATGAATAGAAATCAACAATTCTCAGGAAAATGCCATGATGTAATCAACATGCATTGGGGTTCAGGCTTAAAGTAACCAAACATGGATATATGCCGAATGCTATTCCAAACTAGATCTCTGACAAAAATTAGAAAACATATGGAATGAATTACTGTAGAAGCCACTACCCCTTCATGGGACTTAATGATCATGGTTTAGCAACGTTGCTCACCGATGTAGTTTCAGTGAGTTCCCAGAAAAGAAACTGGAGCAGGAATGGATACCCTCTGGTAATTTAACAGTGATTAATTGTGATTAATGGAGGTTATAAATGGCTAATGGTGAATTAATTAATCGTGATTACCCTCTGGTAATGTGTGACATAGCTATTGAACATGGCCCATTGAGTTCGTTGATTTACCCATTAAACATGGTGATTTTCAATAGCTATGTTAAATTACCAGGAATGGATAGCGGGTTGGCATGTTTTTCATTCCCACAGAACTGCTTGTCAAACTCTTCTAAGATCGAATTTGCCACTAAACATGTCTGGAACAGCGTGGATACCAGATGTGAGAAACAATTGCCGCAGGGGCCAATAGCAACAAGAAATGACGCGACCACACCAAACGAGCAAAACCTCTTCTCAATTGGACCCTTCAAAGCGGAACCCATCAAAACCTATAACCTATTGAGTCACAGTACATTGCTACATAGCACGTGCGCCTTTCTGAGAAACACCTATTTTCTATCAACATATATACAAATATTATATATATATATAAATCCATCATCTGCCTGATGTCCGTTCCTGTGACACTGTGTCCACCTGGACCTATCTAATGTGCAACGGCCGAGCTTCGGCCGCCTTGATGCACATGAACGCTGCGAAACGAGGCACGTTAAACAGGTACGCCTGTTACCCCGCGCCACGCACGCTGCGTGGCGCCGTTGGGCGGTTACCAATAATTGTGTTATCCACAATATCATAGTAACTATATTAATTGGTAATACTATATATATAGTGCGGTTCGAGGGGGGGCCGCTGACCATATATATATATATATATATATATGTGGGTTATGTGGGTTAATAGATCTCCAATATTAATAATCAGTATATTGTGTATTAACAATCACATCGTAATTATGTTATCCACTGAGTGTGTACCCCTAGTGGTATTGTGTATTACATTCAGTGGATTCTATTACACAGCACGACTATGGTATACTATAGTATAAATTATACAGTATACAGTATAAAGATGTATAAAGATGTATAAAGCACAAAACCATCCCCAATTTGTGTTTATACGTTTTGATACCAGCCATATATAGTATTGCCTCTATACATGTAGATTACCTGATAGAGATTGAACTATGTTTATAATATTACCATCCACCCGCCCCATTTTTTAGCCGCGACCTGTTCGCTGTGCGGCGACACCGGAAGCTGCTTCGGCGCGCCAGCGGCCACGTCGTAGACGTTCTCAGAGACCAGGGGACGCGTCACGGAGCCTCAAAGTGAGTGAGTCCACAACCGACAGTTATTTTCTGGTGGTATATACAGTATATGTATAGATTATGAACGAACATATGTATGATTCTACTGTATTATTATATGGTATATAAACCTCTATATGGTTCATAGTCTGTAATCTTAAACAGGTATTGGATGATCCCAGTTGAGGTTAATATTGATAAGTATCTATATATCAATATGTATGTATATATATAATATATATGTATAATATTCAACACTCTTGTTTAGGATATTTAGTCACTGAGTAAGTCTGTTTACATAGAAAGTCGGTTTATTGTAATCCTGAAGTCAGTCAGTGTTTTTGTGGCTCAATCTGTCCAGTTATGTATCAATGTATCAATGTATACACACCGTGGTTGATTGAGTTTCAAATGACCCACATGCTGCCAGTCATCAGTTACAGTGTATACAATGACTTTGAGAAAAACATGTATATTGAGTTTGGGCTTGAATAAAAATCGTGGATGGGGGGATGCCCCAATTTACATTTGGGTGTGCATTGGGGTGGTGGTGTTGCGTCAGGTTTTGTAGTATTCATTTGCCTTGCGTAAACCCCAGGCGCTACAAACTGCCAAAACTAGCCTGAAAATAACATCACAACAAACATGTACCATATCTAAGATAGGCCCATACTACACAAAGGGAGGGGTCTTGAAAAGGGTCTCATATTGTGAAGACCTTAAGAGTCCGATTTTTTGGAAGGTGCATTTTGCAGTGACGATTTTGCTCCAAGATTCCTTACAATATATAGCCTGGCTGAGAGTTTTGTGGACCCAAATCTACAGAATGTGTTGAAGCTGAAACTGTCCAAACATTGTTTTTTCCCTCCCAAATCCCACGGAGCTCCTGCGGACTCCGAATCTAAAAAGTGCACAGCTTGTTGTAAGATGTGTTTTGGACCTGCAATGATGTTTTTACCCCTCTTTTCTACTTCTAAGTCTGTTGAGGACAAAAACTGCTCACTGAATTAATTGAATCATTTGTGATTTAGGCCCAGACAGCTAGCTAGTGTAGTTGTACAACCTCATCATGATTGGTTGTATCACCATGATATCACAGCAATCAGACCCTAGGGCCCCAAGCATCAGCAGATTGTTTGCTGGAAACCCCACTGATTTCCAAAACAGTAAAAAACAAATCCAACCAAACATACCAAGACTCTGACTGAGGTAGCCCTGCACTTTGCTGGTTTTGACTTCCTATTTACTTAAAAGTCTTACTGAAAAGAGTGATGCTGATCACTCATTGCAAACCACTTTGATCCTATCCAGAATGTTCTCCCAGTCTTCGGTATACCCAGTCTCCAGAAGCCGTTTCACGGACATGTCATTTGGATAGTCGGCATATCATAGCTCTACGTGAGGCATCTGTAAAGAAATATTTGTGAAAAAAAACCTTATATGTGGCACAACACCTTTACTTTACGTACCTTCCGGTCGTCTAACCTGGCAAGGAGAAAGCAACATTTTGAATAAGAACATCAGGTAGAAGTGGAAAAGGTTCATTGAAAAATATGATACCCCATTCCCTCCAGATTCATCCCCATTCCATCCTGTGGCTATATAAAACCACATTTTCGCCGTGAAACACTCTGATTTCACACCCAAACAAACAGTTCAGGTCCCAATGCCCAGAACACCGGGTCACCCATGCTGTTGTAATCTCCCACGTGGAGCCCTGGATACCCTGCCGCCTGTGCCATTGGGAAAGTTCAACCGATGGGTGGGAACCTTTGAGGGGAGAGGATCTAAGATGAAATGGTCCTGTTGCAGAATAGTTGGGGCCTTTGTTTGACCATTTTCATAAAGGATTCACTCATATTCCGCCAAGAAGTGTCACAAACCTATTTAAGGTCAATTTGATGAAACATTATATTACAATGGATATATGTATAGGATTGTATAGGTAAGGGATCTATAATGATATGAGCATTTCCCAGAATTGGGGGGCTCTCGAAACCCATGGTTGTTTCAATACTAACATCATCAATTTTTGGATGGTTTGGGGCTCACCCTTGTTTTCGTAAAAGCTTGGGTATCGATCGAAATCTAGAACTCGAAATCTAGAACTCGAAAATGGGAACATGTACTGATCATTCCCCAGGCCTGACCTTTTGAGCCATGTTTTAGCAAAGCGGCAGCTTGCAAAAACATATGGACGGACAGCAAACCCCAGCAAAAGTCTTGAGAGATGATCATGAAGTGATTGGGGATGAGTTAAACCACTAGTCACTCACTAGTTCCTAAGGGGCAAACCCCTCACTTGCGCATAATACCACCTGGGTGACAATAGTCAGAATCATTATATAATATAAATATATATATATATTCCCTCGTTGGTTGACTTTGGGATTAGATCCCATCTTCCCTTTTCTTTGTCTTATCTTCAGCTCTGTCTCAAAAAAGAGTCGTCGATCATCAGCCTCCCTATTCAAATGGACATGTTCGATGCGAAGGAACTGCCAAGTCTGATGGCTAGATCCTAGCCACATCCATTGTTTCATTGGTTGAATCGCCATTGTCCCAGCAAAAAGCACCATCATTGTTGAAGGAAACCAGCGCCTGCCAGGTCTCTTGCGCCACAACTTCGAAGTCCTTTAGCGGCACATCTTCGATTAGCCTTGAGGCCGAGCAAGAAACCTAAATGAAAATGGTGGTTTAAACAAGCCAAAAATGTGGAAATGATATGAAATTAGCAAGAATACTAAGATTCTCCAAAAATCAGATGTGCATCCAGGGAATTGCAAGTACATAATGACATAGATATGTCACATGTACATTCCAATTCGGTGGTTTTCCCCAGAAATGCCGATCTTCCCCCGGAAAATGTGGTAAATCCTAGGTGACCCTAGTGAAGTTGCTTTATCCCATCTGATTTTTTCGTGTTATCATAAGAATAGTTACCATAAACGCGACAGTTATATTATCATATATTATCTGATTGGTGGTTTCAACCAACCCCTCTGAAAAATGATGAAGTTGAAGTCAGCTGGGATGATGACATTCCAGACTGAATGGAAACATGAAAACCATGTTCCAAACCACCAACCAGATTATCATAGATATAAACCAACTTAGCTAACTATGGGGCAACAGTTTGCATCAAGTGAGCTAGCTGGGACTCACCTCTGCTCATCAACCAGCATTTTTTGTTTCAAACCACTGACGTTAGTCAGTCTCCTTTGCATGACACCTACAACTATAATCAATGTTGATATTAGTTGGGGGAGCTCTTAAATGTGCGACCTTCAAACCGTTGGTGTTCGTGTTCATCAAACAATTGTCAGTTTTGGGTGTGTTTGTCATGTTGTGTGTTCTCCATGCTGGGAAACACCTATTCATATCTATTCATTATAATTCTATCGTATAATATCGTATAATAGAAAAGTTAATCACACCCTCTAATAGTGATTACCCTTATATAAATCGCTCCCTGTTAATCATGTTCATTCATTACCCAATAATGATCTATATTAGGCAGGATTTACAATGGTAGATGACCCCAACCAATCCTTCCCCAGTCAAACTGTGCCCCAAGTCACACCACTCCAGCGCTTCGCAACGCCTCTGCCGCTTGAAATCCACGAGGTGCTGTTGGAACCGCTCCAGCGCCGATGACGGCGCCAATCAACGCGACAGAAAACGACATCATGGCACCCAAAACTACGCAAAACTGATGAAATCTGGCTGTAGAACCAGAAATTCATCCGGATGTGAGATCTAACACGTTGCACTTTGCTGTTAGTGATAGTTTTTTCAGTGATTTGAACATTTTAAAACAAAAATCCAAACAATGTAATTATCTATTTTTTTGCTGTAACTGCGGAACATGTTTTTTTAAAGTGTTGGTCAAATAAATAGCAACTGATAGCAGTGGGTTGATCATGCTATGCTGCTATGCCTCTCTTTCCCGTGCAGTCCTTACCTATCTTCGTTATTCGTCCATGACCTTTGAGCATCGTGCATAGCAAATGGATGGGGTTACTATGTGAGAAACCCTACCCGAATCATATATTAAGGGGTTCAAAACAAATAAGATTAGTCGTTTTTTTAAATGAATTGTTTGAAATAATCAAAATGTTACAACATGTTAAAACCTTGTTGAATTTAAGAACTTCCAATCTGGAGCTGATACAAACACATGCAAGTCTTGGGGTTTCAAAGATCTTTGGTTTTAGGATGTTTTAGCACGTTTTAGTGCACCGGTGAAAGAAAAATGAATTTCATGGATCAAACTTGAGCAAAACACTCCAGGTAAAATTTATTGAATTTTCTTAGAGTAACCCCAAATCTGAGACACCCCTTCATCAATCAATGAGCAAGAAACATGAAAAACGGTCAATTGCGAAATGGTTTGCCACATTGATTGTCAAACTCCTGCAATGTCTCGAGGTGTCCTTTCGCGGTGACCATCCCTTGTTGGTGGTATCAACTCGTCTATCACAGGCGTATTCATTGGTATGCACTGATGTTTGTCCCAAAACAAAGGAATGGGAAACAACCAAGATCAACAAATACAAAAACGCGCATCCCAACTGACTGCACCCTGCATGCACATATTTGTGTATGTACAAACTGTTTGTATGTATATATATATATATAAATGTACAATATTACACACACATTGAAGAAACTAATGTGATAATCGACATCTGAACCCATCAACCACAAAGGGGCGGGTGAACAAGTCCAGCATCAACAAGAACCCAAATGTTTGGAAGGTTTTCCCGTGTTTCATCCAGCTTCGTTCGCAGATGCACATCATTTCATTTGCCACAAATGCAAAAAAGGTCAGCCCCAAAACAAATATAAATAACATGCACCATTGGTTCCCCTTTGTAAAACTCATGTTTGCCCCTCTTTCCAAAGCAGGCACCCGAACCCCAGCGTCTTGGCTGTTTCCCATACGCCATTGGCCTTGCCGCCGGCCATGCAACTTGCGCGATGGCGCCCAAAAGACTGTTTACAAACAGCTTTGGCATGCCGATGAGTTTTCCAAAATCTAATGAAACCTGTTTACCCTCTGAATGAACAAACCCTTTGAGAGTTGCAACCACCCTTGTGCATGCAGCGACATGTCAGGAACAAGCGAAGCAGACCCAGCAGTATAATAATAAGTTCGTCATATCATCACGCAACGTTTCCTCGAGGCTGCGTGCCACAAGCGGAGGGCAAGCGTGCGCACCCCCAAAACGTCAAAGGCACGTGGCGGGCGCGAGCCGTGAACACAGCGCGCATACACATTAATCATGCAATCACACCCTTTTTGGCCACCTTGATGGTGGCATGTGCTTGTAGCCATCCATACTCATCATGCCTGCAGCATGCAAAACCATGCTACTATCGAAGATGTAGAACAACACTGAGAGAACAATAGCTAGTTTTTGCGATTGGGCGGGGCACCCGCGGAGAAGTTGGAGCACACGCGCCTCTGCGAAGGTTTTCTTTCTTTCGCTGCGAAAACAAGCTAAACATGAATCATCATGAAGCCCCGAACAGAAAATCAGCAAATGATTCTGCTGGGCCTGCTGACCACTGCAACACTTTGGCCATTCCAATCGCTCTCCTATGTTGCTTCGGTAGCTGTGGTCACTACATGAACAGCGGCCTTCAAGACTTTGCTGGAAGCATTGAGGGCCCCGGCCTCGAACAAATGCAGGTCTTGGAGTCTCACAGGGCCCACCCGGATCCTACTGTTTCAGAAAAAACTGAACGTGTGAAAACCGTAATTGAAATAGGAAGTTGGTAGACAGGGTCTCGCGGGCAGTCAGCCTCCACAGCTGACGCGCGCTCCAAAAGTTCATCCCCGGTCCTACGCATACTCATGCCCAGTCGCAGATTCGCCTTGCAAGTCTGTTTGTTGGAGTGCCTACACGTTTTTTTGAAGCGCCGGCCGGAGAAAGAAAGCGCATCCCAAATACAGTGGACACCGTTGTCCAGTTCACTTTCAATACTTTCACATGCCTCTTGTATCGTGGTACGACAGCCGCACAGTCCAACATGAAAAGTGCCACAGTAAAGTAGGGGTTGCAAAAACTCGAGCCAGCCGCTGCAACAGCTAACTATCATTCACCTGGCATCATCAAATTCTGGTATTTTGGAGGTCAGGGATGCTCCCGGATCGAGAACTCCCAATGCTGGACTGGAGCTCATCTAAACAGTGTGATTCATGTTGCATAATATACATATATATATATTCATACATTCATCATTCGGTAACTACATATATGTTAACTAACTAGTAACTAGTATTTTAGACTACCTCCGGGAAGGTTTTTGGCCCGCCCGGCCATTTAAGCATACGGCATCCAATTAATTTCAACATACATAAACATACATTTAAATATACGGATGGAACTGGTGTTTCATACTACCTCCGGGGCCTTGTTGTCTGGCCCGCCCTCAACATATTTAAGTGTCGTTACCGTGGACTATATGGTTATGGCTCCAAAATTGGGCACCGATCCATCCACAATTGTTATACAGCACCTACTGCAGAGTACTCAAACCATCCAATTTCGAGTGTCAATACTTTTGAGCCGGAGCCAAACAAACACTTTCCTTGCTCTAGCTCAGCAAGACTTCAATGCCTTTGAGAAGATCGAGGATGGTGAGGACAAGCCAATGGTATCCAATCCCCTGAGTAATCTGAGTATGTGAATTTCTCTATGTTTGCCACCAAAATATATCCAAAATGATTACATCAAAATCATCAAATATTACATCAACATTAGGGGGCAGGAACTCATGGGTTGTGGTGAAATAGCAATAAATAACCTCCGTAAGTTGGGATATACTCGTCGCGAGAAATATGGCCATATGTATCATAGTCATCTGGATCATAAGAACAATCCAAGTGCCAGTGCCAATGGCATGCTAAATGGTGTAAAACGGTGTAACCATGGGCCCGCTAACGATTGGTCATGCTTGCTAGGTGACTATAGTAAGCCACATTTTCTTGGAGGTATATCATTTTGATCTATCCATATCTATCCTCAAGTTTGCCCCCCCACAGTTCGCAGCTACTTGGTGTTCACTCACATTCACTGGGTCTGGAAGCGGTTTCCACCCATTCCCCAGATATGCCTCAATTTGGGATCATCATCCCAGGTCTGGATGAAAAACTACGCAACCTTTGAAACCAGCGGCCAGAAAATGCCAGAAACCATCACGAGCACACACACACTCTCTCTCTCTCTCTCTTTTCAGGGAAGCAGCAACACACAGGGGCTAAAATCATTAAGAACATATCCAAGTGTATGCTGTCTTGTCATAATGCCCAGTCCCCCAATCAATCCAAATAAGAAATAAGGCCCGTAAATCACTTATTTATATATGGGGACACAGCTTTGCAAACGGTCAGTTTCTCCAGTCTACCCGGAAATGTTGCAGACATGACTCTGAGCGGTGTTCGCTCAATGTGTGATGTTGAATCTGGTGAGGTTGAACGGTCAAGCAAACATTAACATTAATATCATGAATGATATGTTCGCAAAGTTTTTTTGGGACATATTGTTCTGGCAAACGTTGTTTTTTCACAGAATAGTTGTTCCTGCTACCTAGTGGGGGTGCACTTGTGATGATTGGGTGTGACCATGATCATCTCATCTTACAACCCATGGGATGTTCTATATCTCTACATGTTTGCCGAAGAGTGTAGATCATGTCCTACTTGGAGGAGCATCCCACTAAGTGGTTGGGAACTGGGGTTGGTTCACCCATTTATAAATGGGTATGGATCAATACCTATTAATACCATTTTTAGGGGGATGAACATCCATTTACCAGCTATTTTGATGTTCACCAGGGGTACAAGGTTTTGACACACTGCCAAATGGGATAACGGGACAACGATAACCCTAGGAATTCACCAAATCAAGGTTTGCCCATTTCCCCAATGCCATGGCGTCCGAGCAACCACTGAAGCCAAACGCTCCTCGTTGTCACCTTTTGCCAACCTCCAGCTGCCGTGCCAGGCCGTGCCATGAGGGGAGGACGTTACTGTCAGTCTGAAAGAAGAGCTCAGTGAGCTCAGTGACATCAGTGATATTAGTGACTAGTGGAAAATCACATTTCATACTGGAAATGTTAATGTCACTAATGTCAATGCCAATCGATTTGACTTAGGAAAACCAACAGAACAGAAATGTTGGTCAGCAAGTATCACATGCTGAAAAATGAGAATGGGAACATCAATCACCTCATATACGGTACTTCAATATGTGTATGTATGTATATATATATATGTATATATGTATGTGTATATTATATGTACATATACATATACATATATGTATATATATATACATATATGCATTTCTATACACATTGTACACCATGTTCAGGCCGTTTGGAGGTAACAATACTTCAGATTGAATGCATTCCTTCACCTCCACCGCGATGGATGCAGACTGTCACCATTCCTGGACTGTCAATACCTAGATCCTGGATCCTGCATATTTCTTGCGAGGACTCGTCGTATTTTCCTCACTCAAAATCTTTGTAGAACCATACAGCCCTCTTAAAGCCATTCTAGTTGGTGGTATACCTACCCCTCTGAAAAATATGAGTTTGTCAGTTGGGATGAATATTCCCAATATATGATGGAAAATAAAACATGTTTGAAACCACCAACTAGTTGTAGAACCATACAGCCCTCTTAAAGCCATTAATGTCATTATCACTGTCCACCAGTCTGGAAGATGATCTTCCGATCGGATTAGGGACCATTTTATTTCTGGCTCCGTGTTGATTTCAGGGAGCGTGATGTCAATTCTTCTTGGGTAAATTCCCGCCAAGCCTGTTTAAATTCCGCGTTAAATTCCCATTATATACTGCTGCCAAAACATCAGAATTTTACCATTCACATCACCCCCAAACCATAGAAAAATCTGTTAAATCATCACCGTTGCTGCCTATCCCACCATTTTTGCCTACCCTCCAGGCGCACCCCCAGTAGTCCGCCAGGGTTGTCATACCAGCTGGAAAGGAGGAGCCTGGTGTTCGAAGGGCAAAGCATGCCATGCGAGTGGGAATTCCCAAGTGTTTCTTGGACAAATAGGGGTTCCTGAAATGGGTGTACCCCAAAACTATAGGTTTCCATACTAAAATGGTCTAATTTTTGGATGATTTGAGGGTATTCGCATTTTAGGAAACCTCCAAATATGTACATTTATATTCATGTGCATGCTGCTATATGGTTTTGGTACCTGAAAATGATGGGAAACAACTCATTCTATCCATTGGCTTATCATGATTTTTTCCTATAACAAATGGCAATTCAGACAGAACCATATAGGAGATTCATAACTAATCATAACTAATCATATGCACATACCCCACCTGGATTCTATAGATCCAGCCATACCCAGCCTGAGGCAGTGATTTAGGTATTTTTTTTTCGGTGGGGTTCAAGCACCATTTAAGAAAGCATTTTGATGGAAGAAGTTGTGCTCTTGGATTCTACAGAGATCAAGACCACAACTGAATAGCAAGCAGTGCATGGAAAAGAATTGCATAGATGATTTAACTCATTAATCACACATGGAACAGAACTACAACCATAGCCAACTGTAAACATCAGGATCTACTAGGTGGTGCGCCCCATAGCTATAAGTTAGTTTATAACTTATAACCCCATCTAATTATAGCCATACTATTACACTCACCACAAAAACCCTAGTTTAGCTGGCGATTTTAACCAACTTGGCGAAACATAGATCACCTCTCTACATCCCCAATTTTGTTGGTAATTACCTCCACGTTTAATGATTACCCTCCAGTAAATTAACAGTTCGACCCTGGCAGTCATCGGGGTTGAAAGACTAGTGAAACCACTATAAATTGGTGATTTTCAGGGTCTTTACCAATTATTTACCATAGGCAGGGTCTTTCCATATAAATCTTTTCCACTATAAATTGGTAATATAAATTGATCCAACTGTTACCTCACCACGGGGTAAATACCCATCACATCCAATCACAACGTCAGCTGATTGGAACCACCTGCAGCATCGGCTTCCCAGAAGCTTCCATGGAACCGAGCCTTGGTTTTTGTAAAGCCAGCATAAGTAACAAACGATCAAGAACGTTAAACCAGAAATTGCATGTAACAATCATATCATATTGTATCAATATCAATAACAATCATATGAATAAGAATGATCAACAATGATAAAGTAACATTAAATAATATCTAATAAAGAATGACACTGAACATAAACAAGGCATAGTCCACGTGTCGAAAATCTTCTTTGGCCCAGCAAGAATGCCATGTGGAAGCGGCAAAAATGCTGACCTCGGGCTACCTGTAAATTGGACATGTTATGACGTGTAAGCCATGATCAAAACATGAGGTGAAGATTGATATGGCCATCCATCCCATAATGGGAATTCTTACTATACCGGGCATATAAATCCCTATTCATGGATTGATGACTTGATGAACATCACCCAATATGGGAAAATGACACTTTTTTGACTGTTGCACATGTGATAGGACTCTTAACCACGGATTAAACCAGAGCCTCATGTCAGTCCCATGTTTCATGGTTACATCGGAACTTTTGCTGGTGAAATCACTTTAAATCATAGTGAAATACATTTTTGTGACAATTAAATCATGCTAAATCCACATTTTTGATAGTGTCAACCCTGGATTAATAAACCCCTAGATTATGACTATTGGAGGAGTAACCCCCTAATTGGTAAACCATGGTTTATTCATCCGGGGTTGACATTAGTTGACTCTCTATTTGTTACCCTCTGGTAAACTAACATAACTATGGAAAATCACCATTTTTAATGGGAAAATCCACTATAAATGGTCATTTTCAATAGCTATGTTAGTCATTACCAGAGGGTACATCCCTTTCTTCAAGCGGCTCCGTCCTCCATGGGACCACGGGCGAGCCATCGAAGCGTCGCATGGCCTTGCTGACGGTCCAAGCCATCTGGATGGAGCGGAAAATCCACCTGCCATGGCGAGGCCAATGTTCACCATATAATGGTCATAGATATGGTGATAATTATGGTGATAATGACCATGTGATAATTCATGATCTAAGGATGATCATGTTCCACATATGGTGATAATTATGGTGATAATGACCATAATGTTCGTTTAATCATGACAATGATATGTGGTGATAATTAATGATCTAATGATCAAATGCTTTGGAAACATCTTGTGTTTTTTGTTGTTGTATTTCACCATTGTCATTGGGATGGTCATAGATACTCTTCGGTACTCAACCATGGCATGGAAAATCAATGGAGATTGACGGGAAAAAACATGTTTGATTACGAGATGGTAAATGGTGTTTTCAAAGTGGTGAATCGGTTTGACAACTCATGACCATTTTTTTCATGACCATTTTTTGAACAGGGCGAAGGTCAATGCCCAATGACCCTGCGCTGAGTGTAACTATGGCTACAACCCGACTTGCCCAACAGGGGCTCAACAGTGGGATAATCATGGATAATCATCACATCAAAAAACTGTGAGATAACACGATGAGATGCTAGATGTGAAATCACATTTAACATCAAAAACACTGGGATAATCATCACATAAATAACTACACGATTGAGATGTTAGATTTCACATGTAAGATTTCACATGTCGAACCACTGTAGATCAGATGAACGACTGAACGACTCCCTTCGGTTTTATGCGTCATTGGCTAATGTCTTTTGTAGAACCTGGAACCAATATGTCCGATTGGTGGTTTTGGACTACCAAAAAACTGTATATGTTCATATATATTTTTATATATGTTTACAATATATATATATACATACAGAGTTACAGTATATATTTATATATAAACCAAACGTCAGTTGAATCGCATTTTGTTCTGCTTGAATTCCCATATTTTCTGGTGCGAACTCATGTCCTACTGCAATATTTCCTCTTATCTTACTGCTGATTATCCATATTCTTACTAGTTAAGTTCCCATTTTCTGCTTGAACCAGCATGTCTACTGAGTTTACTAGATAAGTTACCCCGTGAACCAGCATTTTCTGCTTGGGGAACCCCGTGAAAAAACTGAGTTTACTGTAAAAATCTGATGCTTTCCCACAGGCTTCCCCCGGCCGCGGCCCAACCAAAGTCCATTCCGCACCCGGCGCACCGTGAGGTCGTCGAAAAGAAAGGCGATGCCGGCCGGGCCTTCATCACCTATGGAGGTTTCCATGGCCATGGGCACCGTAAAATGGATGGTTTATAATGGAAAATCCCAATCTAAATTGGATGATTTGGGAGAAGCTACTGATGATGAAATGGTGAATTGATGATATATGGTCACAAAACCATGAAATCGATGATGAATTAGTACAGAATATAGTGACCAAATGGTGAATCATGGTAAATCGATGATGGTGAATCGTGATGATTTTTCTGGTGCTGAATATGGTGATAAATTTAAGTAATGGTCATGAATATTCTACCAAAGAGCTGACTATGGTTGATATTGGTTGATACTATTGTACTATTTCATATCCTATGAATCACATTTGTAATACAGAATCAACATCTCCGATCAGTATTTCACCATCCCCAAGTCAGCACATTATGGGTGGGAGTCCAACCATCCCCAGTCATGGTAGTCCATTTTCCTTTGAAGTGCAGTATACAATATGGCCCCCCCTAGATAGCTAAGTTAGTTTCTAATTTCAATAATTATGGTTTATGATACCTATAATTATAGTTGATGGGGTTTATAAACCAACTTGCAACTACGGGGCCCCACATTGTATGATTTTGAGCTATTTTGAGCAGTCCCGAATATACTGACTCGTGGTTTCAACCCATCAAACAAAGAGAAGTCAATTAGGGATCGTCATTTGACAAAAGTATTTGACACCATCGAGCATTGTGTATGTGTGGTCTAAACCTGAAAACCATGACTAGTTGGTGGTATACCTACCCCTCTGAAAAAAAAAGTCAGTTGGGATTATTATCGAAGGAAGTTTAGAAGTCAAACTTCCGACAATATGGACAGATGAAAAGCAGAGCAGGGAAGAGGCAGAGAGAAGAGAGAGAGTAGAAGAGAGAAGATCAGAGAAGAGAAAGAGTCAGAAGAAAGCAGTTGCAGATGCGCGAAAAGGTATGAAAGTCGCGAAACACTGTGTTTTTCCAATGATTTGGGGCTCCGGAGGGTCGAAAAGTAGGCTCGCTAAAGCGGCGGGTGCGGAGACATCTGGGGAGATGAGAGATGAAAAGTTGCACGCCGTTGTGGCGCGAAGCCGATTTCGAAGTGAAGAGGTACAAAACACCTCAGGATCGGACCACTTTTGGAAGTTGAGATGTTGAAAAAGTGCACGTCGACGCAGCAGAGTACTTGTTGAAATCCTGTGGCGGCAAGAGAAAGCGCTCTGGGTCCAAAGCTTCAAGGCACTTCACGCTTGTTCCCGAAGAGCAAGATAGGTGAGCTTCAGCTACCTGCTTCATGTCAGCATCCAAACCCATCACCTGCTTGTCTTTGCCAGCTGATTTGTGACTCCTTCCTGACATCGAAGCTGTGGCATCTTCAATGGCAGGCGGCCCCACCCACACCATGGCCAAGTCTCCGCCAGGTCCGCTGTAAGGACCTTCTGTCAAGGCCAAGGCCTTGGCCACAGCCTGCTTTGCTTTCCGGTCTGGCTTTGTTGCCCTCGCCAGCGACCCCAAAGACGCGCCAGCCATTTTTGGAACTGGAGCCGCCTTGTCATCGCTTCCCGCCTCAAAAGCGGCAGGAGAGGGACAGGACGCGCCTCCAGATCACTCAATGTTGGTGGCCTCGCAGACGATGGCTTCAAACCATCTGGGCGGCTTTCAATTTCAGTACTTGCAATGTGGGCAAACATTGCAGCCCCTTGCTGCTGGGACAATTGGAAAGCTGCATCCAGAAAGGTTTCGGAGTGAGTACTGACGTTGTTGAAGTAAATGTCAACCTTCCTGATGGTTGCCACCTGATCCAGAGACAAACCAAAGAGGTCGATCAGGTACATGTTTCTGGTGTTCGGCTCAGGCCCCGCCCAGGGAATCTTGACCACTTTGGACTTGTCCAACGTAGGAACATCCTCAGTATTCATGATATCAGATTTGAATGTGGGAAGGGGTTACCCATCCCTTGCTGGTTACAAAACTTTGGAACATACAATACTCACAAATAGCGAAGCTGACAAATACATCTGTCTTTCAAAAAACAAAATTACACATCATGGCCGGGCCCAAATAAGTAGAGGAGCCGGCACCATAGCTTGCATCTTCGTTGATGGTGACTTGGGGCAATATCAAGATCAATAAATAAAATAAATACATAAATAAATAAAAAGGTATATAAATATATATATATATGTATATGTATATATGTATATGTATATGTATATATGTAAATATATATATATACATACACATATACATATTTATATATATATATGCGGTCTATTGTCTTATGTAAGTAAAATGTGTTAAAAACTGAGGGGTTCGGACCACTTTTGGAAATTGAGATGTTGAAAAAGTGCACGGCGTTGTGGCGCGAAGCACATTTGGAAGTAACATGTGTTAAAAACTGAGGGGTTCGGAGCAGTTTTGGAAGTTGAGATGACGAAAAAGTGCACGGCGTTGTGGCGCGAAGCACATTTGGAAGTCAAAAGTGTTAAAAACTGGCGGTCTCGGAGCACTTTTGGAAGTTCAGATGTCGAAAAAGTGCACGCGATTGTGGTGCGAAGCACATTTCGAAGTCAAAATGTTAAAAAACACCAGGGGTTCGGACCACTTTTGGAGGTTCAGATGTCGCTTCGCTTCGCTTCACTACACTACACTACAATCCACTACACTACACTACACTCCACTACACTACATTAAACAACACTACAACTACAACTACACAACTACACTCCACTACACTCCACTACACTAAATTACACTACACTACACTACATGACTCTACACTACACTACACTACACTACGCTACACTACCTTCCAGTACACTTCACTACATTACACTACACTACACTCGACTACACTACAACTACAACTACAACTACACTCCACTACAATACACTCCACTACACTCCACTACACTAAATTACGCTACACTACATTACACTACACTACACTACATGACACTACACTACACTCCACTACACTCCACTACAAATACAACTACGACTACGCAACCACACTCCACTACACTACACTACATTACACTACACTACACTACATTCCACTACACTCCACTACACTACACTCCACTACACTACACTACATTACACTGAATGACGCTGCACCGCAGATAGACAGGTAGACAGATAGACAGACAGACAGACAGATAGATAGATAGACAGACAGATAGACAGATAGACAGATAGACAGATTAAAGAGAGAGAGAGAGAGATAGATAGATAGATAGATAGGTAGATAGATAGATAGATAGGTCATTAGATGAAAGAGAGAGAGAGAGAGATAGATCGATAGATAGATAGATACATAGAAGATAGGTTGGTAGGTAGGTAGATAGTCAGAGAAAGAGAGTGAAAGAGACGAGACCTCAAGCACCTTTTGGTCCATCACTGGCTTCGCTCTGCCATCCCTGATTCACAACAACCAATCTCTCCTATAGGTTTCCTATTTTTGAAACTTCCGCCACCGCCTTGTGCGGTACTACTGGTATTCCCAATATATGGAAAAATAAAAGCCATGTTCCAAACCACCAACCAGATGATTAGTTATTCAATGTTATCCACATCTCTAGAGGGACTATTCATTTCGACGGTGCCGTGAACTACATGGTACCAGGTGGATTTTGCAGGACTTCGCCATTCAAACATATCCCAAATGATGAGGATATGATGTGATGTTCAAAACAAATAAAAAAAGGACCTTTACTCAGCCCCCAACTGGTTGTCAAACTTGGGTACTCCGTATTTGATGGTTTTCGGCTGGAGATGACCAAAAAATGGTCACCAAGTATGAGTAGGCAAATAGATATGCATCTGATATCAAGCGTGCAAAAGGCATAGCATCTGTTTGATGTGGATCATCTTCACGCGTCTTTCAAGGTATAGCAAAAACAAAATCTGGGTAAAACATAACTATAGTTTTAGGTAAAGCCCCCCAAAAAAAGAAGGATAACGTCAAACCGGTTGATCGGTTGTACCCTCTGGTAATTTAACATAGCTATTGAAAATGGCCAGTGAAATAGTGTTTTTTCCCATTAAAAATGTTGATTTTCCATAGTTCTTCCCCACCTGCCAGGTGAGGGTTGTTAGATTTTATCAGAGTTGTTCTTCTCCTCCTCCTCCTCCTTCTCCTCCACCACCTCTGCCTCCACTTCCATGTTCACTTCCGCACGCAGTGGGCACTGCTGGACCTCAACTGCAAGGGTCTGAGCGCACTGGGCACCGCTGGGCCTCAACCTGGGACCTTCGGAGCTCAGTGAGCACCGCTGGACCTCAACCTGGGACCCTCCGAGCTCAGTGAGCACCGCTGGACCTCAACCTGGGACCCTCCGAGCTCAGTGAGCACCGCTGGCCCTCAACGGCCAGATAGAATGCCAGAAGATATGCCAGATAGAACGCCAGATAGAAAGTCAAAAGATATGCCAGAAGATATGCCAGATAGAATGCCAGAAGATATGCCAGAAGATATGCCATGTAGAATGCCAGAAGATATGCCAGATAGAATGCCAGAAGATATGCCAAATAAAATGCCAGAAGATATGCCAGATAGAATGCCAGAAGGTATGCCAGATAGAATGTCAGATAGAATGCCAGAAGGTATGCCAGATAAAGTGCCAGAATGTTTGCCAGAACATATGCCAGAAGATTTGCCAGATAGAATGCCAGATAGAATGTCAGAAGATATGCCAGATAGAGTGCCAGAATGTCTGCCAGAACATATGCCAGAAGATTTGCCAGATAGAACGCCAGATAGAATGTCAGAAGATTTGCCAGAAGATATGCCAGGTAGAGTGCCAGAAGATATGCCAGGTAGAATGCCAGAAGATATGCCAGATAGAATGCCAGAAGATATGCCAGATAAAATGCCAGAAGATATGTCAGATAGAATGTCAGAAGATATGCCAGAAGATATGCCAGAACATATTGCAGAAGATATGCCAGGTAGAATGCCAGAACATATTGCAGAAGATATGCCAGGTAGAATGCCAGAAGATATGCCAGATAAAATGCCAGAAGATATGTCAGATAGAATGTCAGAAGATATGCCAGAAGATATGCCAGAACATATGCCAGAACATATTGCAGAAGATATGCCAGGTAGAATGCCAGAAGATATGCCAGGTAGAATGCCAGAAGATATGCCAGATAGAATGCCAGAAGATATGCCAGATAAAATGCCAGAAGATATGTCAGATAATATGCCAGAAGCTTTGCCAGTAACAAAACGTATAGATGTCATGGTGGGGAAAACTCGAAGTAAAGTAATTTGTATGTTTACCAGAGGTTATAATCTATGCCATATGACAGAGTCATATCAACTACTCATCCGACCATGAGGTCAGCCTGGATTGCTGTGACGACGCAAGCGTCGTCATTCAGCGGGGACTTTGGAGAAGCGAATGGTAGAAGCAGCAATCTTGCCATGGTGACCAAACAAAATCAACACCAAAAAAACAAAAACAACAACAACAACAACAACAACAACAAACAACAAGTGGTTCTTGCGGCACAAGAAAAATGTGTAAATATGTTGCAATCATTTCGAACCTCATAATTTACCATGAACATAGATCATCACCACCACCACCATTCATGATGAGGTTGCAATGAGGCATCCAAGTGCTCTCTGCCAACCAAAACTGGCCATGGGAATTCCCAAGTGTTTCACAGGAACTAGATAGATAGAAAAGAGTTGGCAACCAACAATTTATAATGGAAAAAAAATCTGTATCATACGTACAATAGGACACACACTTTAAGCTATCTTTTTGAGGACACCCAGACATGCCCTCTGGTGGTTTAACACAGCTATGGAACATAACCCAATTATAGATGATTTATGAACATTTACCTATAGAAAAAAATATATAGTGGTTTTCCATAGCTACGATATTTAACCAAAGGGTCGATGGACCATATGTGGGTTTCCTAAAATGGGGTACTACAAGGCAGCACAGTTGTTTCAATACTAAAAAGGGCATGACTTTGATGATTTGGGGTACTCCTATTATTTAGGTTAAACCTCCATTTACCCTCCAGTAAACTAACATAACATATATATATATTATATATATATGTGACATAGCTAAATCCTCGATGTTTCCACTGCCATCTTTGAGGCCCAGGCACATCAGCAAATGCGGAAGGCGACAGACCTTGCGCAGCACCGAGCCCGCAGAGAGGTAGAACCTCGGCGCAGAAATAGGCTGACCAAAGGGACACCAAACAGGGAGCCCTAAGTAGAACAAACGGACATCTAGAAATAACAAATAGAATATAGTTGATTATAACATGTGGCATATTATAACAAATAGAATATTATAGTCTCATCCAATTTTCATGTTCTCCCCCATATGATAATGAAGGCTTGACTATGGAAGACGTTCTTTGTGTATATATACCCTCTGGTAAACTAACATAACTATGGAAAATCCCCATTTTTAATGGGAAAATCAACTATAAATGGTCATTTTCAATAGCTACGTTAAATTATCAGAGGGTAGTTGATTATAACATGTGGCATATTGTAGTTGTATAATGCTGTATATAAATATACGTATCTATATAGTATCTATAACTTAAAACATCCTGGTAGATCCATTCTATCTTTGTAAGAAGGTCCTTCACTGTAAAATGGGGCATGATATTCACCAAGAAACATGGATATCCAAGTGATTGTAGCATCAGAAGCTGGTGAAGAGGAGAACAAACTATATAACCAATCAACATGTGGGATTCCAACACCGGAACTACTTGCGAAGATGAACATAGAAGCAAATAACAATGGTTACTTACAAATGACATGGCAAATGCACAAGAACCACTAGAATCGATCAAACATTGATGGCCGGAGAACTACATATTTTGGCCGTGTCATATAATGTGAATAACACAATATTAAACCATCCCCAATTTTACAATAAATGGGTTGTATACAGCATCAGAACATGATAAAATATGGATGGGGTCTTATTGTTTTACTAACATTACTGAAACATCCTCTTCTCGCTTACAGATTTTGAGAGAGTACTTCAATTTCTCCGCCTGCCAGCAGTGACATGGTCCTGGGCCACACATGGGTGCAACTTGGATTTCTCATCAAAACATATGTTCTACCAGTTATCAATGTGCTGATTTCCGTAAACATTATCAATAGGCGTTGACCAATTATCAATGGGTGTTGACCAAAACATATTTCTACCAATTATCAATGGGTGTCGAAACAGCTAGCAGTCGTAATTTAGTCACTTTTTCCCAGCGACCCAGTTGTTTCCGCCATTCGATGGTTGAATCCTCGTTCTTGGTCGCCCGGCTGCCTCTCGTTCAGGTACGAGCCTCGTCTCCTAAGCCGTTGGCTGTTTGTGAACCTCTGAGGCCAACAAATCCAGGAAGCCTCAAAGTAGGAGATTACATACAGAGTACATTCCACAAATTTCAATACAACAATAGATAAGGAAATAAAAAGGATGAATACCACATAAAATATCATTTAATCTAATCTAATATGATACAATATAAAAACATAAAATCTAGGATAATATAATCTAATATATAATATATAAGAAAACTATTTTCAATAATAATAAAAAAATAATAATAATAATAATATATATATATACATAGCTAAAAGAAAAACAATATAATAAAACAATACAATGTAATATAATATAAATTCATTTAATGTAATTCAAAATAAGAAATAGTATGTTTAAATACTAACATAATATTTAATATTAAAACATATAACATAATATTATTCAAAACATTAGCAAAATACTATATATATAACTAAATCGTAAAACAATAAAACATCATTTAAATATATATATATATATATATTTATATAAGTAATACAACAGATATGAAAAAAACATATATATATATATATAATATTATGTATATCATACAATATCATAAGTATTATATATCTAGAGCATATTGTGTGTATAATAATTCATATAATGTCAAGTTAGGATTAATAATCCCAGCGGTATTAATCAACCCCCTCTGCCAAAAAAAAATGTAATTTAAAAAAAGGTGGTCCCCCAGGATTAATAAACCGTTTGGCTGGGACATGATTAATCAACGCCCTGTGCTGAAATCCATTTTTTTATCCAACAATTTTTATTTCCAATTCTATTTATTTCCAATTGTTTTTAACCATTTTTTTTATCATCATTGTTATACTTAAGGTTTAAGTTGATCATTGAAAATTTCAAAAAACAACTATTCCCCAAATGATCGATTTCTAATTAAAATCTTTATAAAAATCATCAGTTTGGATAGCTCCCAAAGGGTACCCCCCATGAGCCCATGTCCCCCATTGATAATAACCACGGTTTGCCCCTGATTAATCAACCACCTTTCTGATCCATGAGATTTTAACAAATCCAATGGAATTCTATTAAGATCTAATTGACGTAAGTCATATCCAATTTTTTTTATGGTTCAGAGTTGCTTATTATTAAGGGGTGGTCAAGAAAACTAGCCAGAAGGTACCTACCTACCTACTGGGTGGGGGGGGTTGATTAATCCGATGTTGGCATTATATATATATACATATATATATATTAAAAAACATTAATTATACAATATGAATTCATTATATATATATATTATTGTCAATCTATATCATTTACTGTACCCAACGTTTGGGGGACCCCAAACTAAAAACAACCAGGAATGGCACCGTTAAAACAAACATCTCCCATTTCCACCGGTTACACCACTGGAGTCCACCCCTGGCATTTGACAAGTCTCAGCTCAGTACTGGGTTTCACCCACTTGGCGACCAAATGAGTCTCCTGGTCGCCGCGGAACGAACGGCGCTTCGATATGAGGGACGCAGTGCATACCATCTGGTTATGACTAACATAGCCATGGAAAATCACCATTTTTAATAGGTAAACCATCTATAAATGGGCCATTTTCCATGACTATGTTAAATTACCAGAGGGTAAATGAGTGATTTTGATTTTCCATGATGTGTTAAAAGTCGATCACCTCCGGATTCCAGATGATGTTAAAAGGTTGGGTAAAGACCGTGAAATGAGGTTCGGTTTGTCACCTTGCTTACAAAATTGCTATCCATGAACATCTCAGTCGAAAGGATCTCCTGCCCTCACTGCTTGAAGTGTGGGGTGCCCATGATGAATGGCATACCATTGATTTTCAAAGCCCTAACTCCACTATTGCGTCCTTACGCAATCACTATAGAAACAACGGTACTTTCATTTCAAAATGTTGACTCATCAGTATTCTGCCTGTTCTGGTTTTAAAGAACACCTAAATTGGGACTCGTATCCAACGTGGGCACAATAACCAACCCATGTGAACGGTTTCTACACCCGAATGTCTGAAAAACTGTTTATTCGTGGTCTGAAAACTGCATCTGTTGGGGGCATACTAAAGTTTCAGACACACTCACATGGATTGTGACAATATGGTCATTTTTTGAACCCCACTAATGATAGCCCCATTGTATCATTAGTAATCCGCATATTTATTGACTTACAGTATATTTCATTTTATGTCATCAATGTCTGTTTTGTGTGTGTTTTTTTTGGGTATGTTTTTTCAAACATGGATCTTCAAGGCCCTGGCTGCCAAGGTGGTCATTTTTATGCACCATTGGGGGTCCAAGGCCTTGGCCTCAGCTCCATGTCCAACCCCTCCGGTCAGCTGTCCTTTTCCTTGTCCCCTGCGGCATGGGTTATTGACTTCAACCCATCCGACCGACAGGGGCATGGACCAACATTGGTTCCGGTTCTTCACTGGTCAATTCGGTTGATCAAAAAATATACTGGACATGGAAATGAATGGGGCTAGCATGAGAAACATAAAATGGGGGTTCTTGAAATGGGGGATCCTGAAAACAGTGGATTTCAATCATAAGATTGTCTAATTTTGGATCATTTGGGGCGCCCCCACTTTAGGAAACCTCCTTGCTAATAAAATAACGACCAGTTTAGGCGCAGGTATAGTTCAAGAATGGGAGCAACTTGTAAGATCTTGTAAGCACCAGGACTGGGGCTGGCGAATCAACGTGGTCCTTACAAACTCTGAAAAAGTGCCCTCCCGAAAAATTTCTCGCGCCTCGCTTGGCCACAAATCGCAATTTCCAAACCTCAACTGAAAAAAATGCAGGGTCTTGGCAATTCGCCGCCTTCTGGAGTAGAAACAAAAAAAATGACAGCGCAAACCAGTGTGAGGCCACAATGTTCTCGCCAGTCGCTGGGCAAGTGTCACGCAAAAGTGTTTTACGCGTTACCCTCCAGTATAACTTTATAATCAAACGTAAAAAGCAGTGGCAAACGACCTACGCATAAATGATTTTCCTGCTTCCGTTTACAAAGGTTTTCCTATGCAAAAAAAACGAATAATATCCAGAGTAGGACATTTTTTTCCACTCGTCGTCTGGCTAGAATGGTAGCGAATATTTTGACGATTCAAGAATCGGCGGTCCAGAATCCTGGGGTCTGAAGATGAAAGATACGAATGTGTCTCAATACCCCAAAATGGATGATTTACAATGGAAAATCATATGAAAATAATTGAACAAACCTCCATATCAATACGGTATACGCGTACCTCCACTATCCAATGACATTCTAGTGATCTTCCTGTCTTATCCAGAGTCATATGTTATATCCCCTCACGTGAAGATCAAATCCTCAATCAGTTTTCCCACAGGGCAAAATCCTGACGTTCTAATCATTCGGGTCCTTACGATCTTCACTTCTGTCAGTGTTTCATCCCCATTTCATCCCCAGATTCATGGTGTCACTCACGAAACAATCTAAGATATCAAAGTTGTTATGCTAATGATTGATGTTCCCTATTCATCGGATTTGTTCCGGAAAAAAATGCATGCATCCCCTTTTTTTCATGGGGAAAAGCCATGGATTTTCCCCCGACTTTTCCGCCCAGGTGCTGGAGTGGAGGTGCCACCTGTGAAGCGCTCACCGGCCTACGAGATCACCAATATGTCATGGAAGAATTCAAGTTGCTGAAGTCATAAAAGAATTCAGCAAACAATAGCAAACATACCTATATGTACATATATATAATATTATTATATAATAATAATTAATAATAATAATAACAATAATAATAATAATAAATATATATATATAGGCATATAATATGTGATATCTTGAAATGTTGGGAAAACCCCGGTCCATCCGCTGATGAGTCACCATGTTCCTGCTGGAATTTCAATCTTTGCGTATTTCAATTTTCAAACACACCCATACATATGGATAACATATGGGAAACACAGTGATCGCGATCAAGCAACATGATAAAGCAAGACAAACCCATATGAAAAACAACATTGGTAATGTCAACTCCGAATTAATAGACCATGGTTCATCAAATTGGGGCGTGCTCCCCCAATAGTCATAATCTGGTATTTACATGGTACCCCCCCAATTAAACAGCCTAGGAGTCTATTCATCCAGGGTTAACATTATAGCAAATCTTCTTGAACTTTTGTGGTTTTAATTGGTAAAGCGCCCGCAGGGGGACCCAGGATGAGCCGCAATCTTATATACCCTGCATACAAGCTAGTCTTGCTGGGTATAATGTTGATTGGTGGTTTGCAGTTCCAAGAAACCATCCTAGAACAGATTAGCACCGTGGATCTTCCAGAATCACCACCTTGGAAGTGGATCTAAAATATCGAGCAGATAGAAACTGCTACCCGAAGATGGGTCGAAAGGCCGAAAAGTAGAGTTTTAGCAAGAGCAAAAACACATCCAAATCAAGCAGTAGAGAAAATCATATACATAATTATATATATATATATTAATATACTGTATTACAAATTAATCAGCAAACCTCAAGTCATGAATTGATACCTGGCACCTTTGCACCGAAAGTTCTGAACCCTGACTTTGCGCACCGATTGCTCCAGATGGATAGGACCCACATCAGCCTGACGCTGCGACTTGGAACCATCCATTCCCCAATATGTCCCAAAATGTTACAGTAATGTGTATTAAACAAAATAACATAAAAAAAAACAATAATTATGTGAAACCCCTGGTTTGGTGGTGAATTTGTTGATGTTTGGGTGCCTCGGAGTACGATTGGATGGGAACCAGCGAAAGTCAGCAGAAACCATCCTTGCTAAAGGACATTGCATCTCTAAGACCACCCCTACACTGGTATGGTACGTTGTTATCATACGTATAGTCATCAGCCTTTCAATAGGTGGTTTGTATGCTTGTTTGAAAATAGGGGAAACAAACACACAATTAAAATTCAACTATAGGGATAATGATGATGAATTAGTGCATTTCGGGGTGACCTATTTTCTGTTTGGACCGCGCATCAGTGTGCTCACCTTTCCGTCAGTCATCTTTGCTATCATCATTGCTGAGCAAATCCCTAGCTTTTGCTGCTCAGATTCCCCATCTTTGCTCATCTAATCCCTGTTGGTACTTGAATGTGAATCCCAGTTAAAAAGTCCACTACCCAAACTGGGTTCAGTTTAGTGTGTTACTCACTCGGTTCAATTCAGTCTCTTACCTAGGGTTTATTCCATGGGCCATGTTAGTTAGATATGTATCAACTACTGACTATACAGTAACTGCCATATTTCATGATATATATCACATAATATATATATAATCATATAATATATAAAATATTATATATATGCAATATATAGATATATAAATATATATATAATATATAAAATACAATAAATATACAATATATATTGTATAATTATATACAGTTGTATACGTTCTTCCCTGAGGATTCTTAGGATGCATCCCCCTCACCACGCCCTGGCCACGGCTTTTGCTTAGCCGCGCCTTCAAAATCTTCGACAAAGCAGGGCGCAATTTGTCGCCATCTTTGGCCTAAAAGCTCCACATCCAAAGGACAAACATCCTTGTTTATCAGATATGTCAACATATATCAACAGGTATTATCATATATCCAAGATTTATCCGACATGTATCAAACCAATATGAAACTATAATCCGTTACTGTAGTAGTGTAGAATGATAAGAAGTGAGCACTTAATCCGTTTCCTCTGGATAATTTCAAAGGAGCCCGGGATGCCCAAACACTTGGCCTAACAGATTACCAAACTGGACTGCTGGTGTAGTTCATATCCCCAATAGTTAGGTTATGTTTGAATCCTGTTGAAACCTGTTGAGTCCTGGAGTTTTGAAACAAATCTTTTGGATAAATATTCATATAATTTCAGAATACATATATATATATATACATATATATGTAGATAACATAGCTCTACCCATCTGTTAATATGTTTTTCCGAGCTTTGCTCACTTCTTCTCCAAAAAATTGAAGCCTCTGAGATGGTTCAATGTGTTCCTACTCTATCTCTGTTTGCTAGTTGAATCACCCATCTTTGACACCCAAAAAGCATCCCTCCAATATGTTCTATTTTTCTGGCTGACTCACCAATCTTTGGTGAACAGTTTGGGGTAAATTGCAGAACCAGAAAATGGGCTTATTGGTAATTATATATGATATATATCTCAAAATAGGCTACCCCATTCCGTCCGCTGGTTGACCATTATTTTCCTCATTAAAATGGCCATGTTTAGCCCCAAATGAACATCAGGTCTGTCACCAGCAGCAGTGCATCCACCTTTTGTCACTGCCGCCTTTGGCGGGGCTCAACGTCGTTCGTTCACAACGCCCACGTTGATTTAAGGCTCAGGTGCTGCAAGTTGATTGAGGCATGGCAATTCTACCGAAACCCATTTGGGTTGGTCGTAATGTTCGATTCAAAGGAAACACATGTTTGGCTGAGGTATATACTTCCGATATGTTTTTTTCACAACACACATTTTCGTGAGAGTTAAGCAGTTACAGTTACAGATACACTCCTCCATTTTGCAGAGGGCTTTCTCCCCCTTCCTTGTGGGCCCATCCCTTGCTCCTAAGCCCTAAGAATAGTCGAGTCAAGTAGCCGATCTGCATATTTCGGGGCCCGAAAACAAGGTGACAAGGGATGTGATTATACAGGCGACATGTGGCTTGATATGGGAAATCTCAAACCAAAAGAGGTTTTAATGGGACATCCATCTATAATCATCTATAAACGTTGGATGTTCCAACACCATGTTTGACTACCGGAGGGTAGATGAATTTGGATGATGAAGCTAGCACTTAGCACAAGTCAGTCTAGGAATCACACAGAATCTCCACGAACCATTCTGTACCCATCCCCACTCAAAACGTACATAGCCCTTGGCCACATAAAAATCGTGATGCCAAAAAAGGAATCCTTGAAGGACGCACTTGTGCAAATTACCATGACCATTGGTATGCAGCCTCCAAAATGATAAGTTTGGTGGACAGTTTGTGTACCAATCTGATCCATGCCCCCCTTCCACAGCACCGAGCCCTGCAATCAGCAGAGCATATGTTGTCTGCTGGGAGGCGGAGGGCGTTTCCCCGAATACACCTCTCAGCCAATGTATTAACATTTATTCACAGCCGTTGCGCAGATTGTCTGGGTGTTTCCAAAAACCAAAAATTGGGGTACCCGGATTTCACCGTTTTGCTGGGCAACATTGACATGACTTTCATGACTTGAAAATTGGGTCCCCATGACTTCGGAAAAACCTGTATGGGGATGAGTCAAGTTGTAAGAAGGCAGACAAGTGACTGCGTTTTACCCGTGGATTTATCCCTAATTCTTGCCAGAGGTTGGGACGCAACGGGTCATGGGAAACAAAGTGGTTACCTGGTCTGCTTGTTTCTGACTGTTGATTCTACAGATCCGAATGCTTACTTTACCCAGTAACTTGGTATTTCACCATGACATCTTTAAACGTCTACCCGTCTCTACGGTTGCGGGAAACAGCATCTGCGGAGCTCAATTCACCAAATCAGCGCAAGAACGATCACCTCACATTGCAAATTGAGAGAACAGTTGTCACAAACTGGTTGGTGGTATACCTACCCCTCTCAAAAATATGAGTTCGTCAGTTGGGATGATGACATTCCCAATATCTGGAAAATTAAAGTTCATGTTCCAAACCACCAACCAGCAAATGTCTGGGTCATCCTTTGCAACTTCAAATAACCCAGCAATTCAAGGACAACCAACCGAGGGAAAAGTGTTACTATGTCTGGTAAGCTTGGAACCAGCATGGCCAACCTTAGATACCACACAACTTTAGGTGGTTAGTATACATGCCATTGATGGCAACACATAAAAGTGCGACAGTGGTCCCCACTTCTCTAACATTCAAACCTCGGTCGACTTGGTAGGACTATTGCTGCACAATACTTATGTGTACACAGTCCGTTGACCCAAAATATCTTATTGTTGGTTATATACATGTTCTGCATATATATATATTAATTATTAATAATTATTGAAATACAAATATCCGGATCCTATGTATTTTCATGTTTGTTGCTTGATCCGTTATGGTCCCTTATAATCTTCATAAAATCACAAAAATATGCATCCAGTCAGTTTCACCATGATCTCCTATGTAGTTGGCTATATATGCCATTTTATACCCCCATTATCTCCGCATATTCTCCAGTGATCATGTTTCGTAAAGGGGGTATTATTATCATATCATGTTTTTTTTCTAATGGGATATAAAATATAGTGATCACAAGATACCCTCTGGTAAACGTTTACAGTTTGCTATTGAAGCCATGGCCATTGAAATAGTGGATTTAGCCAGCTATAAAATGCTGTTGATTTTCCATAGTTCCGTCAACGTTTACCAGAGGGTATCACAACTACAACCCTCCTATGATTTCACCAACAAGTCACGGCAGCGAAGCAGGACCAGCTGAAGCCTACCGCAGCGCATTCCACCGGCGCCAGCTGGGGACAGGCCGACGGAGCTCCAAGATCCCAGGGGCTGCAGCTTGGGGCCAACTTGTATTCCTTAGGCGCAGCCAGGGAGCTGCTGAAAAACCAGGTATGGCCATGGTATGGCCATGGCTATTGGTAAAAAAATTGCTATTTAAAATGGGATAACAAGCATTCTATAAATGGGGTTATAATAAAGTACTTCTAACTGGTATTGGTTGTTTCAAGCAACAAAAACATACATGAAATCATGAAGAGAATATATAGCGAGTAATGTGGGAAAACCAATGCTTTCTAACTAAGAAAATCACCATAAATCGGTTGTTTGATGTTGTTAACCATCCTCAAATGGGAGATTTATGGCATTGGGTTTTACCACATTAGGAATATACTGTAAATGGAATTACCCTCTGGTTATGACTAACATCGCCATGGAAAATCCACCCATGTTTAATAGGTAAACCATCTATTTCTATGGGCCATCTATACCATGGCTATGTTAAATAACCAGAGGGTCACTGGAACAAAAAAAAACAACTGGAAGGAAGGGTGGTCCACTACCAGATTTACCCGAGTGCTCATCACGAATTCCTGGTTTGGGAGGCACCCCTTACCCATCCATACACCATACTGGAACTTACTGGATCATCAAGTGGTCATGAGGCTATGGGTCAAACATTCAACTAACCCAGTCAGGTGAAGTACAAAAGATGATTGTATTACTCATGTATATGGATTGCATGTTCAATGTATATGGGGAATGGCTGATGTAGGTATCCTAATGTTGATTCATGGCAATGACTTGATCAATGACACATGAAAACTACGAAGCATGGACCATCGCCCATCAAGATATCAATTGTTAGATGGTGTTTCTTTTCAAACGATGACTATGAGTGGCTTATGTTTACGCAAATGACGACATGTGACATGATGAACTTACAATACCTACTCAAATAAGAATCGGGTCACTGCACACATCATGGCCAACCTTCAATAATCAACCTACATCTGTTTTAAAATTGGCCACTGTATATATGTATAATATAAATATATATACACACACATATTTCTATATATGTGTGTATATATAAATTATAATTATAAGTATTAATGCAAATAAGTATATATTTATGTATATTAAGACACACACACATACATATATATATATATATATACAGTAGATTTTGGTAAGTACACATATATATATATATGTGTATATATATATAATTATATATAGATATACATCTAATTGAACCTAATTCCTGATCAACATCACCAAATAGTGAAATATGAAACTACTCATCCCGTCAAACATGTCAGCCCATTGTGGTTGGTTTCATACTTCGCATTTCCATGGGAACTGCCCCAAACGATGGAGTCAAATCCCTAAATATGGGTGTGTAATTTTCATGATGTCTTCCCCCTTCATGCCTGTTTTCATGGTGAACATGCGCAGACGCAACATGTGAATCATAGATTTTTTCCATGGAAATTCACCCAAAAACTTGATTTTCCATGGAAACATAGCTTTTACTTACTGGTGCTTAGCAGGGAATGAGGGAATGATCCACAATAACTATCAATAGTCATCCCATTCCCCCATTCCCATCCATCCCCTGCTAAGCACCAGTAGGTTTAACCGAGGTGCCACGTGCGGAAAGTCCTCTGCCGCCGTTCCTCCAGTGGGTCCTGTTGTGCAGTCGCTGGAGGCGCGCCAGGTGTGGAGGGTCGAGACCAGGTCATTGTCCTGCAACCTATGCACCAGGTAGAACGGGCTTGAACCAAATATATGGGGGTTAGACAACATACATATGGGGATATAAATGGTCTGTATTATGTATATATATATACAATTAATTATAATTATATAATTATATCTACATAAGTTACATAAGTGATAATTGGTTGATTAGATATAGAATGGTGGGGTATACTACCTGGCTTATTGGAGATTGTGAACTCACCCATAAGAGGATTTTGAACACTGCTCACACGGGGTGAACATGTTGGCAATACAATGGAAATACCATCCAGTAATCAAACATAGCAATGAGGACTCGCAATGGGCAATCCCCAGTAGATGAAGGTTTTAATGGGACAATTATCCATTATAAGTGGGGAATACGAACACAGCAGGGGGAAGTGACTAACAAAACGGAGGCTTAATACGGGTCGGTTAAAATGAATAAAGTGGAATCATATGGGATGATAATCGCATAATATATTGAAATTGGATAATATGGGATAATACATGGACAATATGGAACAATATGAAATATTATGGACTATTGCATGGAGAATTGAGAGTATCCAAGGGCAACCCCCAAATGCTACCCCAACAATGGGGACTTATATAAGAATATATAATTATATATTCTTATATATACATAATAATAACAATAAATACGTTTTTGCTTTTTAAACTTATTATATATATATACCATCTGGCTATTTAACATAGCCATGGAAAATCCCCATTTTTAAGAACGGTAAACCATCTATTTCGATTAGGGCCATCATTTTCCATGGCGAACTGTTAGTCATAACCAGAGGCTTGGGGGTTGATTTTCACCATGGAATACACGGAATCCTTCTGCCAGAGCCAGCCAGATGTTGTTTTTTGTGGGCCCTGGGGATCCAATCTTACAAGGATATAATTAGTAGGATTATCTAGGATTATGTAGGATTATTGAATATATGATTAGGATACAATCCCAAGGATACTATCCAAGGGTTGGATCCAAAAAAAAGTAGGATCATTGAGATTCGTATTGAAATGTCGGTTCGATTCCAATGTCGATCTCATGTCACTTTCACCATGGTATTGGCGTTTTGAAATAAGTCATCCGACTGTGGAGAACCACACCAATTCGCCGATTCCCGATGGATAACATCTGGTTGGTGGTTGACAAAACCCCTCTGAAAAATATGACTTCGTCAGTTGGGGTTACTATTCCCGATATATGGAAAAATAAAATTCATGTTCCAAACCACCAACCAGACACCAGTTTTGTTCATGTGATCCTTCCAAAACCACCGAATGCTTTCAAGCACCGATTCCTCAGAATCATGGAGGTGTACTTCATGTCGGACCTCAACATTTTACATCCCAACTTGACACCGCAAAGCCTCTGTACTGAGTACCCGGGTACCCTATGGTAGCCTTTCCCAGCCACTTTGCAGCACCAGAAACGCTTTCAAGATCAAACCTCCAGAGGCATATCTCCTTGGTCAGCCATGGTCGGTGTTGCACCTGGGGGAAGTACTTGATACATGGAGAACATGATCATGGTCAACGTGGTCAAGGGAAAATGCCCCTGGGTCCTTAGAATAACTTGAAATTAGATACACTAAGATTATGCCGGTCGCCAGTAGGCCGTGGTGTAAATCAAGCACGTATAAATCTGTTTGAATGACGCACGACCAGCAGAAGAAGAAGCACGACCACCAGCCGTCCGAACCAAGCGACAAACAAATCACTGGGACCAAGAAATCTTCTCCGACACTGTAGGCGATGAGCAGCCCGTTCTCTTCCTGAGAGGCAGGGGTTGAAGGTTGGTTCAATGAATTGTCAAGGATGTATCGCATGGTGACGTGACTTACAATACCTTTCTTGAATTTTGGTATAGTGCATCATCGATAAATCAGCCATGAGACTATCCTATTACGCACTGGCACGCATTAATTTTATGCTCCAAGTCAATGTCAAGAATGAGAGAGCAGCCTGGGTGACCAGCTCACCCTAAAGGTTGAGACAGAGGATGACAAAGGATATCTTTCGGGTTGGATTTGGTGGTTCCAACCCCCGTAAGAAAGTCAAGTGTCCATGCAATCAACCTACCAATATAATGACAATTAACAATAATTGACAATATAATAATGACAATGACAATGACAATGATGACAGGTGATAAATAGTAAATAGAACCATTCAAAACATATCTGAAACAGCCAAACACCCGGTGGACAGCTTACAAAAAATCGACAATCCTTGGTTTCAGGTCCTCAAAGTGAATGGCAAAGCTTGCGAGACAAAACAGAGAGTAGGTTTGCTCATTCAAAGTGGAAAGTTATCTTCCATTTTTGGGGGATTCAATGGAATTTCTGCGGGATTCCATATCACATCATATCACACAGGACCTCGCATGACATGCTTCAATGCAAGTCAGACGACCAGATAGACGATAGAATCTCACACCAATCATTGAATTCAGGCAAGTCTCTTGCGGGTGACAACCACCATCAAAGGTAGGATACCTCACAGCATTGCCAGGTGTGGTTCTGTGTTGCCTGTAGTCCTGTGAGTGGCTTATATTAATATGTCAGCTGGCTATAGGCCAAAAAACAAACGGTACTGCACCTTGTTCTGGATGTCCATCCCTCCATACATGCAGGAAATAGATGGACATAATATGAAATAATAGGTTTTGACCCATGCCCAAGAGGGTGTTTGGAACATCAAACCAAGATTCGTTCAGTGGATTATTGGCCATTTCACTGACTTCCTAGTGCATCATGCTCAATGGGCCCGAGAAAGAACACCATTGCCATCTTGGATGTACTTTCCAACAGAAGAAAAGTTCTTCACCTTCTCTTGCGCCTCTCAAACAGTCTTCATATCCAGCACCACTTCATACATCGTTAAGGCAAAAAATCTGGCCCCTGGTTCCTTGTCGGCCTTTCAAACCACAAGTTCTGGAAATGGGCCAGTCACGGGTCAAGGCTTGAGCTTCAAAATTCCATCTGTAATTGGTGAGTAAGAATGACAAACATGATTTTAAAAAACCAATCAAAACCTATAGTCCCTGGGCCCCCTCAAAATGGACACATCTCTCATCTAGAACTTTCAGAGCATGAGCAATGTTTGACCAGTATTGACCAGTGACATATGCTCCAAATTTCCAGGTATAGCATACCCCAGCAGCGCGTCATTTGGCAGAGAAAAGTTGTTTCCAGAGGCATCCTCAGCCGGTCCACGGAGTCTACACTGAGAATAGTACGACCAGCCAATTCGGAGTTGTCACGAGTCACGAGGCATGGTGAGGCCCATCCATGGAACACTGGGAGTCGTGGACCAAGGATTCCGTATGTGGTTGGCTGATTTTGGTTGAATCAAAACTCATTTCTCAATCCTAAATCACTCAACCGAATCCCACACGAGCAAGTCCTGTCTTTTCAGATTGAATTGGCGGAACTTTGTTGGTAAACCTCATCCCCATTTCTGTTGAGCGATATCAACATTTTCTGACGATTGTTTAACCACCCACATAACATATCATCAACATCATCAACAATTTTTAAGCGTTTAGCCAGTGATTAACCAGTGATTGTCCCTGTTGAAAATTGCTTAACCAGTGATTTAACCAACAATTGCGACCTCCGACGGACCCACGGTGCCAAGTATCTTGGTAGAGATGCCCGAAAGTCTGGTAGAACATTGGCACCTTGCAGTGGCCCCTACGTGTCTGACAAGCCTTGTACTACTCTGGAATCGCAAGTGATAAGTGGTGAAAAAAATGGTGGAAAACATAATGCGTAGAGAAAACTGGGGTAGACATATACAACTGGGATCAACTGGGTATGTCAATGTATGTCATATGATTCTTACCCACTGGATGTCACTGGGATGCACATCCAAGTACACTTCCAGAGATGCACTCTTTTCTATGGGTCATCACTTAAGGCCCAGGTGATAGAAGATTTTGACCATCCAATCCGATAGGGGTCACTGATGGTCTCTGGCTGAGAAAATGATCGGCCGATCCATTTCTATAGTGTGGCCATGACACAGCATGACACCACTTGCCAGATTATTCCTGGTTGGTGGTTGACAAAACCCCTCTGAAAAATCTTAGTCAGATGGAATGATTATTCCCAATATATGGAAAAATAAAATTCATGTTCCAAATTCCAAACCACCAACCAGATTCTATATACCTCGTCTATTCTCGTCTGCCAAGTTTGGGTGCTTAGGCGTGGCTCCCAAACACCTGGTGAACCTTGAAAAAACTGTCCTTCTCAGCAATTTTTCATCTGGCTGGTTCATGAAGTTCATGAGGGGGTTTTCCAATGTTTCCATGGTTTTCCTCCCCCAAAATAGGCAACCTTAGGTGTTTCTCCATCCCAGGTGTTTTACCATCTTCGCTGGCTATTTATCCATTGCCGCGGGGCTTGATTGCCGAAGGCTTCCGCGGATTCAACGGTTCCGCCCAGCAAAATATTCCTGGGAGCCATCGACTCGTTGAACCAAAAGCTGGGGGTTTTACGGTTCCAAAATAGCCAAGGAGAAACATCTGCGATCCAACACATCATGTTTTAATATGTTTTAATGTATCACAATGTATCTGGGGATTGTAGGTTTTAATTCACAATGTTTCACATACAAGATGACTAACATCTGCGATCCCCTGGAGCCAAAAAAAATTGATCCGCACCCGTGAAGGTGATGAAACCATCGAAGGGACTATGGGTCAAGATTCAAGGGCTGGGAACAATTCAATGTTTGGCAAAGAAAGGCTTCAATTTGGATATGTCCCCATGAAATCCCATGAAATCCCATGAAATCCCATGAAATCCCATGAAGTCCCCATGAAATCCATGTTTGTATCCATGTTTGTGGTGTGCAACGATGCACCATGGCTTGGCCCATAATGAATAAACATGAATAAACAACAGGTCATTGCGTTGCATGTGAAACTGATGAGAAAATACCCACCTTCGCTTCCACCACTGAAACATGAGTAGCTACACAATGTCAATGTCGACGAATTCCCGGTTGAAAATCATGCTGATAACACTTGAGATCCGAAAGCAGCTCCAGCGAAATGCCAAGCTGCACGAAATGCGTGGTGAACCAGGTCCTCATGCGACCCCTCATGCGACCACTTTCAACTTAGTAGGCAGCTGTCGTCAATTGAGATCACCCTATTGAGATGCAAACAAAAATGCTGAGATCAGCGACCCGGTTAGGATCCCGGCCATAACCTTCAGTGATCTGAGTATCATTTGGAGGCCCAAGAACCATCAAGGAACAGGCAAATATGCAGGCTATCTTGATATACCTCGTATGAGAGAAGTGATTTCATGCAGCCGTTGTTTTCGAAGTGAAAACATCCAGCATGCAAAGTGAAGTTGCGGTAAAGGATATGAAGGGGATTGATCTCAAGGGTATACATCTATACAAAATATAGAGATGAGGCAACAACGAGTATGACAAGCTCGAGTGATAAAATTATATTGCCGTCCGTATCAGGGTATATCATCTTTGGCTTTGAATGGTTAGTTTATCCTGGAACCCTAAACCTATGTAGCAACAGTTATAAGTAGTTATAACAGTTATAACCCTAAACTCACTCATTCATGAATCACTTCGTGTCAGTAAATAGGTTCCCAACTCGGAACATCAATCACGTAACACTTAAGACTCAATCTAGTTTTATTCTTGATGAAAATCATCTATGTCTCTTGCTTAAAACTTGGTGGGTTACAAACCAGTCGCTGCGGAAAAACAAAAAATAGCTTGGTTACAACATATTACAAACATTTACAAACCTATTTCCCGGTCAGTTTAACCTGCACCCTTTGGCAACCATGATAATGGACACCCCGAGATGTGCATATTATTCACAGCCCGTTTACCCATCTGAGCGTTGCCTTTGCTGTGTTAAACAACCAAAGGGCCAGATGTTTTTTTCAGATGCTATAAACTGAATCTAAACATGACCTAACCACCAAAAACCACCGTAATTAATCTGTTTGGTAAATCCCATTTTTTTGCTTGAGGTGTCCTACCAAGCAGTGGCGATCCCAGAGGCGCACTTCAATCTCTGCACGCGCTTCTCCTGCAGGTCTACGAATGGAGGTAACGGCTGATCTGTCCAGTAGATCTTTGTGTGTAAACGGTGGTACACTATGATACACTAATAATCATTAAGAAACATGTATTTTCACAAGCATGAAAGCTGACAACAAAACCAGCCAACAAAATAAAATAGAAAAATGCCAAATCATGCCGCTGGCCTATGTGAGGAATGTTCATGTCTGGGTTATGCTTTACCACGCTGATCAAGGCTTCATAACTGCCGGCCGCAGATGCCGCGTTGCCAGAAGCAAGCGCAATGGCCTAAGGGAAGTCCCTTGCCATTGCAATGGTCATGAAGCGATTCCCCTACTGGTGGTCAATCATTTCCCCAACAATCAATAATACATGAAATCATGGCAAAAATATGCGAAGATTAGTAACTTAGTAGGACAATTATGATACATGAAACGATGTTACTTCTTCAGCGACTAATGATACCTGATTCCAATGTGTTCGGGAAACTCGTTCATGATTCAAATGTCAGACCAGTAGATCACTTCAAATGGTGGGTCTATCTGCAGCCGCTGGGTCAGCTGGGTCATGGTCATCGTTCTGGTCCAGTCATCAACTGGCACATCCAAGTAGCGTTGAGCACGGAAGCCACATGTATGGTGAGTACCCCCTGGTAATCAAACGGGGCAATGGAAACTCCCCTAAAAATGGAGGTTTCTAGCTGGGAAAATCATCTGTAATTGCGGTGTTTTCCAGGTAACCACGTTTGATTACCGGAGGTACTTGACTGGGAATGGAAGGCAATAAGACCCGGTAAAGAGCCAGTCTGACAGTGTGATTAGACCTCTTTTGGGGGAGACTACCAACACAAGCGGGACTATAACCGACACCATTGGGAAACACAATACGACCACATGATCTGATCCTGATCCTTCTGAAACTTGAGGTCACAAACCATGTTGGATTGTTGCAGTCCGCAATATTAAGAACCCTCCACGGGCATTTGTTGGTCTCTTTCAGGCGAAAAATGCTCAGAATTGTCGTGATCTATCATGAATTCCACAAAAACCGTGTAATCCCTTGAAAATTAGGCCGCGCTTGATTCCGCTGACGGGAATGATCGACCCAAAAAGGAGATGGTTCGAGGGGAACTGGTCAGTCGCTCGGGATGGTGCCATCAGTGTACCACATTGGTCAATCACTGCTATCCTACCAAGACATCCCTACTATCCAAACCGGTAAGATACGGTCGAATCCTGTGGCTTCCCATGAAGCTTCGAAGCTCCCGTTCCACCGTTGAGTTGCCACGAAAGCCAACGGCAACACGACGCAGTGCCAGCGTTTGGGAAAGTGCCATGCAGCCAAGGGCAGTAACCAGAGTCCGGGAGACCGAAGTGTCAGCGCCTTGGAAAACCTGGGTGATGGGGGCTGGAAGTGCTGAAAGAAAACAACACGCAACGGGTGTACATATATTATATGTAATATATATAATTATTATATATAATTTTGAAAAATGGAAGCTTCACTCAAAAAAATACCCTGAAAGGGTGCTTAAGTACCTTTGACGCGAGGTATCTATACGTTCAACAGAGTGAAACAAGCCATTTTCGAGAAGGGAACATCACGGTACTTAAGATCTAACGTACCTCTATTTTGGAGGAACACCATTCAAACTTTGGGATCATATGGGCTCCATGAGGCAAGGAGCTGATCGAGAAACAGGGGTAGATGGATTTTAGTTTTCTTAAACCAAGACTTGCCCTCTGATAAACCATCACAGCTACGGAAAATCGCAATTTTCACATAGGTAAACAATGCATAAATGGGCCATGGCTTCCATAGCAGGGTACCTAAGATTTAACTATAATATATAGTTTGTATAACTATATAGTTTGTATAACTATATATAGTTTGTATGTGTTTGGATGTTTTTGTGGGGTACCCTGACTCCAAGCAACTCCCAGTTGGAGTTGATGACCTGAGCACTATAGATGCTGCGCCATTCACAGCCGGGGATGATGCAGTCGCTGTCGTGGTCATAGGCAAACAAAACACTCCCTGCGGTTCCATTCTCCTGCAGGAAACCCGCAGGTTTGCTATTTCTGGACTTGTGAAAAATGGGCTTCACGATATGGAAAATCACCATTCTCAATGGGAACATCAACTATTTCTATGGCCATTTTCAATAGCAAACTGTTAGTTTACCGGAGGGTAGCTACTACTGAGTGCTACTACTGTGATTCATAGTGGAACAACGGTGGGGAGGTCATCCCGGCCATACCCTTTCGAGGCCTGAAAGGGCCTACCAGGCTTCGAGGAAATTTCTTGCGTGGATGGAATCCAACATCTCCACGATTCTTCACGTGTCCAAGTTCTATCGATTTCATTCGATTTCTATGATTAGACAGGCGTATGTTCATAGATGTTCAGGGCGTATAGTACAGTAGCATGGGAGGTTTCTAAATGTATTTCCCACTAATTCAGATTCTGGTAATATCCTCCTGCTCACGTCTTGGTCCATGTTCATCATATTCATCATGTTCAACCTTCAAGTTCGGACATTTTAGCTGCTAGCTGTTCACCAGAGACAAAGATTCATAGAGATACATCCCAGAAATGGTGAAAAATTGGGAACATTGGAGGCGCATTCATAGAGTACTTGGATCATCTTGGATCCAGGCCATCTTAACCTTAGTTTCAACCCTCGGAACCCTCGGGCTCGGAGATACATGGGTGATCATGGGTGATTGTCTTTTTCGGAATCACCATTTGGGGCCATGTAGGGCCCCCATTTTCAGACGCAGCATGACGCACCAGCATATCATATCGTTGGTGATATTTCAACGTGAAAAATCACGGTTATGGTTGGTAACACCCAGTCTAATATATGTTATTGGTGATTATGGTTGGTAGAATCACCATTTTATTGTCCAACATTGTCCAACCATTTCTTTTTTGTGGATGGCTTGTTGGTTAAATCCAACCGTGCCTCGCCAGAGAAGATCAACAAGTGTCCACCAAACCACCAGGGAGACACGTTGCCTGGGCCCCCGTTTACGATAGCTAAGTTGGTGAACATCACTTCAATAACTATGGTTTATGATACCTATAACTATAGTTAATGGGGTTTATAAACCAACTTATGACTAGGGGCCCCGAATTGTAGGAAATACTGTGTATAATAAGCTATTAAAATAGAGTACTATGACGATTAGTCCTATTGTTCTTCTGACCATGTATTTGTATTATCAATACACATGTCCACTATTGTTATGTATAGGTGTCATCTTATCATATCCGATCTATCAGTGGATTTTGTCCCCGCTGACTAAGTAGATGCACGACGCACAGCACTCTCTGGGAACTCAACTGCGGTTTCTCAGATGCCTTGTTATCCTGACGCTTTGAAGGCTAAGCATAGATTGACTCAATACTAGCATCCCAGCAGAATTTCAACAAATATGAAACCAATCTTGAAGTGTATGACATAAAATATAATCACTGGGTTAAGGATGCGAAAGCTGCTATATTATCTGTGGACGCACACGCAATTCTGCACCATCCATAGTCCGACTGCCCGCTAGCCGAGATCAATCAGTCCCTGTCGGGCTGTGATTGGAACTGCTTACTAACAAACAAACACACAACAAACGAACGAACGAACAAACAAACAAAGAAACAAACCAACAAAGAAAGAAAGAAAGAAAGAAAGAAACAAATAAAGAAAGAAAGAAAGAAACAAACAAACAAAAAACAAAGTAAGATATACATGAATAAGACCTGAAGTAATAAAAACATGTAATGTGTTCTTCATATATGTACATATTATATATATACATAATCATGTATAATAAAAAACAAAACATACATAAATAATTAACTATATATACATATATAGATAATTACACATACATATCTATGTAAAATTAATTCATAGGAAGCTGGGTTGTGGACCCGTTGCCACCAAGCAGCCAGAGATGCTGTACAGCCCTGGAACCAACGCCGAAGCCGTCACCGCCAGACAGAAAAACAGCGAAGCCAGGCGCATCGTCGGCGCATGGGGAGCAGTTGCGAGGTGGGAAGCCTAACATCCAATGCCCAACCTTAGATTTGAATTAAGGATTTCCTGAAACAAGGTGGTTTGATGTAGTTTGATGTAGTTTGATGTAGTTTGATGTAGTTGAAGATGTACTTTGGTACTTTCTTTTCAGGTATGTCCTGGTCTGAAAATGTGTCTTTTTTTTTGGGGGGGGGGAAATTGATGCATAAGTACGTATATATATATATATAAGTTCCAAGTTGTCAGAGACGTATCACGAGGTCTTTTTAAATATTTTTTACATATCATTGTTTGAAATGTGGCAAACCCAATGCCATTTATGGACATATTGGGGAAGGTTTATGGTGGCTTTACCCCAGTGTTCACCGTGTTCGATATGTCACTTTGTGGAACTTGTTTCAACTGATCAGTTGAACAATTTTGGACCTTGAGCCAGTGGCCTCAGGTACAAGGCTTAAAGGACTTGGTACTGATCAAAATTGGATACCCAAAAAAAACTTGGATGGTTATATCTTCCTAGTGACCAAACACTGGAGTTCCAAGTCTCAAAATTTGACCCAAAGTATTTTGTTGACGGATGAAAACATATTAAACCACAAATCATCATGAGTCATTGCTAGAATGTGTTTGTGTGTTCTCTTTTCTACTTGATATTTTCATGATACCGTACATTCCATACGTGAGATTCCATACGTGTATATATATATATGAGTAGGGATCACCAACCATATCATTGGGGTGTGGGGGGTGTGGGGGGGTGGGGATCAAACTCATTTACATTGTAATATATAATATAATGAATGCATGAAAGTATGAAAATATCATATATGTAATATACATATTACTCACATACACCATCATACACCAATATCCTATCAGTACCCCCATAATTCTTCTGCTTTTGGGGGGAAACAAAAAATGACTGCACCCAACCTGCAGGGCAGCCAAGAGGGAGGATGTAGCCATGGCGAAGCATGCGAAGCATGCGAAGCATGCGAAGCATGAGGCACAAACTTTGGCCCCGTTGGGAACCACACATCATCAATGATATGAGCCTTTTTTCTATTCACAAACTGTTTAGAGAAAAAAACAAACAAAATCAAAGGATGCTATGATGTGTTTTTAACGATTTGGATTGTTGGGTCACCCCACTTGTATCCATGTGTCACAACCAAATGTGAATCAATATCAGTAGGTAGAATGATGATTAATGGTTTTAAACTACCTCCACCAAAATTCATACAGCTGCAAAAGTACGGCTGGGAAAAGCCGAAAAAGACGAATGATTTGATTGTACAACACGTGCTTGTTCTTCATGTTAATTTACTGGAGAGTACCCTCTGGTAATTTAACATAGCTATTGAAAATCACCATGTTTAATGGGAAAATCCACTATTAATGGTCATTTTCAATAGCTACGTTAAATTACCAGAGGGTAATTGCCATAGAATATCTTGGGGCCATGGGGTGTTTTTTGTTGCCTCATCCCCTCGGAAGACTCGCCTGATTTTTTTTTTTTGCGAAGTCCCCGGAGGCCAAGACACCCAAACATCCCGCATTTCCCGAAAAATGACAGTCACAGTTTGCGAACTAGGACATTATCATTTTAATCGGTAAATCATCTATATTAATCTAGAGGTTATATCCCAACATTTGGTGGGAAATCAGAGTTATAACATGTTATACCCTCTGGTAAACTAACATAACAATGGAAAGATCCACCCATTTTCAATGGGACAATCCACTATTTCTATGGCAATTTGCAATAGCAAACTGTTAGTCATTACCGGAGGGTATCATTGTTATCGGTAAATCATCTATATCAATGGGCCATGGCTTCCATAGCCACGTTGACATACCAGAGAGTAACCAATGTCTCACATCCTGCCGATGTAACATTGACGTCACCAATTTGGAAGGAGTGGCGTCTGTCGCAAACGAAAAAAACATAAACTTCCAATTCTGGGTGGCTCATACCAACCATTTCTGGAAACAAATATATTGGTGTGTTGGGTTGGTTTACCACATTAGAAGGCCCATGTTGAGTCAATCGCGAAGCGTATATAATGAGACACAGACTGCTACTAGTCTTTGACCGCCATTTCCATTTCGCATGAAAAAGTTCAAGCATTCCATTGGCACCCACAATTTTCTACAAGAAAATGTAATCTCCATATTCCATGAACATCCATGTACTATCTATACACAGCAGGTCAAAAGGGCAAACATGTTTGGTTTGAATGCTGATGATTTCTCAAATGTATGTGGCCACATTGACAGCGTCAAGTGCATTGCTGAGCCGCAACAAACATCTTCCATGCACATGGAACTCAAACCTGGTTGTGTCCATTGATCAACAAAACACACACAGACACAATTATTGAAACATATTGAAACACATTCTTGGGGGTCCATGTTGCATCTTTTAGAAAGTACACAATGCATACACAATGCAAACATAAGCAGTATATACAACATAAAAACAAGTGGCTGAGATTTGTCTCAGCTGCATTCATGAAGGCATGTAGCAATGTAGTTTTTCTTTACAGATCTAAAAAGGCCACGATGTCAGTCTTGCTGATATTCCTCTCGTCTGGTCAATTCCCACCTTTTCGCTGCTGATTTCTCGACACATCTCGCCATCCCATCACCAACTCCCTTTGCACAACGTTGAAAGCGTGAGACTGCCCACCTATGACTTCAGCACGGGCAAATTTCTTGCAGGAAAGCAACCAAAGCTGATGGGATGAATGTTAAAACGCCGACTCGGGGGTCAAGAAGCAGCAAACATATTGATCCAATTTGATCCAATATGATCCAATGCAATCCCATTTTTTTCGGTGCTTCAAACAAATGTTCATATTCTCATTTTCACATTGTGTTTTTCTTCAAATCAACGAATCAGCATGGCATTTTTCAGGCTTTTCGTTTGGGACGGCTGCCATAGCCCTCAGCAATAGCATATATTTGGTAATCATGGCCATGGTGGGCCCCCGATAGCTGGATGGTTTAAAACTCATGGAACATTTCATTAAAATGGATGAGAACTGGGGGTACCCCTATTTCCGGAAACCCCCATATTATAGTTGTAGTGATACAAATCCAATCCTCTACTGTTGAGAATATACATCAGTCAAATTGTTTGATTTGGTACATGGAATCAAACGTAGGAAACGAAAAAGCTTGGGAATGCTTGTGCATTTCTGTTCCAATTGTTCAGCTTACCACAGAACTTCCAAGTTGACCAAAACACTTGTATTGTCACCCTATTGTATTGGTAAAGTCTGGTATCCTACGGATCCAAGTGCCTTTTGAGGAAGTGATTTAGGCATCATTTGGGGAGTCTGGTACCATCTAGGAAGGCAGTTGGATCCATATGTTAAGATAAATGAAGCGAAATCACTTGTATAAATCAGCAGGCTGAAAGCCATACCCATAGATATGCTAACAAAAAACCTTTGTATGAATCACTGAGTTGGGAAAGGTAGATTCTAGATAGATATAGATATTAGATATAGAAATAGATATAGAAATAGATTATATAGATATAGATTATAGATAATAGACAATAGATGATATATATATATATATATATCAATAATTTGATATAATATACATATATATATAGAGCTTCAAAAACAAACATATCGTTTTAATCATCCAGAAACCAAGGGATCCCACAAAACATTTCTTCAGGTCCGCTCAGCAGCATCCGCCGCGGCTTTTGGAGAAGCACGCTGAACCTCGCCGCGATGAGACATGTCGTTGGTTGATAGGGTTTCCCTACTATGGATTAGCCTTTGGTAAACTAAGATAGGTATTGAACATGCTGATTTATAGTTGATGTACCTATTAAAAATTGTGATTTTCCATAATGTAACTACGGAAAATCGCCATTTTCAATGGGTAAATCAACTACAAATGGCAATATTCAATAGCTATATATGTTAGTCATTACCAGAGGGTAGTTCATAATGTGGGAAACCCAAAACCTAAACCTACCACTTGGGCTTAACAAACAAGACTGGCTTGTGGTGATGACTGGGGGATGGTTTGTGACATTGGGATTACCACCAATGGAATACTGACCTGGTTGACCTGGGGGATTATGAACTAATCCATAGGGAAACCTATCAACAAACTAATGAGATGGGATAGGGGTATTTTTCATTGCTCAGATATTTACAGATTCAGAGCTACTTGTATAGTTTGATGTGGACAATGTGGACATATGTAGCTCATACCCAACGCCAGCCAAAACAATGACTGGTCTGCAGGGCAAGACTCGCATCTGGTCTGGGTGGAATCAGCAACCAAAAAAAGGAAATTTGCAGTCTCATTTCACCAGAAATTATGGCCTCAATGAGGAAATCAAAGCTATATCGCACCGGCCAAGAAGTCTCCCCCCGCATGAACCAAGGTTTACCCGCATTCTGAGTGAATCTTGGAAGGGGTAACACCTTCAACTGACATGAAATCCTCCAAGACTCATCATTGGGGATAAAATGAAATATTTGTGGAAACTAATGTGGCTAGCTGAAAAATATTGGTTGATGTGAAGAAAAGAACACATTTCAGAACATGAACATGCTCGCAAAACCAAGAACGAAGATGTGTGCATACATGTGTATATATATATATGTATACACATTAATTAATTATAAATACATAATTATACACGTATAGAAGCCCCTAAAAATAGAAAAGTAAAATCGCACTGAAATAGTGATAACTTATGTTTCTATTTTTTTGGGGGGAGGGGGGGTCAATATATATATATATATGTATATATTGTTTATTTTGGCATAAGTTGTAATGAAACCATGAAGCTCTCCAAAGGTAATTTGGCTCAAACATAGTATCATCATTGATATGAATACCATCGGGTTAATTTTACATAGCTACGGAAAATGGCCGATCGAAATATATGGTTTATGATTGTTTAATATGTTTTACCTATTAAACATAGTAATTTTCCATGGCTACGTTAACCAGATGGTATCTGATATGGATAAATATGGACCCACACAATTGGTCATGTTTTCGAATGATATGTTTTGGACAACATTTAACAATCATCAACAATCCATGTTTAAGAGTCTATACTTTAAATCGCCACAGCCATATCCCCCCGACGGCTCCTTCTGAAGGACTGCTAAAGGAAATTGTTCTTCGCTGATCAACGTGTCTTGTCTTAAGTCGTCGATCGAAATATTGGTACCATGCCTGACTGGAGTGGCTTGGGACATGGATCAAAGACTTATATGTGAATCATCGGGGACCGTGAGAAATTAGAATAAATTAGATCTTCAACATAAAATGGTAGACATGGCTGGAATTTGGATGATCTAGGGTCTGGCAGTATTGAATCTTCAGTTGATGTATCACGCATATGAATGGAAAAACGAGACATTGATGGATTTCTTTCATGGTTCAAAATGGTTCAAGCATGTTCAGTTCAGGATTGTTAACAGCTGAACATGAGCAAAAACGAAATAGGTCAGGTTGGTCTTATTTTTGGCTAGCGATCGCCTATGGTATACACCTCTATGGCCAGGAGGTATGCCATCAAGTGACACAGGCTGACAGGCTGTGTTCATAATGACCTACACTGAGTATTCTACAGTACACAGTACACAGTGTAAAATTACAGAAAAACTACTCAAGATTAGGACAAATTAGGTATCCAACAATGTTGAACGTTTTGCACTAGAAACCACCAGAATCGCACAAAAATGTAGGGCCCTGGGCAATCCGCCTGCGGATGTATGGAGCTTTTGAAAACATCGGAATGGTGACCAAGTTCTGGGGGGGTAGATCGTTCTTACATGAGCCATGGACAGTAACAAAGCTGTTCGGAAGTAGAAGTTCCTAAGCATTTAGACACAAGATGACACAATGCTGCGCAAGTTTCTGTTTAGCATGTGCAGCAGAGTACATTCCAACATTTCCATGATCCAACCACT